CATTTGATTTTCAGAAACATGGAGCACTCATATAAAATTGCGAAAATTTAATGCATGCAAACAGCAAAATTGTGTTGTTTTTAAAGTATTTTTAATCGTGGACCTGAAAAAATGAAAACTGCAAATTATTCACTTATTCATCTTTCTTGGAAGAGCAGAGCCAAATACATGGGGGAAAAATATCTGTTCAAAGCAACTGCTGCTCTATTACATGAAAAGATTATGTTTACATAAATAGGTCGGTTGAAAAACTTTTCTCCCGGTAACAAAAAGCTCAAGTAATCTAAAGGCTAAAATAGAAAGCAACTCGATGAAGAAAAAGGGACAAGTGAAGTGGAAATTCAAGGCCTCTAAATAGAAAGACATAGAAACTCAACCTGCTTCAGAGAAATTGAAAAAGAACAATATATTCTACGGGAGGTGTCGTTTCCATGGAAATCAGACATAGTCATAGTAAAGACATCTAATCTTATACACGTTCCCTAGAGAGCTCCTTGCAAACCGAGAGTAATGAGAAATGCAGAAATTCTACAATTTTTTTCTCTCACCATGTTTATACATTTTGGTCCACATTAAAATGATTATGTGTCGCTAAGCTATCTCTCAATGGCCAGAGGGTCTATCTCAATTTCCCACATGGTAGAATCGTCAGTATCTGACATTGATCTTGGTAAATGCCAGTGGGAAATAAACACATGCAGGAATATATTGTCTGCTGAGAGCCAGAAGGATGTTAGCTCACAACTTTCCTCTAACTTAAAGTCCTACTACATGTGGCTTTTCGCCGACGATATAGTGAATTGTTTTGTAAAGCATTAGTTCAATTCATTTGAGCTATGCCAGATATATCATATTCAGTTTCAGTTTTCAGTTTTTAATAGTTTTATTTCATAATTCACATTCATTATATAAATCAAAGGCAATAAACAATAAGAGCAAAAAGATGTGTTCTTTCAATAGGTGTACAAATACATGTACATACAATGATATAAGGCCACAAAAGTAATAATACAGTCGAGTATACAGAGATATAAATAAGATGAAAATATGTGTAGATGTATTACCCCATTCACATCAGGTATATAAGTACATTATTTGATATGAGGCTGCATTAACATACAAGATTAACTTGGGTCAGCTTAGGGTTAAATTTGGGTCCAAATCTAATACGTAGGCTCCAGATTGGTCGCAAGCTAGATTTATGTGAGAATAACCCTGATTAATAATTCAACTCTAGCTATTAAAATAAGCCATTTCGTAGATGCAATCTGTGCATGGGCATAATAAAGGTCATTTGTACAAAACTGTTAAACCCATGGAGACGTCTGCTGGATACGTGTTCATGAAAGTAATGAAGTCATTATTTATTCATGCGCCAAAGGTACATTCTATGATACACAAGTAGAAGGATCGTTCTCAAGAGGGCAAACAAAATGTATTCATGAAGCACCTCAGGGGCTTTTGCAGTGATTATTCTAAAATTCTCAAAGTGGGAAACACCTCCGTGGCTTTGCCAGTGATTATTAGAAGATTCTCCAAGTGGGAATTCTCCATGTATGTAGAAGGTCTGTGGATATTTGGGGTCATTTGAATTGTGCACTATTAAAACTATGAACTTGTCTGTTTGCTAGCATAGGAACATTCGCACTAGATTTAGTCTTGCATCAGCTCCAGGTTGGACCCAAGTCAAACGTTGTCTGTGTGAATGGGGGTATGAGCCTCCAAGATGTCCCTGGATGCTCACATACTCACATCTAGCACATTTGAAGAGGTAATGAGCTCACATTGGTACGAGTTGCCATGGCAATATCCCATCAGGGAGAGATTGACCTCCATAGAGAGAGAGAGAGGGGGGGGGGGATCAACTGATGTAATGATTAAACTAAATTAAACCCAAGAAACACAGATATTCAATGAAGATTGACATGTAATTTTGGTTTCTCAGATATTTTACAGATGGTCCAGAGACTCATTAATTTATACCCAAAAATATTATAAATACCTTCTCTTAAATTATTACTATTGAGACCATTGAGTTTATATGCAGAGTTTTTGTGAATAGTGACAGCAGCTATAACTGACTTCAATCTTGTGAAGATGATATGGCTAGCTGTTTTATAGTTATTACAGAAGGTTCCATGGAGTTTATGCCAAACCAATTGGAGCTATGGAGATTTACCTTTTAATGAGGGACACTTAACATTTTTGTTATAGTTTTGTTTACAAATAAAGGATATGATGGAAAGAAAGTGCTAAGTGTTATCTTGATGAGATGTGAAGATACTTTAAATGGATTGTGGAGCTGTGTGAGGTCTTCCTCTTCATAGTTCATATGGTTTTATCTCTTCTTTCTGAGAGAGAGAGAGAGAGAGAGAGAGAGAGAGAGGGAGAGAGGGGGGGGGGAGGTAAAGAGGGCTGAGAGGGGATGAGGAGAGATACAGATAGATAGAAGAGAGAGAGAGAGAGAGAGAGAGAGAGAGAGAGCAAGCAAGATATAGAGAGATAGAGAGAGAGAGAGAGAGAGAGATAGAAATTGAGAGAAGGAAAAAAAGAGGCAAATAGTCAGAAAGAGGGAGAGAAGTGGAGAAATAGAAAGGGAGAGAATGAAAAAAGAAAGAAAGAAAGAAGGAACGAAAGAAGGAAAAAAGAAGGAAGGAAAGAAAAAAAGAAGGAAGGAAGGAAGGAAGGAAGGAAGGAAGGAAGGAAGAAGAAAGAAAGAAAGAAAGAAAGAAAAGAAAGAAGAAAAAGAAAGAAAGAAAGAAAAAAAGAAAGAAAAGAAAGAAAGAAAGAAAGTGAGATAGAAGGGAAGTATATGAGAAAAAAGAGAGACAGTGAGAGACAGTACGGTAAAGATAAAGATAGAGTAAGAGAGAGAGAGAGACGTTTGCTTGGAGAAAGAATCATTGGTTTAAAAGTGCTGTAAAGCATGAATAATTTTGTAGGAGAGAGGGTGAAAAGGAGGGGAGGAATATATTTTTTTTCAAGTTGGAAAAATAAGATGAATCAATTGCTACAAAGTTTGATTTGACATCACTAGATGAGGATGATAGAGAGGAACATCCAAGGAAAGGAAATTGGAAGGAAATTCCAGGGATTAAGATAACATGTACCAGGCCCCTCTAGGGTGGGCTTTTTCTGTTAGTGCTTATTGATTTCAGACCAACTTTCACTTGGAATCCTGTGGAGATTCCCTGTTCTAAATCTTGCCTCTGTGAGGTTCATTAGCATAAACATGAACAAATTGTCAAAGACATCATTGGATGGATGGCCACATGTATATGTATTGTAGCAGATGGATTTATTAATAGACCAACCCACCTTTGTAGTTGGTAAGCAGGTCACCAGAAATATTTCATTGAAAACGAAAGACACATTTATGTTTATTCCAGTTTATTTAAGGCAGTCAGACTCAAGTTTTACAAAATGTATTATGACTCAGGCCTAATCTGTGTGCAGTTGAAGTATGATTTATGAAGGTATAAATATGTGAAAAGCATATGCCCCCCCCAAAAAAAAAAACATTAATAAAAAGCAACAATTTTTTTTATAAGATGTCCTAGTAGGTAGTAAGCTTTATTATTGCACCATGAGTAACTGGAATTAGTTTTTTTCTTTTAACACAGTAGAACATGCCACATTTTAATTAAAAAATGTATTTGCAACATACACGTATAATACCATCTAATTTCCGTACAGCTATTTACCCCAATAAAAAGAAATTTTACAATGAATAACTTTAATGAACAGCAATATACATGGCATGGCCTTACGACAGTACACATGCAAAGTTCAGAATTATCATTTCTATCGAGTTAACTTTTTACGAGGGACGAACTAATTCCAGATCCCTGTCTGCCCTGGAACAAAACAGGGTTAGGAGGCTTACTGTGTCTTTGTTTTGACGTCAATTCATTCGAGAACCTGGAGGCGTAGTCTGGGTGAAGCACTGATGATGATAGTTGATTAAATCCCTGTTCACACACCCAAAATTCATTGTATAACTATAGGAAAACAGTATAGGTACATTATACGAGAAATGATTAATTTCTCCTTGTCTGAATGTCATACAACAAAACTTCTTATAACAAATAAAATGCAGCACAAAAAAATGCCTGTTTGAGCATCGTTTTGAACAACAAATTGATGAAAAATCATGGTCCCCTGAGACTCTCCTTGTCTGAACTTCTTTAAGAAATCCTGTATAACTGGGAGGGGCTTATCATGAGTTTGAACTGATCGTTGGCTAGCTGTCATATCAACCAACCTCTTCAAACTAGTTTTTTTACATGATGTTTCTTGATATGAGCTGAATATTGATTTGTTATACAACGTTTTTAAATGTATTTTTAGATATTTTTAATTTCTACCGTAATCTAAATAGGTTCAAAATTATGTTGAGTATTTATCATTATTATATTTATTTACATCTACCGGTACTACTTTATTGATCTCATTATCATTGCAAAAGAAAAAAAATCATAGTTCAATTTTTATGATTGCAAAGCTTATTTGAAATCCATGAACCATATCCAATCAAATCAAATTTTAAAAAAAAACGATCGTTGTATAATTTTCATCTCGTCTGAAGAGCCTACAGTATCAATCTCCTTGCTTCTCTGTTCAGGTCTTTTTGTATGGCGTTGTCTGGATGTAGTTATTAAAAGCCATTTCCTGTACACTTGTGTGCGTTGTCAATGGGAAGATTAATGTGTTACTTTCATTATGTGGCTTCCGTAAAAGAACCAATATATCATGCGCTTTGGGAGGCATATACAGTGCCGTGCAAGTCCATATTACCTTTTCCCTCCCAATTGCAGCACCTATTTCGAGAGTTGTTTAAAGTGCTATTTGCTAAAAGTTGGTTCATCTTCAAATTGTACACACAGTTTCATGCAGTACTTCTCATTCTTTGAATTCTCAATAATTAGATAAACAGAAAGTGATATTTCAACTCTCCGGATGTACATGTACATGGACATCATGGACATGATAGTGTAGGGAAAAAAATAGCCCCAATTATTTGAGGCAATGAATTTTGTCAGTGGAAATTTCTTTAAAGTGCAATACTCTTTTATTCATAAGTGGTAATATATTTTGTCTTTGCCTTTAAAATAAAACACTGAATTTCTCCTATTTTTTGTCATGACTCCTGTTTGACAAAAAATAAAATCCATTCTCAGTATAACATACTGTACTACTCAAGACAGTATTTTATCTGATGATTACCTATAAATTTTCTGCCTGAACTTTTTTTTATGAAATGAGACTTTATCCATTGTATTGCTAAAATAGAAATGCAACTGTGTATATAAGAGTATCTGTAAGATTTCCTGCTTAAATATTATCCTAGGGCAATTTTCCCTTTGAGTAATAGAGATAAAATATGCTTCCTGTCTTGAAGTATTTGATTCCACTCTTTGTTTCCTTTACTCGGCTTGTTGACTGAATGAGTGCATGCAGCCTAGTGAACATCTCACTGTGACAAGAGGCAATACGTGGGGGATTTCCTGACACTTCTATAGATTGTTTGTCAATGTTGTGTTGCCTTTGATGAAGGAAACCCGTGATACATATCGCCAGAGCCTCAATTGAGTCATTCGACCAACGCAATGCCATTGTCAGACTGCCAGTTTAGCAGATCTGATAGTTCGTCGGGGAGTTCCGTCCACTTAAGCTGCAGCTTCTAAAAAACAAAGATTGAGAGTAACCGAGGCTCCTTATGCTTTGCGGTAAGGCATGAGCTGAAAGTTGGACGTGAGTCAACTTCTTATGTCAGAATGCCAATTACTCTCCAGTCCCCAGACTTACTTTTCCCTTGTCTTGTTATCAAATTCATTACTCTTCGAATCATTTAGCTGCAAATTAGACAAGATTAGAGCACAGACAGTTGCTTTTACTGCTTGATCATAATCCTCCGCAGCATACCGCTAGATCGACGTGCCCTCGTAGCGAAGGAGGGTGAATATTACGTCAATCGGATCCCTTTCACTGAGTGATAATTAGTGGGGCCTACGAAACTCGGCTCGTAGTTCCGTTGTTGTGACAGTCTCCTCTTAATACACCTCTGACTTGTTTTGGAAACTCTGTGACACCTGGGTCATACCTCAAGAAGGAAGCAACAAATTTGTTTTGATTTGTCAACAAGTCGTGGAGATACAAATCGGTTTGATCGGGATTGCCGACAGTTATAATTGATCTGCCAGTCTGTGGAGTAGGAACCTTGTTGAGGATATCTATTAGGAAGTGTTGAAGGCTACAAAAAAAGGAGAAATCATGCCGACCGCTACAAGGAGTAAGTTGACTTTTTTGTTGGATAAGTTACGTTCATGACAAGAGGTTAAAGGTATAGACCAGTTCTGGTCATGCGATTGCATTGTGAAAGAAACGTTGTGGAATTGATCAGAAAAGGTTGAACATCTAGCATATATAAGTATTGGTGTGTACTGCAAGGTTCTGGAATCATCAAAATAATAAGAAATTTGGCCCAGTCTTGGTAAAGTTACAAGGACTGGACACAGAAAGATGTATATGGGACTACCTTATATCTATCCAGTCCGGATAGATATAATAATTTACTAAATATATCAATTAGTAGGCAGTTTCCCTGCAAATTTGTATCATTATGTATTGGTCAAAACATATTCTTTCACATGATTGGTAATTAGAGCTTCCATATCATTTTTTGAGAGGGGGTTGTTTCCAAAACTGGTCTTTACCTTTAAAGATCAAAAGTAAACCTGTTGAGAGCCCACGGATATGTATTTTGTCTGGATTATAAAAGTTTGTTGATAAGCATTTTGAGTAGGACTACCTGTTGACTCTCCATCCCAAGTATAATTCTAAGCAGAAATCCTTGGAATAGTTGCACTTTTCATAATTTACACTCTACTGATTATTGATATGCATTTTAACATGAATGGGTCATTATGATTATCTGTGAATCACTATTTTTTCACCTTGAATATTTTTTAAATTTCATTTGAGGGAAATTAAATGTTTAATGTTAACTTACCAATACAATTTATTTTAATGCATTGGTGAATAAATCAAAATTGCAAACATAGGAAATGATCGATGTAAGGACAAGAAACTAAAATGTATCTGCCTGTTCATTACATTAGATTGTATGAAAATTATTTGATTTCTTTGATGGGATGAAAGAAAATATAAGTTGGTCAATGTTCGATTTAGTAATCCTTCATTACAATTACCCATTGACGGGATTACACACTTACAAGTACAACATTTGAATGGTGTGCATTATAATGCGAGTGTCAAAAAGGCAAGATGCTTTTCCTTTCAATGAAATACAATATACCGTTGAGGGTAATGTGCATGAGATTAATAACATGTCATGTGTAAATATTCATGGTCATTGGGAATGTGGGATTAGGCCTTAATGCCTTTGAGAATTTAGAAGAAAAACTGTCGCATATTACCAGCTGTCTTGCTGTGTGAGTCACCAATTTTTGTTTAATAAGTAAACAAAATTACTTAAGTAGAACAAATATTAGGACAATTTATTTATGCTTTCTTGGCAGTCAGGTAAAATAACCACCACTACACAATGTAATCAAATTGTTAGCTCCTTGAAATCTATTTTCTATTCTTCTTATTTCTTCTTTTAAAAAATCTGATTTTTTTGTCAACTCCTCTTCAGTGTGTGTAAACTACCTGGGATTTTCAAGGAAACACAATACTGCCAAGTATTAAAGAACAAAATAGAATCATTACATTCTATGCTATTTTAATGATGGAAATATATGGTAGAAAGTGAAGATTTTTCAAATTCAGTTTCTAATCAAATGATAATGTCGATAGTTATATTTAAGAAGTAATTTATATTGGATTATGCATGCCAAGGGTTAAATAATGTGAACACCTCTTTAACAGTTTTCTTATTTCCAGATTTATGTATATTTGGCAAGGGTACATGGACATTCAATATGTCTGCATGCACTCAAAAAAATGAACTTGCTTCAAACTTTAGGTGAACTTGTATTCTGAGAAATGATGTTGTGTCAATTGATGACTGATGTTTCCTTTCTCATTTAGATCCCTGTTAAGATGTTATTCAGGTATATATCCTTTCATCCGAACGTTGCATACTTGCACAGGTGCAGTGTGGTTTTCTTCTTTGCTAGGGACGAGGGGGAGTGGATCTTTTTATGAGTCATTCATTTGAAAATGAAGATATTTGAAAACCCATCTGGCTGATTCTGATGCACAAATCTAAACATTTATTTTAAATCTAGGGGCCTTTCATTTTAGGATTAATAATATAGATAGGTGTACTTGTACTCATTACATCACATATTAAACAAATAATCAAAGAAAACAGCCATTCTATAGTTATTAATAGCAATTTGATTCTGCTCTGTGGAGCTTCAATGGCATTAGACAATACAATGCAGCTCAGATGTAAATACAACTAGCGCAAAAATAGAATCCTCGCCGTTCTCATCAGCGTATGCAACCGTACCTTGAGCGCATGCATGAGAGACGGTAGACGTAACGGACCATAGGTCACAGGTCATCGCCAGGTCTGGTCGTCCGTTGTCGTCTCGCTGGCTGGGGTCGAGAGGCGCCACGTTGGATGTAGGTATATAACGTGAGTCATAGGATATAAATAGATGATGATGGAGAGGGGCTTCTTTCTTCGATTCGCTACTTATCTTCTGTCTCCGACGACACGAGCGGTATCGCTCTAATTGCCTCGGAGGCTCTCACAGGTTGTATTTTTTCTGTGGATGCGCGGAAAGGGAAAGATTTTTAACTGAGTTACGTTCATCCATCTGCTACCTGCAAGTGCGACATGTATCCTGCTTGCATCCTCTTCCGTTGCCTCTTTCTCTGCATTATGTAGCACTGGCAAATTTAATTAGGGGGGAAAGCAGGCACGCTTGTTGCCTCTACAGTGAAGCTTCATACCGATGGGTGCCTCCGATTCCAAAACTAGCCCCACCTCGGATTCCATCCTGCTTTTTAAAAGCTAGTCATGATTTTATTGACAAAGTTATTTTTGGTGAATTGTCTAGGTGATTAATCTCTTTTCATTGTGAGAGAAATATGCCATGACCGATTTTGTTTGTTTGTTTGTGACGACAGAATCCACAGTATTAAGCACCGGTCCCCATTAGGTATGATCATGTGGTTATAAATTCTCATCGACCTACAAAATGTTTAGGTCATGTGAGTTAACCACTGAAGGGAAGGAAACACTAATAGCAGACATTGGTATGGGATTCAGATTAAATTGCTGTGGTTAAACGTTTTAAAACAGATCTTCCCACTGTCTATGGCTTATTAAAGTAATCTGTTCCATCAATTGAGGTGAAATAAATCATATATGCTGAGAACCAGGAAGGTATTATCTCCTGTATGATGGCTCTGCACTAATTTTGGAGGGGGACTGGAAGGAAATTTTGACAGTCTGTTGTTTATGTTAGATTTTTGATATTTGTGGCCCCCATGTATCCTACTAGGCAAGTGCCTAATTAATGTAAAGCCCCGCATATATATACTCTCACAGAGAATGCTTTTCTGGAACTCATCACCAGATAAAATGGTTGTACTTATGAAAAGAAAAGGGAAATAACAGTTGTTGTGATTGTGATTACACAAAACAAAACAAAAAGAAGCACACAAGTGAACAAACAAAAATGCAATAAATGTAATTGTATTCATAGAATAAGCATGTATTCCAACAAAGGATCTTAATTGTAATTCAACTTTTAGCTATACCTGATAGCAACACATGTATGAGGAATGATTTTCTCAATAGATTCGCTAATGAGGATATTAATCATTTGTATTTCATTTGCATTTCTGCAGTTAACAAATCAAATCGTAATGTTTCACCACAGGCTCTTCCTGTCTTCTATACAATAGCAAATCAGACAAACATTTCAAGCAGACTTTGAGTAATGATCAAATTATTGTTAATACTCCGGAAAGAATAACAGGAAATTGGCAGACAAATTTTCCTGATTACTCTTGAACCGGGGGTGATTAGGTCGACTTATTTTCTCCATTCATCCTTTCTTTTACAACTGAATAAAAGAATCATTCAGAAAATCAGCAATGAAGTTGTTTCTCGTGAGTTATGACCCTGTCCTGGGGATGAATTTATTTTCATTGTGTGAGAAATGAACCGTGGCAGATGCCGTTTGCGTGTTGCATAATTCATAGTTCTATAATTACATTAGAATATGAAATGTGTATCTAGGTCGACTTAACCACTGTACTGATCCCATCTAGAGTATAGATTCTATATTGAATAAAATTTAATCAAAATTAGATTAAAAATGTAAAACTTTTTGAAAAAGACTGTTTGTCATTTTTTCATTGAAGCCAAGTACATCACCGTTGCGGAGGTGGCGTGATATAGTGGTTCATTTACTTGACCTTTTGCAAGACATTGATCCGTATTTCGCCTCTCTCCACCTAGGGGTACATGGCAATGGCTGGGGTAATTTTAACTGCAGGGCCTGTGGGAAAAGCAATATTATTAGTGATGTGGCTCTCTTGGGCAAAAAAGGCCAAATTATCATAATATTTGTTTTTATCAGGTATTGGTAGAATTAATGTGAAATTCCTTTAGTTTTGACCTTAGGTGTAAATATCCACTGTTATTCATTATTGCAAATACAACACAAATATGGTGTGTGACTTTAAAACAATCCATGACTTTGATACACAGATTTGCCAGATTTACTTTACGTCATCATGACAATGGTACTGCTCCAAAACAAAAATAAACTATAGAATCAGAATGTAAGTTGGTCATGTGATCTTGACACACTGACACAGGAAATCATGTGAGTTATTTGTTCTATTTTGCATCCATTTTCATTGTATTTGTGGTTCTTGTTATTTTGTTCTTGTGCTTGTTCTTATTATAATACCTGTTTTAATAGGGGTGTAAGTCAAATGACGCACAAATCATACTGAGTGTCTGAGTGAAAGTTTGTCGACCCTGCGGACTGCGATTATGCATGGGAGACCATGTGATGTGTGATGAGATAGTCTACATGCACCAGACCCTTTTCTCAATGTTTAACAAGAAAAATACAAAATACATGTATCTCTGCAACTTAACCTTTCATCACTCTCATGTTTGATGATGCTATTAATTGTACATTTGGTTTTAAAAATCAACATACTATGAGGACTAACATTTAAAACTAATAGTTGGATTTTCCTTTAGTAATGAAGGCTGTTTCATTTAAGATCATTTGTATATACCTTGAAGATGTATTTAGCAGCTGAAAATCTACTCATACTGACAGCTGGATTTCGCTATAAACATTTGTTTTGGCCTCAAAATCAATTTCTTATAGGCACTGCTCATTTGTTCAAGGATAAAGCAATTTTGTGATAGAATACAAAATTCTCATATGACAAGCATTGACCATCATAAGTCTATGACAGCAAGTGATAAATTTAATCTATAATATTAGGTACAAGATAGAGTACAAAAGCAAGCACCAGAAAAATGTAACTTCTCCTATCTGTTTGTAAATATAATGTAAAGAATGATTTGCATATTTATTTGTTATTTATTTATTTGTACATTTATCCATATATTGATATTTTATTCAATTACATTTGTATATATTTTGTTTAGTAATACAACTACTCTCTTTCTAATAGATATTATCATTCTTCTGAACATGACTTATGTCACATAAAATCATATATTCTAGCTCTTGTCCGAGTTTTGAATGACAGACTATTAAATTCACTAATGATATGCGTGCAATTGTCACGTTGATATCTACTTTACAAGTGATGAGGGACAGCTATCCATTGTGAAGCAAATTGCTTATTTGACCATCAAGGCTGAGCCACTTACAGCGTAATTTCACTTTTTTAAACAAGCGATTGTCATTCACACGGAGAAGGATTCAATACCCTTCAATTAACTTCTGTCACTGCCCAATATGTGTGAACTTCCGTTGTATTAATATACAGTGTCTCCTCAATAGCGTAACATCATTTTATATTGCTAATTTGTGGAAAGGGGAAAGAGAGTAGTCTGTAATATCAAGCTTGTTCGGGAATGGTGATGCATTTTCTGTATACTATCCTTACATACCTGTATGAAGTTGTGTAATGGTCATATGTGATTGTTTTTTAAAAGAAATTATCTAGAAATTATTTGGAAGGGTTGAGTATGTATGTAGTGTATGAATGATTGCATTATTGTGAGGTTGTAATTTCAAATATAAATGCCATTTGGGAGGAATCCTTTTCATATGCATTAATTGTGATTCTATGATTTTGTTTGACTCCGGAATAAAAAGAATAAGAAACCTTACAATTTTTCCCCACCTAGCTACCAGAACTTAACCAGTATACGCATTGGACGAGTAAACCTTTAAAGCCTGTTAACCAATTACCTAGATTAACCTTTTTTCAAAGGAATTACAAGTGATAAGGTGTAATTAAGTTCAAGACTACCAAGCAAGCATATCTTTGTGCCTGACAACAGTTTTGTATTGTTAGATCGTTAACCATGGCAACACAAACAATTCATGGCAAAATGACAGGTTACTGACTGATAGTTAATAGCAGCTCTGCCCTGTCCGATATGCTAATCTATCTGTCATTGTCATGAGATGTACATATCAGTTTGAAATGTAAATATTAACCAAGAGCCAAGACTTCTTATTTTATTAAATATGAAAGAGAACATACAAAGGCACTTGAATGTGTTAGTATTCTAACGCTTTTATTTAATGTTACTGTGCAGACTCGATCTACTGTGAAAACACTATATTTAAAAACTATTAATATTTTTAAAATAAATCTGATGCAAAATCTGTGGGATGTAAAATTTCTGCTCTGTTTTTGTGTGTGCTTTATAGTCAAATGAAAACAAATACATTTGTGACAAAATACAGGATACTTTTTGCTTTCTTTTCAAAACAAACATTTTGCTTAAAAATATTCAATATTCAATTCCGAACTTCAATTTAACCACAGATTTTCAAAAATACTGGGAGAAGGTTCAAAGCAATTTTCTATCAAATGATTAAGCCTATCCAATGACTCTACCCTAGCTATCACTACGGAGTGTGTATTTCAGGTCAACTTTGGTACTTGTAGAGTCTAGTTACAGATGATTATAATAAGAATGTTCTATGCTTGTATGGCAAACAAATTTTTTTCGTGGCTTTTGCAATATTAGGTGTCACTGTTTCCTTTCCATGTTTTAACAGCTCAAATGATATTGATTGGCTAGGTTCCTTCCTGTTTTCTATAAATCTATCCTTTCTCTTATCTAACATTTCACAAAACCTTGGTATATTCAGTCTGGGTCACTCCATTCCTCAAAAAGGTGTCATACTTGACAAGATTAACATTGATTGTACTCTCAGCTTATTTCTGTTTAGTTGGAGATAGGAAGTTTTATTTATTTGATTTTTTAAAATGTATTAGTGTGTTCTAAAATGTTTTTACTTGCATTAATGTGAGAAGGTCTAAGAGTAAGACGGCACGTACCGGAAAAACAAATGTGTAGAATTATTAAATAGAATTCATGCCCTTTGGTAAGGCATTAATCCTCATTACCAGGCCCCTCGGAGTGGACCTAAAGCCGTCGGCCGTCTGGTTGCTTACTTACAAGCATTTATGCTTTCTTAGCAGTCAGGTAAAATAACCACCACCACCATACACAGCATTGTATTATGGTTTCTGATGAGTTTGGTCAGGGAATTTCACTTTTGTATAATAAAATGTTTAGGCTGGAGAAGGAAGAATACATTTCTATGTTTCCATTGATTTTTATCTATTTTATGTTGAGAATTGAAGAAAGATGTGATGTGGGTGTATCTCTGTCTCTTGTCCAAGGATGCAAATAATAGTATTTGTTAAAATTTTCTTTTAACACAGGATCTAAGTCTTTTACTCGAAATCTCTTTTCAACCCACCTCTTCCTATCCTGCCCGTTTGACATTGTATGTTCCATTGGGTTCACTCAAGATCATTTACAAGGAGACTGAGGTTTATCACAGGTTATTCACCCCACGCCCGACACTTGAGACCATTCACTCTTGAATTTTTTATGTCATCTGTCTAGCTAAGTTCCAACACCATTTGCTACATGTGGGACCTGTACATCTATTTCTTTCGACCTCACCAGAGTGTGGTTCATGAAAGACTTCTGGTTAAATCTACATTGCCAGCACAAATCCTTGTCTGTGGTATGTGTGTGTCTGAACAGTGAGAGTATGCCGACTGCACCCCATAGACTCCTTTGGCAAAACGTTAATCTACATTTGCCACTCTCCACCCAGGTCTTTAAATGGGTACCCAGTAGGATGATTTAGTAATTTGCTCATGATTGTGAGCATCTGTAAATTGATGCCTGGCTGAAATGCTCCACAGGGAGTGGAGAATGTGCATATATTGTGTGCGGGAAAGCATGAATCTGATGACTGGGGTAATAATATATCTGTAAAGCGCTTAGAGACCAGCGCTATATAAAAGCGGAATATTACTATATTATATTACAAGAGCTGCTCCCTACACAGCCAGTGACCGACCAAGTTTAGACTCGGCTCAAGACTCTACGGAATTGTTTTTAAGTGTCAAATTAATTAGAGTCTGTGCCCGCAGACTAGCAACGTGTCACAGGCTCTGTGACCTGAGCTTGAGGACACCGTCTGTAATGGATGTCATACATATTCTCCTGTCCAATCAGCTGTGTGCACTTACTGGGCTCAGGTAGCCATAGGCTATGAGACTGACACCAGTGTTTACTTGTGGGACTACAGTGTTTACATGGCTTCCCCTCTCTACCAGGGCACCCTGCCTTATTTCTGTGATGGTAATATTGAGCGGATGTTTAGACCATGTTCAAGTGCTAGCTGTGATAATGATGACAAGAGTTGTGTTTGGAAGTCCCTGTACTTGTGAAAGAAAATGTGCTCAAGTTTGAAAATTGATGCAGTTTGCAGTATAATGTGAATTAATCATCTCGTTGGATCATGGAATTGCACTATTATTGGGGGACTTTTGCTGGTCAATAATTTAAGTAGATTAAGTTCTTAAAATCAAAAGATGAAAGAAAAGTGATTGAGATATTGTGATTATTATTGAAATTGTGGGGAAAAGCAATGGGGTGGGATGGAGAAATGGGAGAAGAGGAAGGGAGGGGGATGGGAAGAGGGATGTAGAAGGAAGATTATTTGGTTGTTTGTTTTTATTACTTTTTTAGTGAAGGCAAATCTTAAACTCTTTAAAAGACTTTATGGTGGCCTTTAATGTAAGGTCATCTTTTGTCTTTTCAATATCAAGATTATGCAGAAAAACTAGTAACCATCTTTGACACCTAGTCACAATAGACCCTCTTCATGAAATCAGCCTTTAATCAAGTGTGCAATGAGTCATTCAATGTCATGTTCAGGGATTTTATGTCTGACCTCAATGTTTATATTTGGGACTACAGTGTTTGTTTTCAACAGTCTCACAGCTCTCTACCACTTTAATTAATTGCCTTATTCTAAAAGGCTGTCCATATTTTAAGAAGATTGATAGCCAAGATAAGTGTTCCTTGACCCATTAAAATTGATATATTACAGTTTTATGTTTGTAAAGATTTTATTACTGCAGTGTATGAAGCAGTCATTCAATTTTTTTAGTTGTATTTTGTTCTTGGACTTTCATGTAGGCTTACCATTCATATTTTAAAGGACATTATTGAGGACTAATTATAGCAAACTGATTGCATATCATTGTAATGTTATTGTCATTTCATGCATTAGAACCCTTTGGATAGTTTAAGGGGGGCTTGAGTGGGTTGTACTCTCCACCTTTATAATAAAAATGGCATACATTGTACCTTAAACACTTAAATGTACCCCCCCCCCCCCCACCCCCTTAATGTGTTCTCTTACGCCTTAAGTTATGATTGTATGGAAATTTTTACTGGAGTTGAGTTTAATTTTTCTTATCATTATTGAAAATGTACATCAATTTTCACTTTTATGTACTAACAATGATCAAGTTTCAAGGTTGCATTATCTTAATACATTCTAAGCTAAATAGATCAACATTTCACATTCTTTTGTGAGTCTGTTGAGAGACATAAGAACTTACCTATTTAATACAGAGCGAACGTCTTTACGACACTGAACATGATTTCTGAATGATTATGGCAATTTGACTTTCAATAAATATATCCACTGGTACTCATTATTATGTTTGTTTTCCTCTGCAGGTTTCAAAGGATTATTTCACCGAAAACGGGAGAGTGATTTGGGCCATCCAGATGTGTCGTCCACTGGGGGCGACAGCCAAGGGTCGCAGCAGCTTTCGTCGTCAGCCAATGACCTCCACCCGGTGTCGTACGCAGGCAATCTGCATGATCTCCCGGAGAGACCCAGTGCATTCAATCGAGTTCTTCAACAAATTAAAACCAGGCCAACTACTATGTAAGTATCAAATAAACATTTATTTTTATTATACATACATTAAACCATGAAATTTCCAATCGTCTGGTGAGAGCCTTGGGGGGGGGGGGGGGAGGATGTTTCACAAAGGTCCTAAGTTGAACTTGTCTTTAAGTTGGACTTCACAATTATGGAAAGCTGTTAGCATCTTTGAAAATATTTTGTAAAAGTTATTTTAAAAGGTATAAAATGTTGATTCAAATCATTCATATTTTCTATTATCAAGGAGATTTCATGTTCTTGATATGGAATTTATGGAAAGTCTAAAATAGTTGAATTTTTTGCTTTGAATATATTTTATTTTAAGGCTACAAATGGCTCTCCGTAATGTTTACGTCAAACTTAGAGTTAAGTTTGTCTTAGGATCTTTGTGAACCCCCGCCCCAAGGAGGTCATTAATTCACAATTTTTGTATGTATAATAAAGTCAATGCTTTTCTGGCTCTCATGAGATGTGTGTTTAATTAAAGGTAGAGAGAAACCTGGTGCTTTCAATTATATTCTTCAAGAAATTAAAACTAGTCTAACGGCTATGTACATATACAGTTTCACTGTACATACATTAATCCATGAAATTTAAAATCATCTGTTGAGAGCCAGTAAGGCTTTATTATCTCACTTGATTTTACGTAGAGTTACTACCTTTCTAGCTGTCAGCAGATGTAATTTTAAAAACAAAGAAAGACCCAGTGCAAATAATTGAGTTATTCAATAAATCAGAACTACTATTTGTATATGTATACCGGTACAGCAAATAACATGTACGATCGACCCCCCCCCCCCCCCCCCTAAAATGAATTTCCTCATTTTTTACAGGAAATGCTAATATATGTTTCTCTTATATTTTGAAATGATAACACTACCATTAACTAGTATATAATCAACTTGTCCTTCCCAAAGCAAAACTATGTAGCCATGAAGCATTCTTGTAGTACTTCCGGCCGGCACATGATGTAATTCGACCAGGTTTCATTTTCACTTCAATGATTTCATAGAACTGTACAATACGTATGACGGATTTAATTGATATACAATTCAGACTTCCGGTACAAGATTATGTGTACACTCATTGGTGGTGTGGGTGAATTGTGGTATCAGTAGGTCTGATCATGGATTCTTAGTAGGTCCATGGTCTGATATAGGATCCCCTCTGAGCCAGCCCAAATTATTCTGATGAGCCTGACATTGAGACTAATTGCCACCTCTGTCTCTCTAGTACATCCTGGTTCGCCTATCTCGTTCGGTCGGTCCTTGAGGACCTATTTTGTGATTTGAGTCAATAGTTGCCAATCACTTGGTGGTCCATGCTCTCCAGAAAGCAGTCAGCACTACTAACGAACGGCTCGTTAACGTCTCCGCCGCGGAATACACCACTCTGCTAATTCTCCACGTAATTTACGAGATATGATTCAAACTTGCTTATGGAGTTATGCATAGGAAGTGGGGTCTATTCAAGGAAATGATTTGGATTGTGAGTCTCCTCGTTTGTGTTGTGTCTGTGGGATGCGTTTCCATGTTTCATTGTTGTTTATTCTAAATTGCACCGCGGAATACCCTACTCTGCTTTAATTCTCCACGTAATTTACGAGATATGATTCAAAGTTGCTGATGGAGTTATACATAGGAAGTGTGTTCTATTCAAGGAAATGACTTGGATTGTGAGTCTCCTCGTTCGTGTTGCGTTTCGGCGTTTCTGCAGGATGCGTTTCTATGTTTCATTGTTGTTTATTCTTAATTGCAAGTGTCGCTTCATTCTTGATTAGTATTAAATGCACCGTGAATGGATGTCAGATGAGAACGCAAGCATCTAGGCACAGTGTCAAAATTATTTATGTTTTTCTGGCAAGGATGAGGAATATGTACTGCTACTAAGCATCGGAATATTCAGTGCTCTTCGATAAAGATGATTTATGTATTGATGTTTATTGTTCCTTCTGTTTAATTAGGCAGTTCACTTAACAGAGGAAGACGTGTTTTCTGAATTTGTGCACTTCGTATCTTTTATTAAGTGTTGGATCAAAGCATAACATCTGTATGGATTAATATATATGAAATACCTTGGAATGACCAGTTCCAAATGACACCACTTGAATGTGTAGTTCGGCCTGTCTTGCTAAAGTCAATATCATTCAGAGATCAACAAGTGTTAATTGGTTTTGCTATGGCAACCTGTACAGTTGAAGGGCTTTAATACCTGCATTGAAGTGTTAATGACACGAATATGGGCAAGTTTAATCATTCATAGTTGCATTTTGAATCTCTTGAAGAGCAAGCCTTGTGTGTTTGTCATGATCAATGACAAATGAGCTTTGATTTTACTAATATTTTCTAAATATGTAACAATTGATATGAGGGGGAAAAAAAATCAAATAATTTAATGAGGATTTATTGACAAGCTCCTTGTCGTTGATGTCTGAGATTGTCTGATCACTCCCTTTAAGACATCTGAGAAGTTTTCTTTTGTCTCTAGGGTCATTGGCAAGGTGAATGTAATATGATATTAAGAAATTAAGAGGAACATGCTGTTGTATATACATATACTGGGCTTACCTTACCCTTTGGGGGAAAGATTAGTGAATTGAAATGTATCACACTCAAAGGATAACAGCAAGACTTTCTGATGCATACTCGGAAGAGATTATCATACTACATGTAGTTCACATTTATGGATTATTGAATAGACATTGATCATACGCAAGAGATTATAGTAAGATCTTCAAATTGATTTTTCTGTAATGTTAATGGCCCTATAAAGAAGGAATTGAAACCTCTTTGTAATGTTCTTGAATAAAAAAAACGGTACTTATAAAGCCCTTTCCACCGAAGGCTTTTCCCACGTTATCTTTCCTTTAAGGTTTACCTCAGACAATTAACCCTTTTTGTGGTCGCTATTGTGGTTCATGACTCAACCAACAAAAAAACATGAATATTTGTTCAGCAAGGGCAAATAATCATCCAAATGTCCTCCATTTGTGTTTTTTTATGTAGCTTTTCTTTTTCTCAGAAAGTCAGATTAACAATTAAAAAAAAAAAACTTGTATATTTGATGTTTGGCTTTTTTCTCTTTGATTGTCAGCTGTGCTAAGGGTTTAAGTTGTATAGAAACCTTCTTCCTTGTTATGTTTATATACTGTATGTGGCTATTCATTATTCAAAGTAGATTTATTACACAGCCCCAAGCTATGTATGAATGAATGACGTCTGTTTTGTGGTCATGTTGTGGCATATGACTCGATACAAAAAATAACCATTGTGCGAAGCACGTATGAAAACTGCTCCACACGATATGTACTTCACGAACATGATTCAAATACGACATGCATACAATGTAGCTCTATTATTTAGCTTGCTATATTGTACTGCTACTTTATGTTTAATTGAAGATTTGTCACTGAAGCTTTCACTTTCTTTTCACGCTACATAACTCAATCAATGGTTGTTTTGTAGCATCATTGTCAAGTATGTGGTCAGAACACTTGTGGCTGAAGTGCTCATCGGGGCACTTTTTCTTTCTCATGGAGATTCACTTTGGGGGGTTACAGTAAAAGTGCAACATAGTTCATAATCAAAGGCTCCCAGTTATCTCTCTCTCTCATTCTTTCTCTGGCAGAAGTGCTGTAGTAGAGATATATCCCTTTCAGCTAATGCCTTTTTGGCTCTCAAAAAAAATAAATTAGTCTCTGTTTCTCATCTTTCATGAGGAGCAGTTTCAAGTTTTTTTAGTGAATCCTCTTGCTGATACCCTTGGACCTTGGGTAAGATTGGCCTCATTCAATTGTACAGATATTTGAAAAATATTTTTTCATATGTTGTTTTATGGATATCTACTCCTGTGAATTATACAATTACTCAGCATAAAAGCATTGATATGATATATTTTGATTACCTAAACTAAGTTTCAGAATTGATGGGGAGAGAGATAGCCTATAATTTAATTGCAAACTACTAGTTACTTTTCTTGAATTGCCAGGGCCAAACAATATTGTTAAAATTATCCTCCTTTTTTCTCAAAATCATTATCTCAGCGTAGCAAATGGAGTTGTTAATCAAAATTCTTATCTCCTGATAAGGGTGTGAGGGTTATACAAGTTTGTAATATCAATTTGAAATCATACTTTGTACAATGTCAGATATTAATACAAAGTTCAGGTGAGTAGAGTTTGCATGTCAGGTGATGAATAATTAACACATATTTGCCATTCATCAGCAATGATTAGTAAATCATAGTCCGAAAAGAATGATTAGATTTGAATTGCACTGGACTCAATTGGTTTAGGAAGTTATTTTTAAAAAATCAAGAATGTATTGAATAGTAAAGTCTAAGGTAATTATTAAAAACTATTATTAAGGCCAAGAAAATTTGATTCCTATTTGTTCTTTCAAATTTCTTGACAATACAAAAAATCATGTTTTTTAAATATTTTATTATGTATTTTCTATTTTTTATTTTCTATTTTTTATTTTCTATTTTCTATTTTCTATTTTGTATAGTTTGTCCGCACATTCAAATTCTATGGGGCAATTTCAACACAGGTTGTCTAATTTGAACTTTATTTTTACATTGTCATTTAGTGCACTAAAAAGATCCTCAGAATACGGTGTAAGAAAATTGCCGCCATGACTTCTCATGCAAATTTCAAATGTCAGAGCAAAAATATCAAATATCCAAATAAGGAGCCGAGAGGAAAAAGGGAGCGGGAGGGGAAGACAAAAATAGGAATAATTATTACATGACCTCAACTAAAATCATTTGAAATCATAGATAACGGTGAACATGAAGGAACATGAAATTATATCTAATGGGTGGAGACTGGAGACTAATTAGTACAATATGTTTTTTGTTTTTTAAAGGTTTCATTTTGGTAAGCAGATTGGCAACATGATTTTGCGTGAAGGGTGTAGTTGTGTGGGAATTACAAAGTCTAAGAGGATCGTGATAAGGTTGTACATGTTCGTGAGTAATAATCACTCATGGACGGACTACATTGATAATGGTTCATCTACCTACTTGAGCCACGTGGTTCCCTTCATTAAGTCAATAGGAATGAGTCAATGCAGCAGTCAGTGGGTTAAATAGGAACATTATTGAAGTGATACTGATAACCAATCAATGGTTGGTATGATGAGTTTGCTGCCCCCCAGCATTGATCCATTTGTAAAGTTCAGGCAAGAGTTCATTGACCTCTGCTTGCCCAGCCTCTGACTAGACATACAGGTATGTGTCATCCATGAAATGGGCGGACATTAATAGCTATAGGGTAGAGCCAAATGTAAATGTAGCTTGTTCTTTTTAGTGCAGTAGTCTGCATCGATTCTCTAATTTGATTTTTTTTTAATTTTTTTTAAAAATTTTTATTATTATTATTATTATTATTTTTTTTTTTTTTTTTTTTTGGGGGGGGGGGGTCACATGCCCTGGTGCCCCCAACTCCACCCTTGCCAGTTGCCACTGCAATTATATGCTTGGAAAATTCGTCCCTTCTTGTCAAATGATAGATCTCACTTTGCCCATGTTTTGATGCATTTTAATGAGAACTCTTGCTGCTATTTGCAGCACTCCTTCTCGGATACTTGGAAAAACGACACATACTACCTCGTGCCGTGCCACAACAAGATTTAATGTGTTTACACGGGTATTTTAACCCCAAAGGGCGTAACTCATCGTGTATTAGTTTATCCATGGTTTATCACTCATGTATGTCAAGATAGCTCAAGTGGTACATGTTTATCTTATACCAGACAGATAGTGCTATTATGCCAACACATGCTATTGTCACAATAGTAAACCTTCCTGGACCTTTTTTTTAAAGCAGGAAAGAATTTATAGGCTGTGTTTACACTCTACATGCAATAAATAGATACGATTCTGAGTAGTTATTATCAGAGAGATGAACTGTTAATTTACATGCACTTTGCAGGCTATATATGCCATTCTACAGAATCAAATGATTACATTGGTATTCACAGTTGAGTATGCGATAGGGCCTAAATAAAACTAACCAGAACTACAATGGATTCATTATCAGGTAGTGCAATAAAATAGATACAATGCAGCAGTATCAGATTGTAAAACAGCTAGGTTTTGCTGTTAAACCTTAGTTCTTCTGTCTCAGTTTCCCAGTAACTCATATCTAGATTGAAGAGTATACATTTTGGTGTCATATACTTCGAGCTTTTCATGTGATACCTGTATTTAATTTGAAGAAGACCATATATGATAAAGGCCTTTTTTTCTGTTTGCAATGCCTCTTCAGGTCGAAATTAGGGGAAATTAGTCACTGATAACAGAGCGAAGTGGACCGTGAGTTAATGTCAGTCCTTCTTTTGTGTGCATTTCAACTCTGTTACACCCGGTTGCTTGCTTGTTCTGTTGATGAGTGTTCGAGACTGAACATAGTGACTTTGGTGCTTGAAGTAGCTGCACTCATGTCAGCTAGGGTGTGTTTTTTCTGAATACTGTGGGAGATTCGAACGTAGACCTTCAAGCCTCGTGGATCGCCCTAGAAGTTGAGACGTAATTTATTCCTTCTCATGAGCTTCTGAAGTCTTGTGAAGCTTCCTGTATGCCCTTGGCTTTAAAAATACTCTGGATCATGATAAGTAGACTTGAGGGATATATTAAGCTGGTAGATTGTCCACTTCTGTGATCATTGTATCGCAGTGCTCTCAATTGCTGCACTGTCTGTGTAGGACTATGTGTGGAATCATCTTTGAAGAACTGAAAATGTGTTGCATTTGACCCAGTCTTTTTCCAGAAGGCATCAAAAAGGAGAAGTTGTTGTCAAATACTATTAAAGAAAGTTCATTCTAAAGAGGATTTACATGTCATCTTTTTGATTTTTTCAGTGAGAAGGAGAAGTTATACCAAAGTAATCCAGAATTTCTGGACATTTTGATGATTGTTTTTCAAGACAACATTACCAACACATACAGGATGCACATGATTTAATCTCCAGATGGAAAATGACTTCTTTTGTGTCTGTTTGATCGTTTGGATCCAAGCACTATCTGTGAAAAACAACAGTTGTTTGAGAGTGTATTCTCATAGAATTGGGTTGTTTTAGCATGTAGGTGACAGCGCTTTTGATCAAAAGAATTGTTGTTTTTGTGGAGCCTCTGAAATCTAAGCTTTTGATGACTGAGTTTAAGCAGTTATTTTGATGATATTCTAGATTTTATCAGACTTTCTGTTCCTGATAATTGGATACTGATACAATGCCTACATATACATGTAGCTGCAACTAGAGAAAATAATGTCGGTGTGATTACAGTAATGATAACCTCGCATTGGTGGCTTGCAAATCTAGCAGTCTACTCTTGTTTTCTGATTCAAGAAAAAAATAATCAGATCCTCCTTTGAGTAGCGTGTTTCCATGTACAGTCTCATAGGTGTTGTATGACTATGAAAGGAGGCAGTGGCGTGAAAGATACCCAATTACTGCTCTGAAAGCTAGCCCACAAATGTCATTGCCATGGAAATGGGTGGATGTAGCATATAATATGTAGCATTGATAAGTGAAGATGATGCTGACTGATATGGAATGCTTACTTTTGTCAGTAGTGTGAGGTGACTGCGGACTGCGAAGACAACGCCACGAGGATGTGTCACTACTATATCTGCGATGCTAATTGACCTAATGGATGTGTAGACTTAGCTGCCCTAAAAGGATGTGATGTGTAGCATTGGATTGGGAAGAAACCTTTTGATGAGATGAAGTGGTGTCTTGTCATAAAGCTGCAAGACATAGTGAAGTCTACTCGTAACTGGTTACTGTGAGACGATAAGATCAAGAGTTTATTCAGATACAACACCTGGGAACTCTGGCTGAGTGCATATGAGTGCAGTGTACAACTTAGCTTACAAGCTAGACTTGTTTTAACTCTACAGACTATATAATCACTGTCATAAAGCTGCAAGGAATAGTGATGCTTTCTACTTCTCTAAACTGGTCAATTAGACATTAAATCCAGACTTGCTTCGATCAGGAGATTCAACGACTGCCTGACTGCATCTTGATCCACATTACAGGCTAGACTCCTGCAATACTCTACAGACTAACCCCTACCAATGTCTCTCTATGACTAACACCGGTCAGACGATGGCAATCACAGACGTGCCCGAGGAGGATGGGGTCCCTCCCATCATGGTCGCCGGGGAATCCCCTTCATCCACGCCCTCCTCCTCCTACTCCTTACCCCGCACCGCCTCCATCCCCCGCTACAGCCCCTCCAAAATGGAGCGCAAGAACTCACTGCCCATGGCCATTGTCAATTCTCTCCTTCTGTACAGGAAAAAACCTCAACCAGAGGGTAAGGCAGAGAGCAAGAAGGGTGCGGCATCCAGGACCAAATCGGATGGGAGCGACAACGAGGGCAGCATGCCTTCTTTCTCCGTTTCCTCTAGCAACAAGGAGGAGGCCAAGCCCTCCAACAAGAGACAGTCCACATCGAGGAAGGACGAAGATGTCAGGAGTGCGCTAGATGATTCAGAGTCAGTCATGTTGGGCAGGGAGGTAAGATATGAAATGGAGAAGATCAAATTATGTATTTGATGAAGTTAACAGTTGAAAGAATTATATGAATATACAGTCAAACCTGTTTTTAGTGACCACCTGTCTACAACAAGCACATTTTTGTTTCCCTTGAAAATGGTTTCTCATTGAAACATGTACTAAAGGAACTTGTCCACTTTTTTTGTTTCCCTTGGGCGGTCGCTATAGACAGGTTTGACTGTATTTGATGAAGCTAACAGTTGGAAGAATTATATGAATATTTACTAATTACACCTTTCATTTGCAAATTTTGTGATTATTTTAAAGAAAAACAAAACAATGAAACTTCTTATTTTAAAGAATTGTTTCATTGTGTTGTTTTTGTACATCAAATAATCTCCTTCTGATTAAGCTTCCACTACGTTTTTGGAAGATGTTCTAAATGATATCCCTTACCAACTCCACACCACCGCCCCACCCCACACCACCGCCCCACCCCAAATATACAATGAAATTATTTAGAGATAACATAACATAAACATTACTAACATTAGGACAAATGTGCTGAATATATGTTGGGGGAATTAATTTCAATTTTTATATCAAAGTTGAAAAGTTGAATAGTTCAGAACCTGTATGAGTACTTGTCGTTTGTTTGCCATGGAAAGTAACTCTGAAAGCCCTGTTTCGGAATCTGATGCAAAGCTCTAATCAGCCTTTCCTTCCTCTGCTCACGGTTTATAGTGAGTTGAACTACATGTAAGATTACGATAGCAATGAGCATGTCACGGCAACCACTATCTGGTTTATGGCTTGCTAATTAGTAATGCAGATACCGGCAACACACAGTAGTCCCATAAACAGCTACAGCAAAATCAGCGTAGAGCGCTATAAAAGGTACTGGAGGGTGAATGATGTAGGATTTTTTTTTCCATTTTAAATAGCATTTTCTAGCATTTTATTTCAATTCTGGATGTAAAGTGATAAATGAAAATATGAAAACAGTACAAAACTTTATCAGGTTCTGCTTTTGGGAGGTTATACATGTATTATTCTCCTCGGAAAAAAGTATTTGAGACATGCTGGTTCTCACTTATCACTCCCTTAACAGGGAAAAAAAAATCCTCCATGTAGGTTATATGGGGGGGGGGGCACTTTTTGATTTTTTGTTTTAACTTCCCTGTTGGAAGTTACATGTATTATAGCATTCGACAGATAGATTTCATTTCATTTCACACAAGGATACATATCATTATCTGTGCATGTCCATGCCACCCAAGTACAACAAATTTATATAAAGGATATCCTTGTTTGAGGAATAGTTATTTTGTAAAAACATTTCCTTTGTCAAATATTTGAAAATTTTGTAATGACTATCATTTTTTCTTCATCAAATTGCATGAGTTCTATTTCTGATGATTCAGTTTACAAGCCAGGGCCCTGTTTCATAAAAACTAATTATCAATAGCAAGTTACAATAACTGTTATGAGCTACTGAAATCGAGGCATTTGATTGGCTGAGAGTAAATTTTGTCATAGAAAATGTGGCATTTGTTATTGATAACAAGTTTGATGAAACAGGGCCCAGGACTGGACAACGGTGCACTTAGATGCCCCAAATCAAATTCTCCCCCCACCCCCAAAAAAAAAAAAATATATATATATATATAAATAAATAAATAAAAAAATCAAATAAAAATAAATTAATTAAAAAAAATATATATATAAAAAAATCAAATAAATAAATAAAAAAATTTTAAAAAAAATAATAATTAAAATAATCTAAGGGATCATCCTGACTGATTCTATAAAAAATAAATCTTCTTAACTTTTGATTTTGATTGTGTCCATCACACTAGCTGGAGACACAGCTCAGCACCACGCCCAACTATGGATCGGACATGGACGAGGTGGATAGCAGCTCTACACCGGACCCGCAGAGAACCAAAGCCCTCATTGAACACTATCTCACCAAGATAGAGAGGACAAAGGAACTTATCAAGGCTGAACAGAAAGCTAAAGATGGTGAGTGATATCTCCTTGAATTTGAGTATCGGTTTATAAAGTGCCATGCAAAGGAAAGGTGAACTAAAAAGAGCATAGACCACACAGGTTTGAATTTGGAAAAGTGAGTGACAGTTTACTTTACTTAAGCACCTTTATGTAAAGCCTGTGCAAAGAAACATTGAAACCTGTGAGGGTACCACAAGTGACTAGGGGTAAAGAAAAGTCAGAAACAATTTGGGCTGTGCTAAAGAAAGTTGTTCAAAGGAATTTAAAACAACAGGTTTTGAGGCTGCTGTCAAATAGACCAGAAAACAATTGATAGCAAGAAAACAGAGCACAAGAAGAAGCCTCAATAGAAAGGCTAGATGTACATGTTTTCACCAGAAGTTAAAGTTTTACACTGATAAAACTCTATCACTGCATTGAATTCAAATATTGTACAGCCTGTACATTTAAAGCAAAACAATTGGAACCAGTGAAACTGGCCACACCAGGAAGGCTTAAAAAATTCATTAGATCTAAAGTTGGAATGAAAATCGTTATGTTTTCAATATCCGGAAAAGCCTTTTATGATTGAAAGTTAAAATAGCAAGATGTGGCGGAAATCACTTTTTTGCTGTACTCTGTGTGACCTGTATGTTCAGCCTCACTGCAAAACTTGGTGACCAAGGAATGTTGATTGACCATGAAATTGGTCCAATTAGTGTAAAACCTGCCACAAATGCCATTCTTCAAGAAGGAGGTGGGATTTATATGTATTTGCAGAATTATGGTAGGCCTTATAGACTAAATTATAAAAAGTTATGTAATGCAGACTAACCTGCTTTAGTGACCACCTGTCTACAAAGACCACATTTTTTGTTTCCATTGAAAATGATTTCTAATTGAAACATGTACTAAAGGAACCTGTATATAAAGTCCACTTTTCTTGTCTCCCTTGGGTGGTCTTTATAGACAGATTTCACTGTATAATTCTGATTAGACGTTGATGTTTCTTCCTCTTCTTTCCAACGCTCCCATTTGTTTATATGTTAACACAAACAACATCAACTTTCTATTCCAGATAATGTGACGGAGTACCTGGCGTTAGCGGAGCATGCCGACAAGCAGCAAATTTCCAGAATCAAGACTGTCTTTGAGAAAAAGAACACTCGATCAAACACGAACATTTCAAACTTACAAAAGAAGCTGGAGAACTACCAGAGGAGATTATTTGACTTGGTGAATTACGGTGCATCTGGACCAAGGAAACCCAAAGAAGTCTTACAGGGGATGCATCAAGGTCTAAAGTAAGTCCTGGTCTAACTGAAATTAGGAATATGCAATAGGACTATCACATTTCGTACACTTTATTTAGATGAATGATATCTTTAACATTATCATGAGAAAGAAATCATAGTTGTATCATGATGTTGTCAAGGACAGCTGAGGAAATACATTTGATCCCGCACGGTCCAAGACTAAGTCCTGGACTACTGCTTTTCCTGTAACCTAATTCTGCTCGTGATAGTATGTTTCCTCTGTAGCCAGGAACGAACAGGATATGAAGAAACACGCTGGCACAGGTCTTGACTACATACTATAAATTATATTTTCAGATTTAGCTTTAAAAGCTAAAGAAGTTTTTAGATTCTACCGAGGTTGTGAAGAGAGTCGCGTACTCCCAATTCCTTGACCTAATGTGATGCATCAATGGGATGTTCTCTATGCTGAGGAAATTCTTGAGATGCATCAAGATCTAGAGGTAGTCCTAGACCATGGCTGTTCCAAGGCCTAGCTCTAGATGAGTAATGTTCTTGTAGAAGTGTTATGAAATTCAGGGGATTGGTCAGGTGCCTGTGAAGTGTTGTCCTTTTACAAGTAGTCTGAATGAATGCATTGTTCATTCATTGATTTAAGGTTTAAAGCAGGATTGCACCTTGTAGCTACTTGAGCCCTCTATAAAGCAAACAATGCTTAAGCGGTACCCGTTGGTCCCCCATGATCCCCTTTTTCTTATGTTAATTGAGAGCTGATTTGATGAGATAACCAGCTGTCAGTGACCATGCAGGGAGGCCTAATCCCTCCTGGCCAAACTAGTACAGACAGGCTTTAAGTCAAGCTAAAGTGATTGAAATATTAGATGTTTCTCATGATACCAAACATACCGTTTGACAAAGAAGCTTGAATTTAGATGACAACAACTTGCTTAAGATGTGTGCAATGGCTAATTAATTAAACGAATGTGACTGATTTTAGAGAGATTATTGAGTAAGGGGACTTGTCATTTGACCGGGTGATGTACTTGCTTAAGGCTTTATTTTGACTAAGATAAAGGGTTTAGGTTAGAGTTGCAATTGGATTTAGGACCTTTGCAAGGTCGATATGTGCGCTATATAAGAATCCAATATTATTATTATTATTATTAGGTTACTTATAGGGTGTTAGGTATAGTGTTCCATCTAGGGTTTAAGTTAGGAATTGCTCAGTGTTTGAAATTGACCATGGAACAATTGTTGCAAGAGTATGTGTTGAAGAATCGCCCCCAAACAATCAGATCGGACTCATAATTGGCAAGAGGGCTTTGATATGTAACATTTAATCGACTACAATCTTCAATTCTTACAATTGACTGGCATTGCCCTCATCATGAGTCATAATGTTTATCTTGTGAGAAACATTACAACCAGACTGGGTGTGTGAACAAGACACATTTAGCATTGAACTTTAAAAGATAAGGATGGATATCACAAAGCAAACTCATGTTAAGTTAATCATTATATGTTTCTCTGCACGAAGGTGTTGGTCATTTACACCCATGGAGATACTGCTCCCATAACATTTTCGATATGATGAAATTAAATCAATTTGGTATTAATCTTGATGAATGTTCATGTACATCAGTAAAATCATAATTCCTTGCATTTTCATCCACTCTCTATCTTTCTTACCCCCTTTTTTATGCAGCCTCTATTATTCCATTCTTCCCCCCCCCCTTCTCTCTCTCTCTCTCTCTCTCTCTCTCCCCCCTCTCACTTCTTCCCTCTGTATCTCTTTCGTTCTTTTTCTACATGTACTTAAAAGTAAACATTTAAATCATTTTCTGTCTTTTTGCAAATATAAGACCTTTTCTTTATTTGTTATTAAGTTTTGTCCAATCTTTCTGCTCTACCCATTCCACATGCTGCGAATACGTCATGTGCACCTGAACAAATGATCTCTTCTAAACGCAAATATTACTTAACAAATTTCACACTTTATTACGAAGTCAATATTTCTACCTTGGGTTTCGTATGTGCTAGTACTCTCTCAGTGCTTTTCTTTTTGCTCAAACCTTATAATGAATTAAAAAAACTTAAAAATGTATATTTTATTTAACAACAAAAAAGGAAAATCAATTAAATAATTGAAATGAAATGAACATGAATTGCATATATGTGAATTGCAATTGTTGACTTTATGCAATGCCATTTAACTTCCTGAATGCACTCGTACGATGTCCTGTCTGAAAGGTTGAGCATACTACATATACATGTAAAGCAATTGTTTACATTTCAAATGGCAGGCAAATAGTACATATTTGATTTATTAGGTTACTTCCTTATATAGAAACACAGTGATGAATGCAGTGGTTAAATCCCATGGGCAATATTTGGAAGCCTTCCAATCCAGATATATTGTCAAATATATTGCACTCTGATGGCCCTGCAATGAGGCATACGATTGCAGGGCCCCTGGAAAGAACAGTATTGATACAGATGAGGCTAATTTTTCATTGTTTATTATCTTCATTTTATGTTGGTGAAGGTATACTACATGATATCCACAATTATAAACAGCGATGATGATTGTATCATCCCAACTTGAACATTCTCAAACTTCATTAGATATCAATATCAAGTTTTGATGACCAGCCCCAGTTATATTCAGTCCTTCCTCTGAAGAACTGAGGTATGGTTTTCCCCAATGAAGAAGTTTTTGAATAATCTGGTAACGGTATTACCAAAAGTCATTTAAATGCTTTCATTGAAAACAAACAGATGATGTAATTTTTGTATGTACAGTTAACAAATAAATTATTCATACCCCTTGTAAATAAGATGTTTTTTATGATTTTCGTAACTCAAGAATGAAAGGTAGACTGGTTGAATAAGGGCATAGATGTAAGCTTTAATATGTTACATTCTCAAGAAACATAAACATGGACAAATTAATTTTTCACATACTTAAAAAATTCAGCAATTATGAAATAAGTCATGTTACAAATATACTATTGTTTTTTATACTATTTCTAAACTTCATGCATTACAGCCTATGGGCTGCTATGTTCAGAATACATCAAATAATCCATTCAATTCAATTCCTTATGTCTTTTATATTTCCAGGGGCGTTCGAGACAATATACGAGAAGGAATAACAGGGTTCTCAGGGTGAGTCTCACAACACTTTTTAAAAATCATTCTTTACATATTAATCTGTTCTTGTTCCTTGTATTTATTTTTACCCTGTTTGTTTGTCATGTGATTTACATTTGATTGTGAGACAACATGTATATGTTTAAAATTCAAGAGCATAAAGTACTGAAGTGTGACATCATACTGGCCAAGTTGTCACGGTTGCTGGTTCCAAACAAACTCGTGCTAAACATTGGCATGGTGATCACACCAGCGCCAAACACGAAATTTGCCCTGCTCCAGCCTGTTGCTTGAATGATTTTGCAGTGAACCTCATGCACAGGCTCTGTTGTTTGGAACCAGTAACCTGGACGGTGAATGAATATGATGTGAGCACGATACTCTATTGGGTATTAACTTATGGGAAATATTTTTTGTCTAATTCATTGCATATGTCCGATGGGTTTTATCCCCAGTTATCCCAGAATTAGTATTCAATAGGTTAGGGGCTAGTCACACATCACCATGACGATAGTGATTATTCATAAAAGTGAAAATCAGTCTATCTAGAATAGATATTGTACTAGGGTATTTATAAGTGTCACTCAATGGTTTATAAATGCTCATGAGCCTGCTGCGCCACTCTTTCAAATAATATTCCCATTTTATGTAGACTAAAGTTTATAGTTTCACTATCAATAATGGTGGTGTGTGACTATAGCCTTTTAATTGCTGTTCAGTTGTCTTTAAAGGATGCAGGATTGGTAACATATCTGACTCTCTATGTCAGATGAGGTGTTGAAAATTATACTCATATGGAAATACACTCGTATGGAAAGAGTAAAACAAGAAAATGGTAGTAAACGTGTAGCGATTCCTTGGGATAGCCTGAAATACTTAAATATTCAAAAAATAAGTCAAAATAATCATGCATAAAATATGCCAAGACTTCAGAGTTGCATTGAAAATGTGAATGTGCAATCTAGGAAACATAAAGAGTATTTAAACAATCGAAATGAAATGTGAGTTTATAATTTACAAAAATCATGATACCATATACAATTGATCTTAGTTCTTAGAATAAGGTCAGCTATTGAATATGGGGTTAATAAAAAGATGCGTTTCAATTTGCTAATTTCTATTTGATAAAAAGGTGTCCAACGATGACACAAGCAAACAGAATATGGGTCACAGCCAAAAATTGTTAATGATGATCTGGTTAATACTATCTCCATCATAATGTGCATATGTTGTGCTTTGGTATCAGGTTTGGGCGTATATCAAGAGTTAACCAAATCAATATGACATTTAATTAAAGGTGGAGTCGGTTTTCAAGCTAAGCAACAAAGCAACAAAAGTTTATGTAAATGGTGCATGTGGAAAGACCCTTATTTATTTTATCGGCCTTCTTGTGACTTCTACTTTTTTTTCTTGTCTACACTTTTCTTGCAACTTTGTATCTACCAGTGGGGTGGCAGATAAGATAGGCGAGCATTTGTTGGGTCTATCGGAGCTCACTCACACCGCAGCAAGGTGATTGGATCGATTGATATAACTATAGCTCTGCACACTGCACTGCGTGCTTGATAGTACTCTATAGACTCTTCCTGCCCCTTCACTGTCTCTCCTCCTCCTCCTTCTCACCCTCCTCTCTCTTCCCCATCCTTTCTCCCCCATCCTTTCTCCCCCCTTTTAATCTCTTCTCCTTTCCCTTCTCTCCCTTCCCCCTCCTCCTTTCATCCCCTCTTCACCGTCTCCCTACTCCTCTCCTCCCTCCCGTCCTCATTCCCTCCCCTTCTCCTCTTCTCCTCCCCTCCTATCCTCCCTTTCCCTCTCCTCCCCCTCCCCTCCTGTCCTACCCTTTCCTCTCCTCCCCTCTCCTCCTCCCCTCTCCTCCTCCCCTCCCTCTTCTCCCTCCCCCTGCCTCTCTGTCTCCCCTCCCCAACTCATGTCCTACCCCACCTCTAAGATGTACCTATATGTACAGCATACGATAACCCTCTGTTCTCTGGTTCCCAAATGTCTTTGACACAGCATGATCCATACTCGGGATGGAGTAGCTTTTCATATTTCTTCAAGTTAGAAAATCACAATCACGGTGTTTGTAGTCTTCCTTGTAATCAAAGGTGGAGTTTGGTACCCCTATCCTGCACCTCCAAATTCAGTATTTAGTGGGGTTTAGAGTTTGTATATATATATAGGTCTCTAGCTTGGTACATGTATGTGTGTTGTTACCTTAATCTACCACTGACCCCATCCAAATTCTAATTTTAGTGGGTTCTTAGATTTTGTATTAGATTTTGCAAGGAATAGATCTTGGGTTTTGTTTATGTGTTGTTACCTTAATCTCTTATGATTAGCTACCCCCCCCCCCCCCCAGCTTGTATACATTTGTTTAAAGAAGACCCTTGCTGTCATGGTGTGGCCTGAAATGTAATACCTTTGTCTTTATTATTTGATCTTTGAACCCCCCCCCCCCCCCCCCCCCCCCCCCCCCGTTCCCTATCCTCCGCCCTTCATTTCTAACACTGTTGCTCGATAGTTTGCTGCATTTGCCAGGTCTTGCTACCTAGTCGCTTATGATTCCTGTATGGTGCTCTAATGCTTGTACTAACCTCAAATGCAACAGTCCTCATGTAGTATATATAGACCGGATGGAATGCAAATCCTCACCGCTTTGCCAACTCCGAATCAATGTCTCCTTTTGACGGATGTAAAAAGTCTTTCAAAGTGCACACACATGCTATAGAGGCATGCTTCACGCATGTAGTTTAACTTTCTTTAGGGTTTGAATGATGCATTGTATTGAGATTAATTGGTAATGTCTACCGTCCAAGTATCTCAGTCATCTCCATTTGGTCCTTCTCATTTTTTTCATCTGATGCTCCTCATCTTGTTATCACATTTCTCTTCTTTCTTCATCTCAATCTTTCTAACCTCTTCTTCTTTAATCAGTTCATTTTTGTGTCCATTATTTCTGATCTGCATGTACATGAATGTATGTTTCTCTCTGAATCATTCTTCTTTTCAATTTCCTCTTCTATCTTTTCTTCATTATTTTCATTTTGTCCTTCTGTTCTTCTTGGAGTCTTTCAGTTATTCACTCTAACCTTTTTCACAATCATTTTGTCCTAGATAATATTCTTTGTCATCCTTCTTTTCTATCTTGAAAACATCATATTCATTGCTACAATGCCCTTTTCTTGACATGTTTCGTCATCGTTTTACATATCGAACGACATTAGCATTTTCATCCATAGGGTATCCATTTATACACCTGGGTGAAGAGAAGCAATATAGATAAAATGCTCTGCTTATGTACACACATGCTGTTCCACAGTCAAACCCACATCTTTTGTCATCACAAGTCAATCAGAGACACATCAATCTTTTTTTGGACAACTCACAAGACACAAAGATTTTCTCAGCCTGAGAATGAATTTTAAAAATGTCAGGTTTCACCCTAGTTGAGAATGAGTTACACAAATCACCTGGCCTTGGTAATCTTTCAAAGCCATGCATTGGTATTCAAAAATATGTGTTCATTCTCTGTGTATATATATATATCAAGTAGATGGAGTGTACAATGTTTTAAGGGACTAATTTCATCATGTCTGAAAGTTTTATCAAGAATCATGAACATCCTATCTGATCAATGATAACAAAATGTATAACTCAACAATATATCCAGTAAAGTGTATGGTATATACCCCATTGAAATTCTTTAGAACATGAATGAAAGGAGACTATTTTTCATATGTGATTAAACAATTAACTTTTTGAATTCTAATTTTTAACCTAATCTGCCTGCAGTTAGACATTTACGGAAGTCCCTATATAGTTTTCTCTCACGTTGTGATATACAGAAAAAAACAAAAAAATGTAAGAAGCTGCGGGATCAGCTGCGCCATAGACAGTTTTAAGCACATCATGTTTGGTTGTATCCATTAGATCTGCATCATCATCTAATAGAATTACTTGCATTGTGTAGAAAAGTCTCTCATCTGTTTTGTTTTCTTTATCATTGTTTATTTCTATGTGTTCATTTTCTTTCAGTATGATTTTGTTCCATATTTGTCAAATTTGATTTTTGTCATCCTTTTTCTTTTTTTCAGGCATTTTCATTTTCAATCAATTTGAAATTGTAAAAAAAAAAAAAAAAAAAAAATTACACTAACCTAAAAGTACTATGTTAGTCATATATTTTATGTGTGTTATAAAAACTATATTAAGTTGCCTATTTCAAGCCTTTTTTTTAAATCATGAAGAGGTAGTCATTTTATCAGATTTCACTAATTCATTTGCATCAGTATGTGCACGTTATTAAAGGAAACTAACTTTGATCGCAAGTCTCCTTTTTTAGTCTGAAGTAAATCATTATGCAAAGCAAGTGTGGGTGAATTAAGGTTTGATAAATATAAATTGAAATAATAAGTAAGTTGTTCAATTAAGATATAACTTCTTTGATCCCCTCTGATGTTTTAAGTTGGCCAATTTTTAAAATACCGTATTAAAATGTTTTGTTTTTAGAAAGCACAAAATCTATAGTACATGGTTGTTTTTAATATATAGCTGTGTAATTTATGCAAAAGTGAAGCAAAATATTAAATTTAACTGTGCTAGTGTGCTTGTTTGCATTTTGGATGGTTTGGTCATGATTTGTTAATCATGAATGATTGATAAGTCACATTTTGAATGTATATACAGAGAAAGAAAGAAAGGTTGTAATGATATCTTTAACTTTGAGAAATGATTCTCAATTATGAACAAATATTTCTTGACGTGCGTGCAGTCATTTTAGTGCTCAAAATTCATATACATGTACATGAAAGGAGATTTAACTCATTGCCTACCAAAACCGGTTGGCTACTGTGTTAAGCCTATGAGAATGAGAGAATTCAGGAGTCAACAGGTTAACATTGAAACCTGATGAATAAATATTCACACAGTCGCATTGCTTGCTTTTTAGATACTGGTACACTTGTCCTTCATTTATACATCATTAGCTGATTAGATGTGTAGCAAATTAGAGTAGATGAGTAGACTTATGTTAAAGTAAATGATGTAAAGGGATAAGAAATTGCACATTTCTGTAAACAGGATATTCTGGAGGCTTAATCATTCCAACTTGCTTAAACTTGGTTCAATCATAGTAATTAGGATTTCAAAAAGGATTTTTCTTTTTTTTCTTTGTTTTTTTTTTCATTCTTTTTTTTCCATTGACAATTAAAAGTATTAAAGAAAAATGCCTTTTTTGTGAAGCCATGGATAATCCTTGGAAGTATAAAAGTATACAATCACTTTTAAAAAAGAAAAAAATGCTTTCCATCTTTGCGCATGCAGACCTATCACATTAGACATCCAAACTTCCAAAATGAAAATTTGTGCTAGATGATAGCTATATGACCATAAAATGATGAGTAGTTATACATTGTGATAAGAATGATGCATATACTGTTAGACTTGGCAGTTTTGTTGGATATGTGACATCACTACCATGTAGTATGCGGTCTCATGAGATACAATTGCATGAATACTAACTTTGAACAAATAGAAAATACATAATTATGATGAATTGTCTATATTATCTTTCTCTCCCTCTAATTGCAGTGCAATGGTGGCCAAACCAAAGGAGTTTGCCAGTAAATTCAAGAACAAATTCGGGAGTGCAGATAACCTTGATAGTATCAGTAAGTAGAACAAAGTCCTTTGTTTACTATAGGCCTGTCTCCATCAGCTCGAGATTGCCAAATATCCGATCGCAAATTATCCAGCTATTTTGGCTCTTCATCAGCCCACAGTTGCAATTAGTGGGATATTTGGTCAAGATAATCATCCCAAGATATCTTGGGCTAATTTGCAAAATATCCTGCTATTTGACTGGTGCGTTTTCACCAGCCCAAAGACTCGCACTATGTGCAAACGCTGAGCAAAATATCTCGAGCTCAAGTTTCGAGGTTGAGTCTCGAGCTGATGAAGACGCAATTTGTAACTTCGGGATTATTTCCCAAATCAGAAATAGTGGGCTATTTGGCAATCTCGAGCTAACATACCTTATGATAACAAAATTACATCATTATAATGGTCAAGGGTGTGATCAAGATCGGGGGAGCACCAAGGGAAGTTTTTTGTTTTAATGTTTTACTTTGTTCGGAGAAGGTCTCAGATAAACTGCTCAAGAATTTCTCAACAACCCTCGCCTTTTTCTTTCTGTGCTGCTTTGTAAACGTCTTTTTTTTCCTCCATACCATCTGTAATAAGTTTAAAAGAATATGAAGACCACTTGTTAATATTAATTTTGTGATAAATCATGAATTTTGACATTACTTTCCTCTATACATTGAAAGTTTGGCTTAGAACTTGTATTTGCTCTGATTATGTTTTCATTTCTTTGAAAGATAGAATACTCTCCCAGTTGTTTGTTGTTGTAGGGTTGTTGTTTTTTTTCGTCCTGTGCTACATGTATATAACAGCACCAATTTGGGGTTATCTTACAGTATTACCTGTTATAAGATGATGATGGTAATGATGATAACAAAGCTAACATCTCTTTCTGTCTGTATCTTGATTTTTCAGATGATGATGAAGATCAAATCTCGATAAATAATAAATCCAAGAGTAGCTGGTTTGCACCAACGCCTGTAGATGCATTGTAAGTTTGTTGCTACATTTTTGCAAGTGAACGACAAGTATATTTTAAAAAATTATCCTACTAGCTTATTAACTCCAGAGAATGAATATATTGCTGTTTATTTTGTTTTCTAGATTTGTTCACTATTGATACTTATTACAACTTAATAGAAGGTAGTTTGAGTGAGATTGAAATAGTCTGTACATGTACATGTATACTCCAGACCTTTCATTGAGATGGATACAAATATGGAAGCCTGGGCCCTGTCTTACAAAGAGTTGATATCAATCACAACTTATTTGCGATTAATATCAATCGCAACTTATTTGCAATTGATATTAATCACAACTTGTTTGCAATTTATATCAGTCGCAACTATGTACATAAGAGATAGGAGACTGCAAACTTGTGATTGATTTGGATCAATCACAACTCTTTGTAAGACAGGGCCCTGATTTAAAACAAAAATAGTGTAATAGATTCTGAGACAGAGAAAACATATGCTTTCTTTGTCATATGAACTCATCTCATCTTGATTCTATTTTTTAAAAGTTGCTTCTTCTTCTTCTTCTGCTCCTTTGTTCCTCTTCCTGCTCTTTCTTCATCTCCTTTTTGCCTGTTGAAATTTGTCCATCTTCCTATTATGGTTATTAATCTTGTTCCTTCTTTGTCTGTGACCTAGAAGACCCAGGTCGGCCAGCGATGGGGAGGAGACGTACAGCCTGACCTCGGGATCGGGACCCAACAACAACGGGCATCCGTTGCTAGGCGACGACGATGTTGAGCATCCACTGGCAGGAGCTGTTAACAAACTCCAAAGAACCGTCCATGAGTTAACAGCCTCACAGTCCAGACTTCAACTCAATATAGAGGAATTGCAGGTGAGGAGGATGATGTTTTTGTCAGAAGGCAGAAATTCCTTTAGGATAATAGGAATGAATTTATTTGATCTGTAGACAGGTGATCAGAATCTTTAGATTATTGGCCTGATTATTGTCAATTATCCTAGATGTTGATGTCTCTACGCCATAGTAATGTAATTTGATGGTTTGATATCAATTTTTATATTAATTGCTGAAATAGGAAGGAGTCTTCAATCAAAGGTTGTTATTCATGAATTACATTTTAAAGAAGTTACTTTGAAATATTAGATTCGTTGCAGTAGCTCTGCTATAGTGGAGTGATATTTTGATAGGATGGTGACATGGTTTCAATGAATCTTGGCAGCGTGGTTAGTTAAGTCATTACATGCTCTGATTCTGGTACAAGTCGGGCATGGAATCGTAGCTGGCCGAGGAAAAAAATTAATATAAGTTTCTATTTTCACTATCTGAAGACATTTGAAATAATCAAAGAGGGATAATTCCATCCAAATCGGTTGTACTAAAAAGAAAGGCCTAAGGAATACAGTGAATAAGTTTAACTGATAACCTCTCAAGTACAGGAGACTACCAACTATTATATTCAATAAATCCTGAACTTGATCCAGCAAACATCGTATCCTTGTAAACCAATGAAAATTGACATTGAGTTAAAATGTACACACCTACCTTATGGTCAACACTTTGGAGACATTACTAATCATAACCCAACCAGCAGATGAGATGATGCTCTGAATACTTGGTCCATGTGTGATTTCTACTTCTTTTTATTTTAAAAAGAAGTGTTATCGGTTTTGATGCTTGCCCTGGTGAATATTTCCCAATGGCAGTCATTTTCTTACAAAATGTATTTTCTCTTCTACTAAAAAAAACAGGAGTTGAAAGGGAAGAGAATAAGATCTCCCACAAAACAACTTCAGAAACATGACCGTCCTGTTTTTTTCTTTCTTTTAAATATATTTTCCCATCTGAATAAACGATACATTTTCTTTTGCTAGACCTCAATTCTTCGATTGAATTCGATTGAAAAGTCAAATTCCTTGCAGTGAGATTTTTGTGATTGTTTTAGTTCTTTATCAGTGCTCTATTTTAAGTTTTCCTAAACTTCATTAGAGCTTTTCAGAGTTATGTAACTCACCACTCCTGTCTATATCTTTACTACACCGTTACCCCCACCCTGCAGAATCAATTACAGCACCAACTACAGTACTTCAACCAGTCTCTTCAGGAGGAGAGATACCGCTCAGAGAGACTAGAGGAGCAGCTAACGGATCTGACCGACCTCCACACGCATGCCATGAGCAACCTACAGCAGGAGCTAAGCTCCGTTCAGGAGAGGTTGGAGTATCGCATGGAGGAGAGGAGCAGAGATTATATCGACTCAGTGGAGCAGTGCCAAACAAGGGTAAGATACTTAACATGTTTTACAGTCCTGGGGGGCGTTTCACAAATCCTTTTTTCAATGGCAAATAACAAAAATCAGTGACAAATCTGCTGATAAGCAATCAGAAGCAAGGATTTCGGTAGCTTGTAACACAAATTGTCATTTGTCACTGATGACAAGTTTTGTGAAACGCCCCGCTGGGGGGTGTTTCACAAAGACTAAGACCGACTTTAAGTTGGACTTAACTATGGCAGGCCGTTCATGCCACTGGTTGCTCTCACCTTTGGTCTCTCAATTATGATCTTTAGAAAATATTTTTTCCTTCATTAATGAACTATCAATGTGTGACCATAATTTGTACGTCCCTTGAGAGACCAATGCCAGTAAATGGTGAGAGAAAACAGTGGCATGAAAAGCCTGCTATAGTTAAGTCCAACTTAGAAGTCAATCTTAATCTTTGTGAAACACTCCCCTGGTGGTGTACTTCTCTCTCCCTCTTCAGCTTCTTGTCCTGCTCCTCTACACCCCCTCCCTCCCCCTCTCTCTATCCTCTGTCTTCTCATCCTTGTGTATCTAATTTCAATTGTCTATATGTTCCTCACTTTATTAATCTTCCTCTAGTCATTTTCTCCTTTTTCTCGCTCTCCTTCTCTTTATAATCATCTCATCCTTATTCTCCTCCTCCCTCTGTTCTTCACTTTCCACCACCTCCTCTGTTCCTCCTCTTTCTCATCCTCATTTTTGTTTCGGAGCCTTCCTCTTCTACTTTTTCCTCCTCCTTTTCCTCTCCTTCCTCTCTATACCTTCTCCCTCATGTCTTCCATTTCTCTCCTTTATGTACTTCTTCTACCTTCTCTCACCCTTTACAATTTTATGACGCAAATATGCTTTTAAAAACAAAAAGCATATAGAGGGACAGATTTAACAAAGAACTCTGAACAAAGGTTTCTTTTGTTTCATACTATAAATACAGGTCTATAGCTTATAAAACAATCTTTCATAGTTTGACTTTCTGTACATCTAACATCCTTTTATTATGGATCTTTGAAATACTTAAGTTTGAACCATGCCAGTAATTATCATTATTATTAATTGGGCGTCACCTGCGCCTGGGAGGTGAAAAGCAAGCTGAATCACTGTAACCCTCGTGTCACTCCTCCAGGTATAACTGATTGGGGGTTTCCCCCTACTCTTATACGAATTGTGTAGTGGGTTCTTAATGCGCAAAGGTGGTGACTCTCTCTACACGGGTCCTCCATTTAACATCCTATCCGAGCATCGTGATTATCATATTAAAGATCTATATAATATTTCTTTCCTGCAGATATCCAAAATTGAGTTGGCCCAACAGCATCAGCAGGTGATCACGTTAGAAGGTTACGAGCACGCTAACGCGAGGGCGCTACTCTCTAAATTCATCAACGTGATCCTGCTCATACTAGCCGTCATTCTTGTCATCTTGTCCAACGCTGTCAATCTAGTCTCTCCATTAGTGCAAACCAAGTGAGTTTATAGAGTACCGAAGCTGTGACATCATAAAAATCTAGTTTTTAACGTAGCAGTTTTTTCTTCATTTTCAGAAAGAGCATAAAAAATAATGTCCAAATGTTGAAAACCAATGGAATATGTTAAGCATTGGCTGAGATATGACCGTACGAATAAATAGATTTCCTATAGGAACTCAGTTTTAGATTGCTCTGGCATGATTATGGGAAATACAGTCACACTTTGTTAAAATGTCAGGACAAACTTTGGGCATCCTATTTGGTTCTTCATATTCAAATCATTTGTAAAGTCATTCGTAACTTTACGCACAGCTTTATGAAACCCCCCCCCCCCCCCCCCATGGTGATAAAGACTGAGATATTTCAGTGGGCCTTCCATTTAATGATAATCTATCTATACTATTTGATGACAAGGGGTTTGTAGAGATTTGACATAGTATTTTCAAGTTTACATTGCATATCAAACAGTATGATTTCGTAATGATCTAATGCAGAATATTATTACCAGGTAGATGAAAGAAAGAACAAATCATAGAACAACATCCACAATAATTTTTGTTTCTGGAGGTAAAAAATGAAAATCATTAACCTGCTGTTTACTTATTTTTCTTTCCAGATCTCGTCTCTTAGTCACAATATTTATGTGTGCCAGTCTCTTCTATCTCTGGCAGCAGAGGGAAATGATCGACGGTGCGCGGCGGAACTTTTCGCAAAACTACATTCATTATCTGCCCTTTCAGACTCGGTGACACACAATCATTCCATCCCAGCTGCCACATCGTTCTTAATGTATGGGAATGATAGACAAAATTATTGCTCTTTCCCATACACAGTGTTGCTCTTGTGGGACTGAGCCAAATGAGACTATTTCCCTCTGTGTTGATGAATACGTGGGACTGAAAAGAGAGGATCACGAAAAATGTATTCCGGGCTGAGTGACAGGACCTGAAATGAAGCAGGAAAAGGATGCGAGGTTCCAGTTCTATGGAGACCAAAGAAAGGATATGTTGTTTCCTTATCCAGATGAGAAGGCTCTATTAAAGGCCCATCTTCACAATTATTTATGGATGGGACCATTGGCATTATAGATATTGAATTGAAAAGGTTTTATCAACATCATCGTTGCGGCCACTTGCCGAATCAAGACAATTCTACTACTAGTATTACCTGCATTACAACGGATATTCAACAAACTCACCGCCGAAGCTTCTCATTATCAATGATGGTGTTCAGCTGATTGTTGCCATCAGCTAAATTGTTCATGGAACTCATCGATATGAGTGTATCACAGTACCTTGTCTTTGTGAGTGAGTGGGACTACAGCATTGCAGCACACTCGTAACTTCCATCGTTATCAAGTACTGGATCCGTCAGTTTTCTCTGAGACAGTGCATCTTCATATCTCCTGCAAGTGTTGTTACTTTGTTTTGGGTCGCTACTCCGTATTTGCTCCTGCTGAATATATAGATATTGATACTTCATGCATCCTTAAAGGAAGTGTCACCTACATGTTTTTGTGGACTCCCAAAAGTGATTGTTGCAAAAATATTGTCAAACCCTACTTGGAAGACATTGCATCCCCAAGACATACTTACCACACAATTTTTTTCCATTATAGTCCTTCAGACACGCTCACATCAGGAAAGGCACTGCTGCATATTCATATTTGCCCCAGTAGAGCCAAGGTGTACACTCCACATGTTTCGTCTTGGCCCCTGACTCTTTATCTTAAATTTTAATTATGTTGTGGCCTTGTCTCCTTACGAAGTAAGCTAAATATTAAGATAAACCAGGCTTGTAGGTTTCATGAAGTACAGAATATGACACATTTGAGATACAGTTGGGCATGCTCTTGAAATTTGTTAACCACTAGAGTATAAAAGAAATCATTCTCACGTCCTCTAATAAAAGTTGGTGATCTATTTTCTGGTTGATGCTACCTGTAAGTCAAGTAAAGACAATCTTCACAACTGTGAAACAACTTCTACTGCTCTGTTACAAAGCTTTTATTATTTGTTCAGCCTCCTGTAAAAACATACCCAATTACTACCCAAGGAACATGAAACTATGGTTAAGGGCATACTGTATGTCAATTAAACCCAGAAATGAAACCTAGCTATTGGAAGAGGAAAAGAAGTTTGATAATGAGAAGTGCAATATGTATAGAATTATAAGAAAGGAAAAGGAATAAAAGCCTGGATTTGAATGGAATGAATTGAAAAGAGAAATTATTTATAATATATTAATAGATAATACCGTTTCAGATATCTGAGGCCTTTAATGAGCTGTTGGTATAAAGAAAGTACAAGAAAGGGGTCAAATGAGTATTTCGAAGGGAGTTTTAATCCTGTATAAATCTTATGTCGTGGATTCAATCTTAATGTATGGTTTGTGTCATACCTACCAATGTGGTGAGAACTGTCTCTTGCGTCTTCATTGGTGGTAGTTTGTCAAAAAGTCGGGTGGTGAAAATATTGTCTCAGATAGCGTTCTGTAATTTCACTCTTTGGACTTTACACGTTTGCACACTTGTGTTGTTACAATGGTGAAATTCTTCCATACTGAAAACATTTGACATATATATGTGTAGCGTTTTATGTTTTTAGAAATCAGCAGTTATACTTCCCACTGCTCTGTGTTCATATTCAGAAGGTATACCAAATCAAATTAATAATTGGTGATTGCATCATTTAAAAAACCTTTTTGAAACAAGAAAAGGCTTGCAGAAAAACTTCTTTATGTTCACTCAGCTTTCAAAATACATGTACACCCTGTGTACATCTTGTATGTCCTGGGGGTGTTTCACAGAGATCCTAAGTTGAACTTATCTCTAAGTTGGGCTCAACAATTATGGCGAGCCATAAGCATCTTTGAAAATATTTTGTAAACGGTATCTTTAAAGGTGTAAAATATTGATTTAATTCATTTATATTTTCTATGATCAAGGAGATTTCATGTTCTTGATGTGGAATTTATGAAAAGTCTAAAATACTTGAATTTCTGCTTTTTAATATATTGTATTTTAAGGCTACAAATGGCTCTCCATAATTTTTAAGTCAAACTTTAAGTCAAGCATTCAGAAAGACATCACTGACAAAATGGAACACCCCCCAGATGTCCATGGTCTGTGGAAGAGGTTGAAGTTGCTGCAAGGAACCAAATAATTTGGGAGTTCCTCTCACATCAGGTAGCAAGTAATGCTCCATGCTATCCAATGAACTGATCTGAAAATGTAGTATTTCACAGGACTGTTTCTTTTTTTTCAATAGATATTGCCATCGTTCATGAATTATACGAAACAATTTTAATTATATCTGATTCTTTTTTTTCTTCAAAAAGAGTTAAAATGTGGTGAGCTTCAATATTAGGTTCAAGTTTCAAAATGCTACATGTATTTATGTGTGTGAAATTTTAGAGCAATCGCCAAATCTGTCTAAATAGATGACAATTTAAATGCCTCCAGGTAACTTGTGTCATAAATTAGGACAGATTACTGCAGAGACAGTTTTATTCAAATTTTGTAATCAAATATTGTTTAATTTTTGTTGTTGTCTGTATTGAAACATGATTTATTTGAGTACTTTGAGTAAAAAAAGGCTGAATTTTACAAGAGAATTTTTAGTTAATCAGAGGGATGTAAAAATGAGCAAGGCTCACAGTTTCTTGGTGGTATACAAAAGCCATACCTTGAGAAGTTATAATGGATATCGTTACTCCTGAAATCATCTCTTTGGAGCCCGAAAGAAGGGCATTAACTCTGAGAAAACGATATGAGTTAATGCTTTTTGGCTCCCTCTCTAAAAAAGCCAAAATAAGAGAGAGAGAGAACATGTCATCTTCGTGCCCATCATATGATTTCAAATGAACTGAGTTGTGTGTGACAGTTACGGTACTAATATGCTGAATCTCAGACAAATTAAACGTTATTGAATCAAGTCTTTGGTTGACAACATATCTGACTTTCAAATATACTATGTAACTGACTTTTAAGAAATACTGTGTATTACAAACTTCATGGGCATATGTTTATTGATGGGCGGACTGTTGGAAGTAGATACACCAATCCAGACGGGTGATGCGGGTCCAGCTTTAGAGGGGGGCACTGGGGGTGTTTCACAAAGATCCTAAGTTGGACTTAACAGTTATGGAAAGCCGTTAGCATCTTAGAAAATATTTTGCAAAAGTTATTTTAAAAGGCATAAAATTTTGAATCAAATCATTTATATCTTCTATTATCAAGGAGATTTCATGTTCTTGATGTGGAATTTATGAAAAGACTAAAATACTTCAATTTTTGCTTTTGAATATATTTTATTTTAAGGCTACAAATGGCTCTCCATAATGTTTAAGTCCAACTTAGAGTTAAGTTCGACTTGTGATCTTTGTGAAACACCCCCCAGGTGTCATTAGATGAAGTCAAAAATGTAGGTGGATGACATAGAGAACAATTACATCGAGTTAGGGGAGGGTGGTGTGGGAGGAGTCCTATCAGCATCTTTTCATGTTGCCCCTCTCCCCCTTTTTTCCCCTCTTTTGTCTTTCGTATCTCCCATTTTTTGGCCATCAGTTTTGGGCGTGTGCCCCTCCTCGGCTATCGCACTGGTCTAGTCATCAGATTCATTAAAGAGAAATACAAAGATTGGAAATAAATGATAACACTGTGGTGATAAGAGCTCTCAATATTTACCCATAGCATTAAAAATGCTATAAATAAATTAATAATAATGGTGAAAATATATGATATATGACATAATCGAAACTGTTGATCTAGGCGCGACAAGGTGAATATGCAAGTTGCATAAAAAATAGTTCAACAGATAATCAGAATGAAAGTCAAATTTGTAGTGAATACTGTGAAATATGATGTCGTAAGTATTACCATTTACATCATTGAACCAGTATTCTTACTACGAGAGAAAGCATAAGGGGCAGAATGATAATACCCCATGGTAAAGTTGATTACTGATTTGATTATATACATGTGATACTCGCTTGTACTCTACTCAACACCTCAAATTAAAGCAAATCTATTCTATATTCTGAAGCTACTCTATTCTATATTCCAAAGCTTGTCACAGAATTGTCATAAGTATTATTCAGATTCACATGAAAGAATTATTTAATAGAATGGATGTGTTACAGCCTATATGTAAATTGTTTGTTAAAAATCCCACAAAAGATGATGAAGATCCTTTGAGCCTGTTAAAGTGAGCTGAACCTCAATCGATTACTTCTTGTTATATGTACTTATTGAACATAGAATATTATTACAATGTGGTCCAAGGCCCGGTACAGTATTCCAAATCACTCAGAAATGGTTTGGCAATTGGATATGGATTATTTATGCTGAAAATTATATGGGTGTGTGTATGTGAGTGTTTGTTTGTTAGTGTGTGTCTGATTTGACTTTAAAAGTTACAATCAATTTATTGCTTGAAAGGATTGCATTGTCGAAGTCAGATGCGATAATTTTGTCCATAGAGAGGTAGAAGGGCATCAATTCTTTATAAAAATACCGGATTTGATGCCCTTCTGGCTCTCGACAGTGACGATTTGTTGAAAATACCAAAGCTTTCCCACTCAAAACCTATTGAATGAGAGCCTTCCTCCCCACCTTCACCTACAGAGTTTAGCTGATAATTATTTAGAATGTCTATATATTGCTCCTTTTTACGAAAAAATTATTGATTCTGTGCAAAGGAATGTATGGTTTATTGTTGTTGAACAAAATTCAAATATGTGCAAACTTGTGTTCATCGTTGCCTACGACAGTCATATATATATACGTTTCTCCACTGCAATGCTTTTTATAATGTAGAAAAGAGTTTATATGCAAAAGGATATTTGAATATGTTCATTTTTTTAGTACTATTTCTTGGTCTCTATATATATTGCAAGTATATATACATATTTTTGTACATTCCATTGAGTTGTGATTTATGTTGACTTAATTTTGCATTTTGAGATACTGGATGGTTCGGGCGAGCGAGTCTGCTTGTATTTACTGCTTTGTTTCAGTAGTATGTGTATGAGAAACTATGTACATGTAGAGGCTTTATGACTTAATCAAAGGTGAATTGCCATTTCAGCGTTTAGATGTGTCTTGGGTTTCTCAATAAAGATGGGGTTTTGTGATCTAGGCTCCTTGTATGTGTGGAAGAAAAGCACTGAATTCTTTACAGCATATCATCTCCCATTTGTGCTTAAAATCACCAGATTTTCCATCAAAAGTCAATGAAATTTTATCTTAAATGATGAAGCAAATTGTCACACCTACTGTATTTAAAGTATTAAAGACGTATTAAAAGCATTATATGAATTTATGCTGTTTTCAGTAATGAAATGTTGTAAAGATTTCCAACTGGATCCTATGTATTTCTTCACAAATACCCAACATATTCCTTTTAAAAATCTGAATTTTACCAATTTCTAAACTTTCTTCTACTTGTGTTTTTCTAACGCTCTTATGTCTATTTATTCATTCACTTTTTGCAATGGAAATTAAGAATTTTAATGAGTAAATAAATTTGAAAGGCAAAAATCTGTTTATGTGTAGTGATCCTCATTCCAGGTAAAATTGATTACTGAATTTACAATTCACATTACAAAACCTCAAATTGGCAACTCCCAAAAGGAACTTTGGCCTTATAAGGGGAAAAAACATATTTTTGTGGTTTGACAGATATTCTTTGGTCATCTTAGACAGGCTTCTGAGTCATAACCAGCTGTCAACTGTTTAATATACATGTACTTGAAATGGCAATTGTTTGCAATTGCACATTAATGTATACAAAATGGCATTTGCAGGAAAGTAATTATCATTTGTGGTCTTAGCTCCATCTGAATACTCCAAGATATTCATCAAACCTGTAATACAATAAGCATCACTGTCTTTTCCTGAACTCTTTCGCTTCCTCGTAAAAATGCCATGAACTTCTCCATATTTCAGCTATAGGATAGTATAGCAGCTGCCATTTTACCTTCCTTGTGTCTCCATGAAGTGTTCCTATCTTTATTTGAAGAATTTTGTTCACATTTTCTTTATTTTTTTCATTATTCACTATTATATTTTCTATCCTCTAAATTATTGTTGCAGATGTATATGTAGTCTCCCTTTTTATTGTGAGGGGTATAATGTATTGAGAGAGAGAAAACATGTTGCTCTCTAATTGTCTAATGTGAAATGAGCAATGTTACGAGAAAATATCAAATAAATACAAATTTTAAAAAGAACTTGCCATGGCAACAAAATAATGACTGAACCGTGTGATTTATTCTTATGTTGCTTTTCGTTGTTGTAGAAGTTTTTTGTTTGTTTTCTTTATTTGTTATCATTCTTTCTTTCCATATTTTTTGTTACCTGACAAACTGCATGCAGTTTCATTCCATGGGGTTGGGGCAATTTTTGTGACATACCAGAAGTAAGAAACTATGTCTCCTACCAACCATAACAATGTTTGCTCAAATTTAATTAAGCTTAAAAAGCATAGCAAACTACCGGTATGTTTAGAAGTACTCTAGCTTCATGGTAGATCAATATTATACAGTAGGTTTGCGGTTGCACCATGTGTGAGAGAGAGAGAGAGGTTTGAGGAGTCCTGAAAAGGACTCTGACTCCGTAATCTTTCTTGGAGGAGTGTAGTCCTGAAAAGGACTGTTTGTTATCTTTCTTAGCATATAGTTCTCAGGAGAATTAAAGAGATGTATCAAATTTTTAATTTCAAAACAACAAACCAAGCATACAAAGTATTCCTTTATTTATATAATCATATATATTTGATGTTTATGTAATCAAAGAATTATACAAATACTATCACGGTACAGTCAAATATATGTACATATCTTTTATCATGTACAAATGTCATACCCCTTACCGGTAATCATTTTTAGGAAAATGTCAACCATGATTCTGAATATATATATGGCCTGTGTAATAGAATTACAAAGACTGATCCTTTGGAATACAATTCCACAAAATTTGGTCCAAAATTACTATTTGATTTGTCATATAATCATAGTAAGGAAGGCGTGGCAAGCCGTTGTGAAACAGAAGCCATCATACATCCCAGTGATGGTGTGGACGGCTTAAGTCAGTTAATCAGATAATCATAATGCATAACAATCTTAATACAGATGCTAGACACTTTTTTTCCTTCATTCTTTTTACATTTTGGTACATGTATCAGGCCTGATAAAAACCCAATTTTTTTTCTTCTTAGGATTTAAAAAAAAAAAAAAAAAAGCCAGACACCCTTCTCCCACCCCCCCCCCCATTCTTTTTACATTTTGGTATCTGTATTTTTCAAATGTTTTCTGGATAAATGGTTTATACTCAACACTATGAGATATCATGGATAAAATAAAGTTGCATACAAAATGTTTGAATGGCATGAGATGACACATTTGTTCCCAAAATGCAATGAAGCAAAAGAATCAAGATCAAATTCCTGTATTTTAACATAAAGCTCAGAGAGTAGACAAAGAGGCCATTTTAACATCCAACCATATTTTTTACTCCTACCCCCTGACATCATGTCTTGCCATTCATTTACATGATAAATGTTGCTATGACAATTTTAAAAGATGGTTTAGCACATCAACAATGGTTTAGCATATAACTGGAACCATAGACAAAGTAACATTAATGCACATTAAAGGTAATACAAAGTTTTGGTATGTCATGAAATGTGGTTCAAATGAACATATTGGAAGCATATGCAATCCTACAATATTCAGTGATCGTTGTCGCGGTTGAAATCAAGTCTAAAGTTATGCTTTGTAAATAATAAACTCTCTATGTTGTGTAGCTCCCTCTCAAGGTCAAGATATTAATTAGCCAAGAAACAATGTTTCTTGGCTAAAATCGACCAATTGGCTATTTCTGTTTGGAAATTATATATATCACAACTACATATTCTCAGATTTTCATGGTCGCAGCTACCATTGTATGTCCTTAAGCGCTATTTGAAATTTATCAAAATTTACCGGGAGCATCAGTAAATTTTTGATATTCAATTTTTTTCAAAAGCAGAAGTGTTTTAGGAGCTAATAATACATTCATAGGGGCATCCAAATATATAAAAATTGTAAAGAATCACTATCCAGCCATTTTTCAAAATTTCCCAAAACTTTGTAATTACATGTACCTTTAATGCACAGGAACAATGAATTTGCAATGGCAAGATAATTTATAGCACAAAAATATGAAAAGAACCTATAACATTGTAGATTAAAGAAAAGATGCATAAACCCTCACTCAAATAGAAGGCATCATATGAAGTTTGTTAAACAGGAATTTGAAGAAATTTATGAGCTTTTTTTTTATATTTGAGAGAAAAAGAAGAAAGAAAACAATATAAAACCAAACTTCAGTCAATCAGATTACAACAAAATGAGCTGATGACTATTGAATATATAAAACTCATAATGATTCTTTCTTATTCACTGTAGAATAATAATGCAAATAAGAGTTTAAGCAGTAAACCATAACCTTAGCTAGAATATAAATGCATGTCAATTCCCTTTATTTCTGTGCAGCATTTTAAAATCTTTATACAGAGGATTTCAGACCAATTAATTTTGGCCGTCTACCCAGTAACCTTGCACTACATGCACGTCCAGTATGACACATTTTACATAACCTTCTATAGCCTTCAAGGCCCTTGAAGTGGAGGATAAATTATATACAGTTAAACCTGCTTTAGCGACCACCTGAATAGAAAGACCGCCTGTCTATAAAGACCACATTTTAGTTTCTTTGAATATGGTTTTTCATAGAAACCTGTACTAAAGGAACCTGTGCATAAATACCACCTGCCTGTAAAGACCACTTTTCATGTTTCCCTTTAGTGGTCTTTATAGACAGGTTTCACTGTATTGTATGTTTGGAGACGAAAGGGCGTTAAATCACATCATTTTACACAGTTAATACATTTCTGGTTCCAAAATGACTTTACTTGAATAATAAGTTTTAATAGCAGTATTAATACAAATGAACATCACATTAAGAAACTCATTGGGGCCAAGGAACCACCTTGTTGTATATCAGGGTTAAATCCACTTGAATACAAAGAATTAGGATCTACAAAATTTACCTGATAACAAAAATTGGTTATAAAAGGGATCAATTTGTCTTGCAAGGTTGCTAGTAGCGTTCTTCTTCATGGTGTTCTTGTTGTCAAGACACCTTCCTGCGCTTTAGGATGATAAGATTGTTTTCCCAAAGGCAGGCTTAAAAAGACTGAATAATAAGTTTTAATAACAGTAGTAATACAAAAATGAGTAAATTGGCTGCCACAGGGCAAAAGGCAGTACCCTCAGGCACCCTTTTACACCCTGTTGCAAGCAAGATCTTCTTCAGAGGCTATAAAGCTTGCCACAAGATCTTTCTTGCGCTTTGAGGATGGTAAGATTGTTATCCCAATGGCAGGCTTACAAACGCACATTATCTGTACTCTGTGGTGGCTTACAGGGTGTTGTGGTGTGCGCCTGTAATCCAGCTAACAATGGAAGTTACAAACTGATTAGGCCGAGGACGCAAGTTCAAAACTGAGTCAACTCTTTCGGATAGTGGCGCTAAAGGTCAGTCCCCAGACGTTAATTATCATATCTGATTAATACAAGTCTGTAAAAACCCAATTACACACACACGTTGTTCACCTCACTGAAAAGTTTTTTAAGGATCTCCTCCTAACCCTGCACGGCCCTAGGAGAGTTCTTCCTCAAGCGGTTCTTGGTGTCGTCCCCGGGATGGAACCCATCTCTTCATCACCATCTCCTGGACCTTGAAGTGCGGGATGCAGGCCGGTGAATCTAGGTCCTTCTGCAGGAGCTTACTGGGCTTGATAACAAAGCAGAACATCAACTCCTGCAAGAACAAGAATACAACAGATGTCAAAATACATTCACAGATGTCCCAGAAGACACATCCAGGCACACAATTGTTTTTTCTAAACTTGCTTTTGTCTCAGTTACTGAACACACAATTAGCTCTTAAAGCCCGTCTGCACTAATTTAGCCAGGGGGGATTAGACCTTCCTGCAAGGTCACTGACAGATTGTTATCTCATCAAATTAGCTCTCCATTAACATAAGAAAAAGGGGATCTTGGGGGACCAACAGGCACCGATTAGGCATTGTTTGCTATATAGAGGGCGCAAGTAGCAATAAGTACTGCAGTTGGGCTTAAGGTTGCCATCTGTTAAAGATGCCATAAACCTCAGCATTAGCTTTCCATTAAACTTATCAAGCAACTCAATTTAAACAAGGTTCTTATTATAATTATTATTTTATTCAGCAAAACAAAGTGTATAAAATAGAATTACATAGAAGAACAATTCATACAAAGCAAAGGATGAAAATCATTAAAAAACTAGATGGAATTCGACTGCGCGCAGTCGAAAATGATGCCTCCGTTATAGAGCAATTTTACAAACCAAAACAGAAAAAAAAAATTGAATTCACGTTCAATGGTAATCCATTGACAGGTTCTCAGAATATTGTGATTACAAGCAATTTCTCATATACATATATGACCCTTTGATCTTTGACCTCATGACCATAAAATCTACTCAGTTCATTGGCTCTGCAAGATGTTCTGAGTTAAATAGTAATCCATCTGTCAGTTCTAATGAGAATGCGTTCACAAGCTATTTTTGCATACATAATGGGCCCATGACCTTTGACCTTATGAACCAACAATCTACTCAGTTCATTGGCTCTGCAAGTAACAAACATGACCTAATTTTGGCATGAATCCATCAATCGCTTCTTGAGATAACGCGATCACAAGCTGTTTTTGCATTCATAATGTGCGCTGTGGCCTTTGACCTTTGACCTACGTGCTCCAAAATCTAATCAGATTGTCTTCCTATGGTGATACACACTATCATTAAGTTTGAAGTTTTTACATCTCCAGTGGTTCTTGAGATATCATGATAACAATCTCAATGTATGGAATTTCATAAGTTGACCTCTGTGACCCTTGACCTTTGACATACGTGCTCCAAAATCTAATCAGATTGTTTTCCTATAGTGATACACACTATCACTAAGTTTGAAGTTTAAATCTCCAGTGGTTCTTGAGATATCATGATAACAATCTCAATGTATGGAATTTCATAAGTTGACCTCTGTGACCCTTGACCTTTGACATACGTGCTCCAAAATCTAATCAGATTGTTTTCCTATAGTGATACACACTATCACTAAGTTTGAAGTTTAAATCTCCAGTGGTTCTTGAGATATCATGATAACAATCTCAATGTATGGAATTTCATAAGTTGACCTCTGTGACCCTTGACCTTTGACATACGTGCTCCAAAATCTAATCAGATCGTCTTCCTATGGTGATACATACTATCCTTAAGTTTGAAGTTTAAATCTCAAATGGTTCTTGAGATATCGCGCTAACAAACTCAATACAAGGAATTTCATAAGTTGACCTCTGTGACCTGTGACCTTTGACCTACGTACTCCAAAATCTAATCAGATCGTCTTCCTATGGTGATAAATACTATTCCCGAGTCTTAAGTTTAAATCTTAAATGGTTCTTGAGATATTGTGATAACGGTCAAACGGGACGGACGTACGGACGGACGTACGGACGGACGGACGTACGGACGGACGGACGGACGGACGTACGGACGGACAACCCGAAAACATGATGCCTCCGGCACCACCTTCGGTGGCGGAGGCATAAAAAACATTATTATCGTGATTCCCATGAGCATTTACATGTTCCAAGGAATAGGGGAGGCAAACTAAATCACCCAAACTGTGAAGGTTATACTATCACATCCATTATTCCAATACTACATTTCTAAAAGCTATGGATGCATAAATTAAGACCATTCAAGCTCTTCTCACTGCCAGGTTGGCCATGTGATATTTTGTATTTTTGTCTTTCAAATTTTCAACAATAACCTTATTTGGATTGGAAGTTGCTGTGAGCTTGGTATGTTTTTGGACCTTTTTAAAGAAGCAACAAAAAGAAGAGAACAAAAGAAGGTATAAGGCTTTATATATGGTCTTGATTACCCACGGTAGCCTCATCAGTATTACTAAATAATAAAAATCTGGATTTATATAGAAATTAGTACGAAATATTCACGCACAATGTGCACCATCTCCAGTCACTGGGGAGTATTCCTACCATAGGGAATTACTGTGAGGGCATTTGGCAATAACTAACACCAAGGCTTTCATCATCCTACCAGGTCCCCATTTCTCTCCTGGGTATGGAGTGGCAAATGTAGATTGATGCCTTGCCAGAGGATATTAGTGCCGTGTCGGGGATTAAACTCATTACCTTTGAATTGCAAGTCAAATGCTTAAACCACTGGACTGCAACACCTCTACGTTATTACCTAGTTGCATTGGTGGACTATTTTGAACGAAATCCTGCTAATCAAGCTGGCCAGTAACAAGAGAAAAGGAGTTGCCGGAAGTATTTCTCCTCACAAAGAATTGTAGTGAAATGATTCGCAGCAAGTTTTAAATATGGATAATCGATGCTCAATCTCGACTCCCAGTTGAATACACCCAATAAGAAGAGTAGAAGAAGAAGATAATAATAATATTCAGCTTTTATATAGCGCTTAACACATCTAGGACGTCTCTAAGCGCTTTACAGATATACTATTACCCCGGTGATTGGATTCAGTGCTTGCCCGCACACACTGTGTGCACAATCTCCACTCCCTGGGGAGTATGATGTTACTGACCTTGGCAGCATTCTCAATGACCCTGTCCCTGCCCATAAGAGAGGCCCAGTTCATCTTGTGGATGCCTTGGTGGTCGATGTCCTCCTCATTGATCATGAAGACATACACACAGTAGCTGGCATGGTAGAAAGGTGGACCCTTCTTGTATAGGACTAAAGAAGAAGAAAATAATATTGTATGGAATGAAAATGAAATAAATATATGGAATTGAGTCTGATCATGACAAAGTCTTAGGGATCAATGATTTTTTTTTTTTTTTTCAATCTTTTAAAACTGTTATTAATCAAATAATTTGTACATACATCATGATAAAAATAATCACATAATCACTGCACAATAATTATAAAAGGTAAAAACAAAAGTAAAACATCAAACAAAACAGAAATAGTGGGTAACACTTCCTTTTCTACACTTACAGTGTATATCACAGGATATGTAATCAAAATATGTCTTCCACAGGGGACCATTCCTGCAATCTTCTTCTGTTTTGCAATGTTAAGTTCTATGTATTTTGTATTAATGACAAAAGACGTTAGCCCACTTAAACATGGTTTTGCGTTAATGCATTTTTGGATAAACATATATCTTTTAAACATTAGTAACACATGATTCAATAACATTAATTGGGCCTTTTCCAATCTTTAACGAGGGATCAATGAAGTTATTGTTATATTGAAATCTTGTTATACAGGTGTATGAGGGCTAAAATACAGAATATATCAGAACTGGGACTGGCAAAATTACCTTGTTATAACTAGAGTTTGTTCAAATAACGGTATTCTTTCTACATCTTCCATTTAAAGTATTCTTATATGTTACATTAGGTTATACTTAACCAAACTAACACCCGACTGTTATATTTATATTAAAGCTGATAATAATCAAATGGGTGAAAATGCCCTAGCTGCACAGTTATCCGAGTCTGCTATCCAACAAAAAGTTTTAAAAATAAGGTCTTTCACGGTGTAATTTTAATCTACTAAATGCTCTGGTGGACTACTTAAACCAAATCCTACTAATCAAGCTGGCCAGTAATAAACGAAAAACAGAAAGAAAAAAGCATATCCACTCACTAAAATCTGCTCCAAACTTGAGCCCCGTCTTGGGCACCCATCCCTTGCTTCGGAAGAAGTGATATACAATGTAGTTAGCCACGAAGCTTGGCTGATGGCGCCGGAAAGTCTTCCACATCTCCGTAAGATCCATTTGTTCCTGAAGAGACAAGACACAAATTCATAACACAATCTTTTATTATGAAGAGGTGTCATGGTCGAGTGGATATGTCACCGCATTGTGGATCACAAGCACCGTGGTTCAAGCCCCGTTGCGGCCCTAATGTCCTTTGGCAAGACATTGATTTACATTTGCCACTCTCCACCCTGGTTTTGAATGGGTATCCGGTAGGATGCGAAAGCTAATGTGCTTAGATTAGCAAGTGTGTGATTGTAACATTTGGCTGGAATGCTCCCCAGAGAGTGGAGAATGTGCATACATTGTGTGCGGGTAAGCCTGAATTCAATGACCTGGGTAATGGTATATATCTGTAAAGCACTTTAAGACGTGCTTTATAAGAATGAGCTATTGTTATTATGTAAAGGCAATCCTCCCTTGCTGCCAGCATTTTCCTTTTCAGAATTTCCCGCTTTGCTGCCTTTCAAATATCTTTCTCACTCTTGGGCAGGGTTTCACGAAACTGTCACAAGTACAAGTTAACCGACATCCTATGGACACATGTGTATTGAAATTAACACAGGCTTCAATTGGAGGTTGGCAAACTTCAACATTTTTGTGAAACATTACCCTGGAGAAGATGAAAAATATTTCAGATGCATATTTTGGCAATATAAAATACATATACTTTTTTCTATAGATTGACTGTGCAATACATTTCACTAACGACTACTCCTGGCTGTTTGTGAACTTTAAGAAGTTACATGCACAACCAATTAATTCAGGAAACCTTTGCATCATCCCTCCAATCGGATGGATTATTTATTTTGCTGCTTGGTTTCTTGATTCTTTTCTCAATGCAAAAAAGGTTCAGTATTTATGTCTTGACACTCTATCAATCAAACTTTCATATCAGAACAGTGTAAAGAAATGTTTCAATCAATGAATGGTTTCCAGGAAATATCCTCTTTACCTCATTGGCGTTTCTCAGGCTCAAACATCCAAGACCGTAGGACAAGAAGAAGGCCTAGAAATTAAAAATAACAACCAGGTTAATGACAAAAGTACCAAAAATGATGACTTTAATGATGACGACGATGATTATGATAAAAATAATGGTGATGATGGCAATGCCGATGATGATGGTGTCATGGTGATATTGTAACACTCATAATAAAACTATTGACTACAGAAACAAGATTATTAATAATACTGTTCCTACTGCTATTAATAAATACCTACCATAGAGCAAGTTTCATATACGTTTTACATTTGTCTGAAGGAGTCTCTTTTTGATGAAACATGTTTGTCACTGTTACCTCACTCAGAATAATAATATGCCTATCAAAGAGCATGTTTCATATGAGTTTTACATTTGTGTGATGGAGTCTATTTAAGAAGAAAAAACATCCATGTCATTGTTACCACGTTTGCAAAGCATACATTGTGCTTTAACTGGTAGGATAAATCAAGACCACTATCAAACTTGATAGTATTTTTAAACAAATTAGCGATGAGAACACTATAAGTATAACCCATCAAGGTTCCACACTATTCTGGTAACTCACCTCCTCATAGCTGAGCTGAAGATATTCAAAGATTGGATACGGGTCCTTGTGTCTAACAGGACCTTTGTTTACTTCACGGATCTGCAGAAACAAATATGCAAAACATCATCTTGAAAAAGGGAGGATATTTTCATATTGAATGTAACTTTTGAATGTAACGTGTACTCAAAATTCGCATTTTGATATCCTACGGTGCAGATACTACAATACCATCCAACTTACATTTTCCTGTATGAAACAAAGTCGTACGTAAACACGGTAACTATTGTTTTCTCAAAGATGATTTTCATTCAAAGCAACATAAATATTTTGGGTGTATTTTGACAAAGATGTACATGTAGGGTAGGGGTACTAATGTAATGAACTTGATCAACAAATAAGCAGTAAAAACAAAATTTGTAATTGTAACTATTAAGAAGGAGAGCAGAATTCATTCAGTCTTTACAATTCAAACATAGCATAGGATATAGATAAATAAATAAAATAAAATCTAATATTTAGGAGCGCTAAAAAATGCTTACAAATACAAATATATGAAAAGGAGACAAAAATGTACTGTCTCACATGAAGTAGATCACATAGATCACTGGGGGAAAAGGGTAAGTTTTGAGGGATCTTTTGAAGGTGGCAAGACAGGTAATTTCCCTTATGGAAAGAGGGATGCTGTTCCAATTGAATCAAGTACCTTCTTGCGTGCATCTCTGCCTTTGAGACTTAGGATGTTATTGCTCTCCGTCTGGCTTGTGGTGGCATCTTCAAACTCCACCAGAGTAGGCACAGCGACAAAGGAATCCTCAGCATTGCTAGGGTTACAATCAGTGTCTCTTTCCGGGGCCTTATTAGACTCTATTTAAGAGAGCAGACAAACAAAATATTTATTAATGAGAATAGAAATAATGCAAATATTTTTTTCACACTTTATACTTCACACTGTGCCCTTTGACTTCCTTAATATATAATCTATTCAATTTGATAGAGCAAAGTTCAGTTACAAAATTTGCAACAATGGTTCTCAGGTTATCATGGCAAAAAGGTAATTTGTGAGATTCTTTGCATTTTGAACCTCATGAATGGTAAACAAGTTAAAAACAAATAAGGTGCTAAGACCATAACAGGCAGAAAGATCATGAAAACGATATTAACGTTATTTGATTTCACATGTTTTGGAGCCCATTGTTGATTTCTTAACTCCTCTAGCCATTCCAAACATAGCACATCACTTTTAATTGTAAAGCTTTTACCGAGGGACTTCTTTGAAGTGGAAGGCTCCATTTGATCACTCTGCTGTTCAGAGACTTCACAGCTATCATCAAACCCCTGGTCTTCTTCCTCAGAGTCCTTGTGGACCTGGTCCAGGGTTGTAGAAATCAGGGCCTGGTCCTCATCGCCCATATCCCAGTCCCTAGGATTGCTGGTCCATTCCTCGCTCCAAGAGAGGTGTCCACTCGACCTCTTCTTCTCACCCTCGATGGACGTTTGATCCATTCCTAACCCTGAAGTCATTGGAGCTCCATCTGTTACTCCATCCTGCCCACCATTGTGGACAGACTCTGATTCCATCGTTTGAGAAGGTCCGGTGTTCTCCCGGTTACTAATCCCCTCTTGCCTTTGTCCCGATTGGAACTGGGCTCTCAATTTGCTCTCGCCGTCTTGATCTTGATCCCAATCTTTAGGGTCTGTCCTCCAAGAAGACATAGACCAGACACTTGTTCTGTTCCTGGAACTGTCAAGCAGACCTTTGTGATTCTTTGTCTCGTCCTGTCCTGCATCTCCCTCCCTCCTTCCTTCCATGCAGTTAGCCCAGTCTGCATGTCTGGTTTCCCAGACTGACTCAGATTGTCCCGATGATAACATCTTCTCACTGGCATCACCACGTTGACTGCTTTTACCAGAGACTGAATTCGGAAGGCAAGATGAGGTTGGTTCACTAGAGCTGACGGTGTGCCGCACACCGGAAGTCTCGGATTGGAAGACAAACTTACTCGCTTCAGAGTCATCCGTACCACGAAGATGATCCACACCAGGAAGACGACAAGAAACCTCTTGTCTGCTCTCAACATCCTCTCCAGAATGACTCCTAGGTGATTTGATTCTACCGTTCCCGTCCACATCCGCAGTCTCCCACCCATCTCTGGACGGTGCTAACGTTGGTATTTGCATCGTAGGTCCATGATGTGCCTGGTGGGTAGAGGGTACAATGGCATCCTCTGAGGCCATCCTCTGACCATCTCTTCCAGGCTGGCTAGAATCCACCGATAAATCCTTGCTCTCTGGGACCAACCACGGTGCTGGCAGCTCCTTCTTATGGTCGGTGGTCGTCATGATCCCTGCTCGCTGGTTACGCTCAGAGATGGTGGCGCGCTTCACTCGTTTGGCCGGTACGGTGGGCACCCTGTAGGATGGATTCTGCATCGAGTCCTCACTGATCAAGGTAGTCGGGGGTTCTTTTACCTCTCCATGATCACGACGACTTCGCTGTAATGAGAGTTGCTTCTGCCATGAAAGATGCCTCTCGTATCTGGATAAACAATAGAAAGATTCATAAATGACTACTTTTCCCCTTACAAGTACTGTACTTGACACAAGCTTTTCTCCAGTCAATTTGGAATATGCTACCACATATCGAAACAAATATGCATTTATATATATATATACATGAAATCAGAGTTTGAAAATAATTCAAGAAATACACTAAATATATTGTGCTTTGATGCATAGAGAAAATACAGGTACTTCCCCAAAATACAATGAAAGTGCTATACATGTAGATGCACAAGTAAAGGATATTATTTATCAGTACCGGTATAGAGTTACTTCTCATATTTTGTGATGCTTAATTTTAGGTTTTTGCTTTGAAGAAGAAAAAAAAAATCATCAGAGTCACAAACAACATGCACAAAGGAAAGTGTAACAGTCTTGATTATCTCATACGCCAACGCCATACACATGTTCAGTGAGAATACTTAGCAAAACATGCAAGCTACATAAATAATTGGCCTTATGAAGGTAAAAGCAATTCATTAATTACCCGGTAATGTAAGGACTCAGAACTCAAAGCAGTAAATAACATTATGGCTTCATTTTGATCCCGTTGAAAGGTATTTTTTCAATAAATTTGAAAGATTTCTCATGTTGCTGATCTGTGCATACCGTAACCTCTTTCATATCTGGTTGGTACTAAAATATTCATAAACATCCATTTTCTTTGTTAAAGACAAAAATTGTTCATACGTGCATCACGAGTATGATTATGCAAATTTATTTAACACAATCCCTTTTGAAATAATCCTTTATCAACAAGTAAGAAATGAGAACTTATGAAAACATCAGTTCAAAGCAAATGGGAGATATGTTCAAAAGGTAAGTCACGACGGACCAATTTCTCTTGATTTTATGGTTTCATCCTGTTGTGATCAACAGTTTATTTGCAAATTTCTGATCTGTTTGTTACAAAATGTTAAAATCATTACCAATTCATCCCACAGGGATGTGTCTAGGAAGAAATCATACAAAATATTGTCCAGGTAATTACAATTCAATCAAATTAGTGTCAAGAGTTTCAGACAGAGATGACCAGGAGAGATTATCTTACTTGTGCTGACGTACTTGCTGGAATCTCTGCTGTTGAAATCTTCGCTCTTTCGGGGGTACTGCAAAACATAAAGAAGGCATCATTTTCAATTAAAAATGGTCTTGCAACTACAAACTTCAAGAAACAATACCGGTACTGCAAGAAATTTTGGCGTATTGCAAAATGAAGGGTACATATTTAATCATTTTGCAGTATGAAACTTTCACAAATCTGGACCAATCAAAAACTGTGCAAAAGTACGTAGAATAATTAAAGGCGAACATGTTAATTAGTTTATCGCTACGTCTACCAAACATAAACTACCATAATGTTCATGTTTAAGTGAATTTTTATAACATGCTGTATGTTTTTTCACATCTGTTTGCATTATAAAAGGCACATATCATTACCAAGAAATAAAATCTTTAGACTTTACTTAAAAATTCATAATGAAAATCAACACACGTAAACATTGTCTATCATTGCAGCAGTCATATAAATTAGACCACCACGAGATTGATTAATCTGATTGGCCAGTATTTGTGTCGGTTATCGTACGTTTGTGGCCAGTCTGGTATCAATGTGTTTTTTCGAACATAAAGCGGACCCTATTCATTTTGCTAATTCATGACCATGACAAAAATAACTGAGAAGGCTTTACTTTGCATCATTCACAGGGTAAAAAATTCATGGCAAAAACATTTTGCCAATTTGTGTACACATGTACATATACCTCCCATCTGTTTGTATTAAACCCCATTTCACAGAAATCAGCCATACATGTACAGGTGTAATAATAATAATAATAATGATATTCGGCTTGATAGCGCACATCACATTATAACGTCTCTATGTGCTTCCAAAGAGCTTTGGAAATTATTACCCTGGCTGTAGCATATACTCCCTGTAATGACAGTGAACCCTGAATATCAACCACCTGCAGAGCTGCCAACCTTTGGAAGTACATATTAGTACTCAGCACCTCCAAAAATAGTATTTTACCATCAAAATTAGTATTTTTCAACCGGCCTTCCTTTCACCTAATAAAAACCTATTGATGTCGTAACGCAGCGCAAATGCATACCGTAAAGACCATATTTTTGCTGTAATTAGTTTTTTTTAAACATATTCAATTGTACATGTTCATCTATATACCTTGTTTTAACTGCAAACTCAGTTCTTTTTGGTTCCAAGCTCTTGCTTCAGCCCCAAAATCACCTTGAAGATTCACACACAAGTGACTATAAGCCACTCCATATAAAATGATGCACTGAATTCACAATATGGCTCTTGTAAAAATCTGCAATAATGTAGTACTGTGACCTGTAAACAAAGACTACCCGTCTATAAAGACCATGTTTTCATTTACCCTTGTATTGTGTTTCTGATTGAAATGTGTACTTAAAAAACCTGCACACTGGGGTTTACAACGTGAACTCATCTGTATATAAAGACCAACTATCTTGTCAACCCTTGAGAGGTCTTTATAGACAGGTTTTCACTGTACCAGGCAGTCAAACCTGCTTTAGTGACCACTTGTATAGAAAAACCACCTGTCTACACAGACCACGTTTTTTGTTTCCCTTGAAAATGGTTTCTAATTAAAACATGTACTAAAGGAACCTGCACATAAAGACAGACTACCTTTAAAGACCACTATTCTTGTCTCCCTTGGGAGGTCTTTATAGACAGATTTTCAGTGTACCAGGTACTGTCAAACCTGCTGACCACCTGTATAGAAAGACCACCTGTCTACAAAGACCACATTTTTTGTTTCCCTTGACAATGGTTTCTCATTGAAACATGTACTAAAGGAACCTGCACATAAAGACAGACTACCTTTAAAGACCACTATTCTTGTCTCCCTTGGGCGGTCTTTATAGACAGATTTTCACTGCACCAGGTAGGTACTTACAGTTTCTCCTTTGTGATCCCTGGAAAGAAGAGGCAAAGAACTGATGTTCTGGTTTACTCCGTGATAGAATCCCTTTCCCGAAGAAACCCTGGAAGGAGAATAGCAGCACAACGATGATATATCATACCTTTCAGAATTTACTTTTACACACTTTCTGACATATTTATATCACACGAATGACTTATAAAGCAACAGTTTTTATTTGGACAAAGCCAAACAAAACAATACCGCCACACGAAATGATCACAATTCACATTTTGCAAAAATGTACAACTCAGGGACTCGGGATGGTCTTTTCTCCGTAGAGGGCCTATGATAATATGCTATCCATAATATTTTTAAGTAATGCCCCAAGGGGGAAGGCACTTAGGAGAAATCAATTATATTTTGTAAATGACAAATGCAAGAGTTATGTGGGACTTTGTCATAATCCCCTGACAAAACTGCAAATTTTAGCTTTGCATGGACTAAGTGATCTCATATTTAAAAGATTCATAACTTTCTTGTTATTAGTCATTCATTTCAAACTTTTGCTATTCTGATTCTCTTCTTTTTTTCTTCTTCCATACAAACCAACTTATTGCAGTGGTTGGATTACCCTTTAACTATGACATTTATAACCCTCTTAATTGAAGTTTTGATAGGGAATGTCCCCCATAATAACGGTCCACAAGACTAGTAGCCCAATAGACTGATTACCAGTGAGAAATGCTGAACCTGTGAACCATCAAAAAAGTTGTCAGAAGGTTCACAAGACTGATAATGGTTTATCTGCCATACATCTCATAAAACCTTGCAAAAAGGTGTCAGCAACCCTGCAAGACCAACAGCATCAGTCTTGTAGGGCACTGTTCCAGCGGGATGTTGGTCTCATGGATGTTGAGTCTGATCCGGGCTAACTCGGATCCGGAGACAACTCGGCCCCAATGCAAAAACAATAATTTTTGGTCATTTAACCCTACCCCTAACCCAAATTCTAACCCTAACCCTAAACCCTAACCCTAACCCTAACCTGCAAAAACTGACCGTTTTTGCATTGGGGCCTAGTTGTCCCCGGGTCCGAGTTAGCCCGACTACGAGATAGCCCATCTACGTTAAGCCAACAGAGCCTTCTAGAAACACAAGCAAAAATGAAGCCATTCTTACCATCTTACTCAGAAACACAATGTCTCCCTCATTCTGAACGATGACATTATTATCAATCATCTGGGCTTGATAGAAGAACCAATTGCGGTTGGTAGCTGGCTTGTTCGTGATCGTCTCAATCGGGATGGGGAACGGGGCTTCTTCTGGCTGGTGAACGCATCGCTTCTTGCGAGGCTTGGTGAGCGTCATCGAAGGCATGATTATGTCATCTTGTAATAATAAACTGGATAAGTGGATAGGGGAAGAATATTTCAGATTTAGGTGGCGATTAAATTAAAATCTGCCCCTGAATATACAAGCATTAGATTTCTGTCCGACATACAGTATGTTATTGGATATCATGACATTTAATAGCCCTGTACATTAACTTACTGTACATATCTACAAATATAACAATATTTCCGATGTTCATCCATAAGTGATTTTTCTCTGCCCACAAGGCCACAAGATCATACCATCAGGAGGACTACAATGCAGTAATACTGGAATATTGCAGTATTTCCCCGTTCATATACCGTCAAATAAGCATAAAATAGCAGGAAGCAAAATATTGCCTTATTTGTTGGTAGAATATCTGCCACTATCAGTAGCATGTATCCATAAAATAGTTGCAGTCTATGTTGCAGATATGAGACGGATATGTACGGGTCATACATAATTTTTGTGGTGGTGTATTCTATTTCAAAGTTCATGCATAACTTCCTTACTATTGGTCCGATTCATTTCAAACTTTTGCCATTTTGTTTCTCTTATTTTTCTGCTTTCATTCAACAGTAGGGGCTGATTCAAGAATGAGGAACGTCCACACAAACTAAGGCTGCGACGAGTACTCGAATACTCGCACTGTTGACAACTACTCGAGTACGGTTTCCTGTACTCGAATACACGGCCGCGTTTTATTTTTGTTTTTTGCCGATTTATGCCCCTTCACCTGGCACTGTGCCGGCCGGCCGAAGCTCACCCGTGCTTGGAAAAGCATCGGCATGGTACCGCGGGTAAAACTGTTTTCCAGTTTAATCATACACAGGGTGTCACTGTCCACTCAGAAACTAGCTGCCAATGTCCAGATTTCTGTTTGAACTTGGAGGATTTATTTGTCTGTAATCTGTAGACTTCACGGCTCGTGAAGTCTCTAGTATGGAGTGTACTGTTGTATGGGGCTGAGACGTGAACACTCACTAAAAAGGACATGCAGCGATTGGAGGCGGTCGAAATGTGGTGTTAGCGCAAATTACTAGGTGTGTCTTGGAGGGACAGAGTTTCGAATGAAGAGGTGTTGCATCGAGCTCAAGAAAGGCGGGTGCTGATTCAAACGATTAGAGAGAGACAGAAGAAATGGCTTGGACACATAATGCGGCATGATGAGGGCTTGATGCTCAGAGCCATAGAAGGTCGTATTCACGGAAAGAAGAAGAGGGGAAGACCTCGTAAAGGCTTTCTAGACGATGTAATCACACAATGTGGAGCAACAGGGTATGAAACGATGAAACGGTTGGCTCAAGACCGAGGAACTTGAAGAGAAACTTGGAGTGACACTTGATATAGAATTTTGAATGGGTCACTGAACCTGTCATAAACTGACAGATCACTATTGATGATGATTTTTGCTATTATTTGTGAGAAGTTCACAAGCACAAATTGGCGCCTTCAATTGCACCTCGCAGTAAAATACCATGGATTTTCAAAGTTGGACCTCAATGGGTGCTTCCTACAACGTTGGCAAAAACAAAAAGAAATTTTTTTTAAAAAATCAAAATTAAAATCAAAATCAAAAATCTGAGCAGCGCCATCTGTTGGCGTAAACATCATTTATTGTGGCAAAGAGTTACGAGTGCTGTTCAGTATGGGTAAAATCACCACAATAAAATGGATAGGTATTCATGTATAAATTTTACAATTACTTTTTTCCTGTCGTACTGTTAAAAAAACAGGGGTCTGTAAAAAAAAAAAAAAAAAAAAAAAAAAAAAAAAATTAAAACAAATTTTAAAAAAGAAGAAACAAAATTAAATGGCAGCTGAGTATTCAAGTATTTGCCTGTAAGCCTGAGTACTTCATTACACGGTTATGCATAGCCTTAGCACGAATGAGGATATCCTTGAAAACGTTGACAAATTGCGTCATAACAAATATGGATCATTTTTTTTCATCTACGTTGTGCGGGTTTCGGGTTCCCGAAGTGCGCCCTAGCTGGCATTGCGAAAAACAGATTCCGCGTAATAAAATACCCCCCGTTCACCCCCGTCTACTTTTAAGGGTTGTCCGTCTTCGATCTTCCCGAGTATTTTACGTAAAAGTCTCTGTACAAAGTCAAAGTAAAATGGCATCAAGAAAATCATCACAGAATCCGTTTTTCGCATCGCCAACGTGTGGATCGAAAATATGAAACGTCTGCGAAAATCCAGACGCTCCTCGTTTGTGCGGACGATCCTTAATCTCAGACCATGCAGCGCCCCTACTGTTCAAAGCTATACAAGGGTCGGATCAATGGTTTATCCACTTCCAGACATCTCCGTAGGTCGCCGACAAAGGCACTGTAGGAGTCGACTGTCATTTCATGGTCATGCAGAGACGCCAAGTTCAAAGGTCAGCAATGCGTGACATTTGCATGATTCGGCGCGCGTGGGTGAGGGTATAGGTAGGCCTATAGCGTTTTTTTCGAAATCTAGCGTTCGCGTAGTGCGTGAGAGCATTTCCAGACCTCCGAAATGCGTGATGTCACACCTAATGCTCGACACTTGGTAGCTCTGGGTCATGGGGTTGCAGTTGGTTACATGAAACGATGTACGACCCCCTGTCCCTGAAATTAAAACTTGTATTAAAGTCAAGACAGTATAGGCCTAGCCCAGGATAATTAATAGGCCTAGAATCATTGGCTATGCTAAATAATTCTGAACCCAAGAGGCAAGAATAACACTGATGAAGCACACTGAGTAATAATAAACTCTAGACCTAGATCTAAATCATTAACTAAGCAGATTTCCTAACTCCGGGAAGCTCCAACACCGGCGCCGGTGTTGGAGCTTCCCGGAGTTGAGCATTTCCATGAGGCATGACTGAGCTGATGAGGCATGCCATGATACATTGTAAATAAACATGATTGACAGTCTAATTTAGTTAATTCAATTCATTGCTTACCTAAACTTCCTAATGTTGTTTTTCCACTGTCTGATACTCGTTTCGGCCCGGTCTTAATTGAACTCTCTTAAAGCCCCTCTAAACTGTTGGGAGCCCTACATTCGCAAACAAATTTGATGACAAAATTTCTATCATACACAGACATCATTCATATCGTGATCCCGTTTCAGTATGTCGATCTCGCATAGAATTCTCATATCATCTGAATCTACTCATCATTTAGCATTATAGACCTACTAGTATCGTTCACGATCATGCACGTAGCTAGTAGTAGTCAAGCGCCCTCTGTCGACAAGTACAGTTAACTAGCCATTTTGTGATTTAGCTAACGCCATATTGGAGTGTAAAAGCTGGATGAAACATCCGACGTTGTTCTTGTAATTATCACCTGTGGGAAGATAATTACAACGTAAATATGGCAGGAACGGGTGCAAACAGTGTTCCTCTTGGAGCTCTACACCCATGCTTACGCGGCGGAGCTCGCGTAGGAGTAAAGTCGTCTGGAAATGACTCGATGTTGAACGCAGCCCGTGAAGCAGCCGCAAGAGTGACGGCGAACATACTGAAACGGGATCATGGCGGGATGACCGCCCGCCCACAGCAGGCCCAAGCCCCTCCCGGACCTGTGACAGCCGCTCACCACCCTCTGCCCGGTCAGCGCCAAACGATTGAGCGTAAGAATTTTAAGATTACTTTCCGGTAATTCTATTGTTATGCATATTTTTCAGGACAATGCACACCATGCTAACTGCAGCGCTGATCCAGGGGGGGGGGGGGAGGCGACAAAAAAAATGAGAGAGAGAGAGAGAGAGGGAGAGAGAGGGAAAGGAAAAGAGGAGAGAAAGGGAAAGAAAGAAGAGGAAGAAGAAAAGAAAGGAGGGCTGAAAGGGCCTTGCCCCCGCCCGAGCAACAAAAAAAGAAGGAAGGAAAGGAAAAGAAGAAAAAGAAAAGAGAAAATAAAGGGAAGGAAAGAAAAAGAGAAAGAAGGGGGATATCAGTTGCAATTTTCTCACCAACAAGCTGTGGAATGGTGGGGGGGGGGGGCCAAACGGCCTTTGCCTCTCCCCCCCCCCCCCCTTCCAGTCAAAAAAAAAGGGGGGAAGGAAAAGGGAGAGAGGAGAGCTAAAAGAGAACAAAAAGTAGGGTGTCTGAACGATTTTTCAATTTTCAATTTGGGATCGTTTTTCACCATTTTTGTTTGATATTTGAATAAAAAATGTTATCAGAATAATACATTTCAAATTTCAAGTCTCACCGATGTTTCTATCAAAAGTTACAGCCCCTCCAACACGCTGGTATATTCATATCATTTTAGTCAAAATCGACGAAAAAGACGTCCACGCAGAGTGATGTTGTTTTGCTAAATTTAGCCAAACAGCTGTATCGCGCGATATGCAAGCGTATGCATATCGTACGCATGCTGCTAAGCCAATCCGCGACTTGCAGCTTGAGCTACGCTGTCTCCGCGACATGTGCGATTGACTAGTATGGTTGGCGTTCGTCGCACAATAAACCCGGAAGTGAATGCACGTTATAGTCAATGGCAATATCGCGGAGACAACGCACGTTGTCTCCGCGATATTGCCATTGACTATAACGTGTATTCACTTCCGGGTTTATCGAGGGAATTGCCAACCATAATTTCAGTCACTATAATTTGGGGTTTCGTTCGCGCGCGGAGATGTTACGCGATGTAACCATGGTTTGGACTGAGCGGAGCGCACGCCTCCTAATTAGCTGATCCACCAAATAGCGAGAAGGGTATTTTTAAACTGTTATCAGTTGTGATCCCTGGGGGCTAGCGAAAATATAATCACATAGAATTGTTCCTTAGGACTGGGACTACTTATCGATCGGGGCGTCATATCTCAAAAGTGACAAACCTCAGAGTTAGCCAGGACACAATGTTTAAATTGCTGTTTTGACCAAGATATTTTTAGAATTTCGGGGGCTACGCCCCTTTGGAAATATTGGAATTCACCTGCTCTTTCATATGACACCTCATTCATTGATTATCACCTTCAGGATCACAACTGATAAAGGTTTGAATCTCGATTTGGAAAAAAAAAATTGACTTTTTTTGCATGGTCGCGCAATGCACGTAGGCTGCATAGGGATGCGTGTAATCTCTATGGGAAGAATTTTAGCACACAACATCGGGTGCGCGATCAGACACCCTACAAAAAGGAGGAAGAAGAAAATAAAAGAAAGGGAAGAAGGCCTTGCCCCCCCCCCCCTTAGCAACTTACAAAAGAGAGAAGGAAGGGAAGGGAAGGGAAAGGGAAGAAGAGAGAAAGGGAAAGGTATAAAAAAGAGGATAAAGAAAGGTGGGGGAGATCAGTTGCGATTTTCCCCGCCAACAAGGTGTGTGGATCGGGGGGAGGGCCGAAAGGAGTGACTGAGCTGTGAGCGTCTCTGAATTTTTCTTTCAGTTTACCTGTAAGACTAATTCCAGAATTAATGAGGCAGAGTTAAAGAAGAAAAAGAATTGGGCCAGGGTCAAGGTTAAAGAAAAAGAATGAGGAAAAAATGGAAAAAATGGAGGAAAGCTGAAAAGGGGTATTATAACTATAGGAGAAGGGGAGGAGGAAGAAGTGAAGAGAAAAAAGGAGAGGATGAGGAAAAACAATGTAAAGGAAGAGCAGAAGCAAAGAAAGAGGAGGGGAATAAGGGGTTGGAAGAGGAAAAAGGGGAAGAAGAAGAGAAGAGAACTGCCCTTGATTACGATCTGTTTTCAAAATTGTTATCCACTACCATTGTGGGGGCGGGGGTGGATTAGGGAGGCTGTCGGCACGGCATATTTTCATGTATCATCATGAATCGAAATGAGGTATTCCTATGTTATTGATACTTTCATCTGGACTTAAAGATACTTATGGGCTTTGAAGCCTCTGTAATTAATGTTTAATTATTATTATATCTCGTGTTTTTCAATGCAGCTCTGATGCAGACATCTACCAGTTGGCCCATGCAGCAGCAGCAGCAGCAAGCAGTGGACTCCAAGCGCCGCAAGAGAAGCCGCTGGGGAGGGGAAGACGCCAAGGCTGCCCCTGGAGTAGCTACTGTCATCCCCTCTGGCCTGTCTAAGGAGCAAGAAACTCAAGTCTTATGTGAGTAGCACTCAAATTGTTCCTCTTCTCGCTTGAATGTTCACCCACATCCTCATTCCCTAATACCTTTATTTGAAATATTGCAGCTTGATATTCAATCTTTGCAAGGAATGTCTTTCCAAAGAGCAGGAAAATCTTATCTATGCAGTCTGTGAATTTCTTTTGATCTGCCTTAATACTCGGATTGATTGTTTTACCCTTTTTCTTTTCATGTTTACATACATGTACAAATAGGTTCTTTACTTGTACATGGGTTTTCAAATGAAAATCATCTCCTGAATGTTGGATGTGTACTAATGTGCTTTAGCAGAAGTTGAAACAACTCTTTACACAGTCAAAACGTTTTCAGATGTGACGCTTTGTGGAAAGATGGCTTATTCTGAGCTTGTGTCTATATTCTTGCATCATTTTTTGTTGCAAAGATTTAATTTATTTCTTTAGAGAAGTATTTGCAGCAGTAGTTGATATGTTGAGCAAAATTGTACGCTGAATACTATTTGCATAAATAATAACAGGTCTCATAGTACACAACCTAAACTAAGGTCAAGGTAAGATAAGTTAACAAATTTTTCAGTCTCTCGGATTTTTTTTGTATTCTCAAAATACATAGTATATGACAGAACATTACAGGACATTTGCTCAAGACTTTCTAATTCGAAAATCTGTGTTTATTATAAATACATTTCCTCCATTAAGTGAATGTTTCCAAGCATTGAATTTTGATAAAATTGCCCTATCAAAATTTCACCTTTGCAATAATGAAAATAAAGTTACATGTAGTTTTTAAAATCTTTGCACAGCTACTTTAACAATAATTGCTGGCTTAGTCCCATGTTCATCGTCCCTTGCATACAGTGTAAGTGTAGCTGCCAATCATTTCCTATTTTGGAGGAATGATTTTATATTTATTGGCCTTCAAGCTATTGTTTTGAACCCTAGCTTCCTCTCTTTTTCTCAAATTTTCTGTGTGAAAAGTATATAAAGTAGACTTTTATTTCTAATTTTGCCTTGAGAGATTCCTAATTTTTGCTGTGGAAGGTTGGCAGGTACAGTTTGTCCCTGCCCAATTGTAACAAGATTCTACGTTGTCAAGAATGCTTTTGATATTTACATCCCTCTCTTTCACACAATTTTTCTTTTTCCTCATTATGCATTTTGGAATTGTATCTTCTAATAGAAGGTGCCATTTTTTTTATTGCTCCCTTTAACCTTGTTAAACTTTGCACAGTGCTTGTTATATTACATGTACATGTACATTGACTTTATGATATCTTCATTAGAATCATATGTTGACCATTTCATTTTTTTATTGAATTGCTTGTTTATATGGATGATTTTCATATCTACATGTATGTCTCTTAGGCAATATTTGACTGTTCCATTTACCAAAATTAAAATGAATTTTCAGCACATCTTTTTTGTCGGTGGTGGTGATTTCTTCTCCTCTCCAAACACTGCTATTTATTGTCACCGATTTTCAAGAACCTATCTGTATTCATCATTTTGCATGAAATTATCTGCTTATAATTCTATTGAAAGTCATATGAAATGGAAACGTATTGATTTCTAATGAGACAGCAATTTTTATTTTTTATTCAGAAATTAATTCAATCGTAAAAACCTATATACAATCTTTATTATAAACATGTGTTTTGCAGTGTAAAGGCATGAACCTGGAAGTAGAAGTACTGGCAGTCTGGCACAGAACATACACACACAAAATTCACCCACCTGCCCAAGATTTTTAATTTTAGAATGTCATGTGAGGTACTTGTGTTGACATGTGCTATGCAATGACCCCCTCTCTCATAATTACATATCAAAATAATTCAATACACATTTCAAAAATTTGCCCACCCCCCCCCCCCCCCCCCACCCCTACCTTCTTGCACTCAGTCACTTCATCATGTACTTACATAATAGATGATTGATGAGATGATTGATGCCCATTGAGGTTAGTTTGCCAATGGACTTACTTGATTTTGTTTTCTTCATTTCTTCACCGAGAAAATACATCTTTCTTCACTTCCTAGATAATTTAGGAAATCAATAAACCCATGTGATTTATTCTCAAAATTGAGTAATGCTACTTGATTATTTGCATTACAATCTAAACAAAGTTTCTTTGTATTAATTGATAAAGATCAGGCAACAAGTATTGCCTTATATACTGCGTACTGATCAATGAACATGTATGACCCAATCTTTCGTCTCCTTTCTAACCATACTTTACCCACTACAGTACATCTGCAGATAGAAGAGTTGAGCCGTAAACTGCGAACAGGAGAGCTTGGAGTGCCGCCCAATGTTGAGGATAGGTTTGTCTAAGACTTCATTAACCGTAACTCCATTCTTATTTTGATTATTTTTCTTCTTTTCTTTCACTCTAATGGATATTGTAAGCATCCTCTTTTAACTATATTTTTGTCATTGAATTTCAATGATGTTCTAAAGGCGTGTGATTATTTATTCACACTCCCAGCACAAGCTTACAGGTATGTGATAAGATTATGTGTTTGGAATAGGCCTCTGTCGTTTCAGTTTGTAAACCGGGCTCTTACCGTGAGCGCCCCTGAATTTTTTTCTTTCATCCGATGAATTCATCTCTACATGTGCAACAACAATTTATAGATTCTGCATTCACTTTATACATACATGTACCTTAAACTTGGCTTGTGCTGTTTAAAGTCCATTTCGAAGTGATTTTGGAAGTGGTTTCTTCTAAAAAAAATGTGTAAGTCCATGTAATCGTGTTTGCGATCGCAGTCGAAAAGCTGCGATTGTGATTCCCATCGTGCACATACAGTATAAGCTACATGTTTGAGAAGGAAACACTCAGAGAAATTCACTATTATGAATTAAAATGGATTTTTAAAACAATGGATTCTAACAGATTTGAGACATCTTTATGATCTTCTCAAACCAAGTTTACATGTATGTAGGTACCGGTATTTATAAATTTAATGCAAAATCTGTACTTTTGTCCCACATGTAGAAATTAATTTATTGGGGCACAGGGGCCTTACAGGTTTTTCAAACTTTGGGCCCCGGTTCAAAGGAAAGCTGTGATGACTCTGGCCTAGGGGAAAAGAAGTTGATCTAGTTTATTATTTTGTGAACTCTGTTCAGGAAAGTGGGCTTTTATAATTGCTGTTTTGTAACTTCGACCAAATGTAAATAGTGTATGTACAGTTGTTAAATGGTACCAAATAGTTGGACTTAATTAAAAACTGAAGGCTAAATTGGATTTTAGAAAGAAAAAAAAGGACAAATGAAAACTGTTTCCAAGGACTATCAAAAGTTTGATTTAAAAATGGGTGAGCATTTTTATCACTCACATCTACATTTTATAAGAGGAGGCATTCTTTTAAAGGCTTCCAGGAAGCATGAACTTAATTGGACCAGATTGAAGAATCCTTAAAGTAGTCGACCGAAGAATCAAAAGTGTTATGAATTGATGCGAAATTCATATCATTGCGAAAGGGAAGCCTTACTGATAAAATATAACACTTTCCTTCTTTAATATTTGTTTGGGACCCGTGGTAATCATCTCTCAACATGTTGATTTTGAGATCCCGATTTTCTGCCTTCAGCGGTCCTCCGTAGAGCGCCAAGATTTGTGAAGTCACATGCGACAGCTAGCCACAAAGCATTTTACGCCTTTCCATCATATCTAGATGATTTTTCAGCAAATTATTTGTGTTTTTCAAGAGAAAATCTTTCCATCCACACATAATTTCTTCGGGTGACTGCTTTAACTCATTCAAAGGACTATTATTTTGCTCTCTCTATTGTAAAAATATTTGTTTATTTATACTGAGACTATCTTCTCACAACAAAGTATTGTAAGTGTACCAGTAACTAAGAAACAATGCTTATCGTGTATTTTTTGTGTGTGCACCATTGTTATCATATACATATAGGATAAGTAATGCATGAGCAAGTAATTTTGCAGCACCAATTAAAAAAAAATAAACCCAATGTTTTTACTAATTTTCAGTGGGGAAAAATAATAGGAAAATTACCAGTTTTGCAGTATGAATCATGCTGCTGCAAACAAAATATGAGAAGCAGAAATTATTTTAGGATTAGATGTAACCCAATACAGTAAACCAACAATTTTTTTTTTAAATTTAATAGTAGCTTCTTTGAAATGAGGTTTGATTAAAAAAACAAATACTCAATCCTTGAAATTGGATTTGCACAATTCAAATGTCTGTTCTTTCCTTAAAAATCTTGATAAAAAAAAAAGAAGAATGTTTCCCGTATGAAAAAACAGAAATTAGACACATGTTCGCTATTGCCATCGCCATTGGTGGTTATGAGATTGACTGCAGCACTAATCCAGTACTAACAGGATACTATGTCGTTAATCTGGTTTCTACTTTTGGAAAATGATTACAGTTGAATGATAATTAGATCAAGTGTGCTACTATTATGGAAGATAAGATAGCGATGCTTACTTCCTTCAATTTTTAAATTTTATAATCATGTTCTGTTACATTCTGGTAGCCATGAATATCTTTGAAAGAATAATAATAAAAAAATTATCTTTTATTGGAGGTATATTATTACCTTTTCCCATTATTCGACATACCCTTAATATCAATTTGTGTAGTTAGCATATCATCTTACTTTAATATCATCTACAGGCTACATTTGCAGCAGGCAAAACTAATAATGTGTACTTCACAGGTTTTCATCCGTTATCTAATTGGAACAAGTATAGTTGCTGTCAATATCTATTGAATGCATGCTATGACACATTTCATGTATGTTTTTATCTAGCAGAAATTGACAGGTTATGTGTAGGAAAAGCAAATAACCCATTTCATTGTCTCTCTCCAAATCACATGATAAATCATAACGATCTTCTCCCTGTTTTTTTCACGCCTGATTAAATCTTAACCAAAATTCTCTCCAATGATATACACGTTTGCATTGATTATTTACAAACCATATTGCAAACTGTTGCTAACTTTTCCCTCCACATGGTACATGTGTATGTATATTCTCACACAATGTTTTGCACACTTTGATGTGTTTATTTATGCCTAGATGTATTTTAACATGAGAGCAATGATTTTTGTAGCTAGCAATCACGACAGGTGAATTCCGCTAGGGCCATGCCAGAAAGATGACCTCGCCATTTGGTATCAAGCAGGCTTGGACATCAAAATCGTTGTGTTTGACAGGATGAAAGCAAATCTCGAGATAACAATTCAAATCATTAGTTGTTTTGTTTTCTTTCCTGTAACTCACAACTTTTCTTATACAGATTTTTTTTTAGGGATACATTTTATACAAATTTTCGTAAAGACCATTTTCAATATTATGCCCAAAATAAGGCCTTAGATACATGTACCGTAATGTATTGAACTTTCTTCCCACATATTTTCTTTTTTATCTTGGAGCTAATTTAAAGAAAGTATGAACTCTGGTCAAATCCAGATATTGTCTTTTAAAGATAAACATTTTGAAATGCAGCTAGCAGATGGATTTTCACTTTATTTGAAGATAGGCATATTTATTTTTCATTTCGTCACATGATCCTGATACTTGTTATTAGTTTGCTCTTATAATGATACATTTCTATAGAAAATCACAAAAAATGGTTTAATCTTTGCAAAATTCAACTTCAGAGGTGTAAATAACACATAGTTTGGTTGATTGATTTGGACTTTAGGACAATATGAGTTATCAAGAGTTAACCGTATTTGAAAGAAAGGCAGAAAAATGAAGAGAAACAGTGAATGTTTGTGAAAACAAATATATGATTTTGAAATTCATTAGATGACTAAGAATTTAGCAATCCATTCCAGTTACCTATCATTTATGTTATGGAGAACTTGGAGAAGAATCATGAAGTTCCCTTTTGATAACAGATACATGAATGTAATAACTTATTATTAGTCTTTGCAATTACAATTGAAGATATATTTGCAAGGTACATGTACTTGTCACTATGAACACCACGGACAAAGAAAGCGGACAAAATATACAGTTCCTCAGGTAGACAAAGTTACATCCCTTCACTGCTATTATGTAAAAATGTGTAGAACAGGTGAATATGCATGTGACACCTGTTCTACACATGTTTACATATTAATAGCAATGAAGGGATGTTCCTTTGTCTACCTGAGGAACTGTATATTTTGTCCGCTTTCATTGTCCGTCATGTTCATAGTGTGTAGAGTTGCTAATTTGTGTTCCACCTTGTTTACCTGATCAATTCATTATCATATTTAAAACCATTTTCTTTTCCTCAAAATTTAATCGACTAGCCTTATGCTCAGAGTATGTGGTCTCTGAAGATGTACATTGTATTCCTTAAGGATTGTTTTGAAATGAAGGAAATCCTTATGAGCAAGCCCAAAGGATTTCTTTCATTTGCTGTCCCATATATGTTACCAATTTTCATGGAATCATAAACATAGATTGCCATCAAAAGTGCAAATTTTCTTGCTATTAGGTCTGATTCTACCTGTAGCTCTACTTTGGCTATGGACGTGATGCAGTCATTAAAAAAATACTTTTAAAGAAAATCGTAGATGTGGTTGGTAATGTATGGGACAAAATAGCTACACAAGTTTATCATTTTATGCTAAAAATCATGAGCATCGAAGGTGGACCTGTGCGCTATACAAGTAGCCACTATTATTATTACAGTTTTAATAAACAATGAAAGTTATTATTATAAGTAGTAGTAGTAGTAGTAGTATTACCATGAAAGGTACTTTTTGTTTTGACATGATGTCCTTACAGATATTAAAAGAATTCACTTGCAATTCTTTGTAGAAAGATTTTACAGAAGGTTCAACTTTAAAGGAAAAATATCCAATTTGTTCACTTTTTTCCCTCCTATACCTGGATTAGGGTCCCTTCCCAATATAAAGTATGAAAGTATGGACAATTCGCTCTAAATCATGAGTTGCATGCCTATTTAAAAACCTGGGTTTAATTGCATCGAAATGATCTAATTCATGGGCTCTGTTTCATAAATTTTGTTAAAAATAACAAGTGCCAAAATTCTGTAACAAATTTACTCAAACCAATCAAATATCAAGGAGTTCGTTATCTTATATCAGTCATCGTAAATTATCATTAATAAACAAGTTTTATGAAACAGGGCCCAGATCATTAACCCTTATAGTGCCACGGGTGAATTGCCAAAATTCATTGTTAATATTTTGCAGTATTGACTATTAAAGAAAAGCTAGTTTTCTTTTGTGAAATTATATCAAGATGAGCAATAACAAAACAAACTTGAAGTTGTAGTTCTGATGCATCTCTCTGTAAACTGTAGCACTATAAATGATTAACTCATTACATTTTGAATTTGTGACATACATGTACATATACGGTACTACCTGGTCAAAGTAGCAGAAATTGCTTCTTTATTTTTACAGGTGGTCTTTTTGTTTTAATTATTTCTTAATGACAGCTGTGAAAGATCAGCTTGACTGCCATTAAATGAAGTACTCCTGGTTGTGATGTTTATTTTTAGTAACAAACAGTTGTGATTGTAGTCCCGAAATTTGGGACACCAGACTCCTAATTTCTTGTGTAAGCCTTATTACTTTCAAGGTTAATAATCATATCACAAAGTTTTGCTCCACACACTATGGAAGATATATTAATGTTAGATATAAAAAAGTGAATTCACTATTTAAAGGACTACCAATGAATTTCTACTATTCAAACATACATGTAGATCAATATGTGGGACAACAACAGAAAGACTTCCAGAAATGTTTTGCCATGCACACTGTTGTATCTAGCTACCCTGCCAACGGAGCTGTATACTTAGGGTTTGATGGGCGTATGCCTCTTTTACATACATGTAGTTCAATATGTGGGACAACAGAAAGACTTCCAGCAATGTTTTGTCGTGCACACTGTTGCATCTACCCTTCCAATGAAGCTCTATTTGATGGGGGTATGCCTCTTTTCTTCTCTTGTTCATCCTTAAGGTCTCCTTCTCCCGAGCCTATCTACAACCATGAGGGCAAGCGTCTTAACACGAGGGAGTATCGGATGCGCAAGAAGCTAGAGGAAGATCGTCACAAGATGATCCAGGATGCCATCACGATGAACCCCGAGTACAAGCCTCCTGCAGATTACAAGTAAGTTCAAACTTGGGGTAACGTTATTGAGATTTGTTTGGATGCTTGTATTATTTTATATTGTTTGATTTCGGCTTTCTGTTTCATTTTTGCATTTTGCTCTGATGAGTGCAAGACGAAAAGTATGGCTCTTTTCAACGCGATTCTCCGGTTATTGTGATTGTGATATTTACATAGCTTGATTGAGGGGAGGGAGGGGCAGAGATGCCAACTAGTACGGATTTCCCGTAATTTCTACGGGAAATCGGCCGATTACGGGCGGTACGATTTTCATACCATAAATTCCGGATTTTGCAGATTTTGCCGATTTTCAAAATTAGCACTTTAAGGTTTAGCACGTTTAAGGTTTAGCACGTACTTTTGACTATTGCAGCGCAGCCATCCTTGAATCCATGCATAGAAATCCCACAGGGCTTCCGATTGGAAAATTTGTTATCTAGCACACCCCTTTCAGTGCATACATGTGCATACAACATGTGCTTCGCGAGCCGGGTGAAATACCTCTCTTGGCCGCGCCGCTACCGCCCGCCCAGCGCCAGGCCTCGCTACGCTAGCGCCGTGTACACTGTCGGATTTCTCACAGGCTGTCACAGCGTTCGTCGATTTTCGTCGACAATCTGAACTCATGTTGGTTGGATTTAGATATCAATCATCATGTCTTCCACAACTAAGAAGCGTGGCAAGAAGTTACAGACTTTTAAAGAAGAATACAGTAAGAAATGGAAATGCATCGTGTAACACCAACTAATGAACAGGTAGACCCTATGTTACTTTTATTTAACTTGTTGTGCTATCGCGCTTGCCTGCGGGAGCTGCGCTTGCCAGCGTGCAGAAAAATTTGCGTCGCGCAGAAAATTACGGATTTTGTCTCCCAATTACGGATTTTTAGCCTTATGATTACGGATTTGTGCTCTGAAAGGTTGGCATCCCTGGAGGGGGAGAACGGCCATAACCCCTTCCCTCCGTAGAACAAAATCATGAAGAAAGGCATTTTTAGGGTAGATTTATGTTATATTCTGGGGGAAATTAACTTTTGAGGCATGTGTGGTGTCGCCTTACTTATTGTGGTCAGTGTATGACATTGATTGAAACTGCTTGCAATATTCATGAATAATTCCACCTGATCAGTGTTGGAATGGTAATTAATTCCAAAAATATATCTGTTTTATCAATTTTCAGACCTCCTGTCCAGCGAGTGAGTGACCGGGTCATGATCCCCCAGGACCAGCACCCTGACATCAACTTTGTCGGTCTCCTCATTGGACCTCGGTGAGCTATGAGTGACCACTACCAAGTGGGGAGGGGGAGGGGATGAGAGAGGATAGTGGGGGGAGTCAGTGACAATAGTGGAGGGTTAATATGTGGAATATTTCCTTGAATAACATATACCATAAATCTCTGTATAAGCGCACCCCTATTTGGGGGCCGATTTTTTTTTTTTGACTCTGTAGGCAGCAAGCCAGGTCCGCGTTATAAAACCCACACGGGAAGGACTTTTATTTTACTGCGAGGTGCAGTTGAAGGTGCCGATTCGTGCTTGTGAATATGTCACAAATAAAATTAACAATGTCGTTTTTAAAACTAAATATGACATACATATTTTCCTCAAAGTCCAAACAGAAATCCGGACATACAGGTAGTGTTGTTTTAGTCTCCGAGTGATGAGTCAACACACCGTGTATGACTGAGCTTGGAGACATTGCCAGGCGTCAAGCGACACTTATCCTGGAACTCAGTGTTATATTGCTCTGGTTACGAACTAGAGCAATAACACTGAGTTCCTACAGGAAATCTATTTATTCAGATGGTCATAACTCAGCCAATACTTAACATATTCAATTGGTTTTCAACATTTAGACATTATTTTTTATATTCTTTTAGAAAATGAAGTAAAAATTGAGAAATTCTTGAAATAGATTTTTATGATGTCACAGCTTTGGTACTCTATAATGAAAATGCTAATAACTTCTTCTGACCCCTCATTAACCCTCATCCTCAGTGGCAACACCCTGAAGAAGCTTGAGAAGGACACCACCACCAAGATCATGATCCGAGGCAAGGGGTCGGTCAAGGAGGGCAAGGTCGGGCGTAAAGACGGACAACCCTTACCCGGAGAAGACGAACCTCTCCATGCCCTCGTGACAGCTAACAATGCTGAAAGTGTCAAGAAAGCAGTCATTCAGGTAAGGAAACAAGGGAGGTGTTTCACAAAGATCCTAAGTCAAACTTAACTCTCAGTTGGACTTAAAAATTATGGAGAGCCATTTGTAGCCTTAAAGTAAAATTTATTCAAAAGCAGAAATTGAAGTATTTTAGACTTTTCATAAGTTCCACTTCAAGAACATGAAATCTCCTTGACAATAGAAAAAATGAGTGATTTGAATCAACATTTTATGATGGTGGTGAGTGAATGAAATCAAACTTTTTGCTGCAATTCTTCTTCTTCCAGTGTAAGTGCTGCTTCAAGGTGATGAAGATAAACACCCTGATTGTGTGTGTATATGTGGAGACTTTCACATATCCTGTTATTCCACATTTCCACATTTTAACTTTTTGTTCTTGTTGTGCTGGTGCATATATACATGTGTACATAAAAACATTCCTTGTAGATATTACATAGGCATCCCACTCAAGAAGACCTTGAAGGCATCAAGAGAGGGGTATTGGGCTGGGTCCTGTGGGAGGTTTTTCCAGTCCTTGCATTATATGTATGATTTGTCTAATTTTCCTTCTTGTAGATTCAAGAGATCATCAAGCAAGGTATCGAGACTCCAGAAGGTCAGAATGATCTGAGGAGGATGCAGCTGAGAGAGCTTGCTCGTCTCAACGGAACACTCCGGGATGAAGATATGCTCAGGTAAGTCACCTTTTCTTTGAGTGTTTGTATAGCTCTAATGATTTAATGGCAGAATGTGGAGCAACAGGATATGAAATGCTCAAGACCGAGGTACTTGTGGAGAGACACTTGATGTAGAATTCTGACAGGGTCACTGAACTTGTCATAAACTGACAGATCACTATTGATGATAGCTCTGTACCAACTCTTTCGTTGTGCAAAGCAGCCAGTCATGCTGATTCCTGGGATTACAATAGAGTTATCTTAATGCACTCCAGCATATCAGGTTCTTATTTACACCTGGATAAAGAGTGGCAAATGTAAGTTAATGTCTTCCCAAATAACGGTAGTGCCTTGCTGGGATTCGAACCCTAAATCTTTTAATTGAAAGACACATAAATGAACACCCATACAGGGAAATGGCGTCAACCGTGGACCAAGTTTAGTACTTGTGTGTGTGTGTGCGTAGGTAATCACCAGCAACCGCGGATCACTCCATAGAAAACTACATCAAACCGCGGACGTACCTCCTATGGGATGATCCAGGTAGCGAGCGCCTCTCCTGCGCAGTCAAAAGGGGGCGCTGTGACATTTCGCGATACACATCGGACTGATCCAGTCGATGTTGCCTACATGCTGTAACATCTAATATTAAAACGCCCCCTACGTCGTAAATTTGATACGGCGGAACCGGTATCGCAACCGTGGACGGTCCCCTATTGCAGGTACGTCCGCGGTTTGAGGTAGTTTTCTATGGAGTGGTCCGCGGTTGCTGGCGTTTTCCTACGCCACTGTACCACAACCTCCACACCTCGTCTACAAATTTTATTGTGAAATTCTTCTCTGCACCCTACTCTAGGTGCTCCAACTGTGGTTCGACGGAGCATCGTACCTGGCAGTGTACAGAGAAACAGAACGTCACCAACAACATCCTCTGCTCCCTGTGTGGTTCGGCCGGTCACATCGCAGCCGATTGCAGGGAGAAAGCCACGGGCGACCGCGGTCCAATGTCCCAGCCCATAGTCAACTCGGCTGACAAGGCCAAAATGGACTCAGAGGTAAAAGGAATGTATAATTACTGTCCGTTACACTTCATCCAAAGCTTCAGTGCAAACATAAAGTACCTGTAATAAACTCTGTAGATTTGTTACAAATCAATTACTCATAAAAATACTAAATGATTGGTATGATTGTGCATACATTGTGTGCGGGCAAGCACTGAATCTAATGAACGGGGTAATAGTATATCTGTAAAGCGCTGAGAGACGTCCGAGATGTATTCAGCGCTATATAAAAACTGAATATTGTTATCATTATTACCTTTAATCTGTTTAAATTATCTAGAAGTGTTCTTGCCCAAATATCAGTTTCATTTTTAGTTTCAATTATTTCTCAAGAGATAAAAATACATATATATATATAAACAGACAAATGTATGACAATACATAAGATGAATTATTAAAAATGTGGAAGGCAGTGGCCAAAAAGGAAACAAACAATGAAAGTGACTCCACTATCAAGCCATCCCTCTATCTCGTCTCATGTTGATCTCCATCTCTCTCCAGTACCTGTCACTCATGGCTGAATTGGGGGAAGGTCCCTTGCCAGGAGGAGGAGGGGGAGGCCCACCGAAGGGCAGCTTAGGTGGACATGGAGGTGGTGGTGGTGGTGGACCACCCCCCAGGCATTCCGCGCCCCCTATGTCATCGGCTCCCCCTCCCAACCGCCCCTTCATGATGCCTCCAGGAGGGCCAGGAGGGCAGGGGAACAATTTTGATCACCCTCCCCCACTGGTGAGTGTGCCCCTTCTTTTTTTTTTTACAGAGGTGTGGTCCTTTGGAGAGTGTTCCTGTTTTTGCTATACTATACATGTATAAATCAAGATATTGAAAAGATGATTGGTACTACAAAATCAGAGAATCGCGTTGAAAAGAGCCATACTGAAGCTTTTTCGTCTTGCACTCATCAGAGTAAAATGCAAGAATGAAACAGAAAGCCGAAATCAAACAATATAAACGGAAACTAAAAGGAACAAGTGGCACATATAACGAGCTCTGATTGGCTGTCTAAGGTAACGGTAAATTAGGCTTATTGCCAGCCGGTTATACTGGGATAATCAAATCTTACGAATCAAGAAGGTAAAAATCAAGATATAAATTATGAGGAACATGCTGTTGCTGTAAAATGAGGCAGTAATTTTTTATTTAAAAAAACTAATTTGATTAAGAGGAGAACTAACCCCAAAGAATAAGTGTAAGTATGTTGAAAAACAAGATGAATTCCTAACTTTTGATGTACAATACATCTTACGAACGTGTACAAGAGATATATAAATGAAGAATTCTTGGCATGATGTATTACATTTTAGCATGACATTTATTATGATTTGTAAAGTGACCAGTTTGATGTCATTACTTCTGACAAAGTAAGTGTTAGGCGCTATATAAGCACTGTAATTATTATTATTATAAAAATCTTTATTGTCTCTTTTGATCAGATGGGTCAGCATCTGAACGTACCATGGAACAACCGCAACCAGAACAAGCCCCAATCCCTGCTCAACTCAGGTCACTCACAGCAGCGTCCTCCTCTGGGCCAGGGTCCACCGCCCCCTCTCCCTCATCAAGGAGGCCCCCCACCACCATCCAACAATGGTCCTCCACCACCCCATCACAACCAGCCCCCATTCATGGGGGGCCCACCACGCCCCCCTCGGATGAACAGACCCCCTCCCGTCGGTCCCCCTGGTGGCATGCCGCCCAACATGATGCCCCCTCACATGGGCCAAGGACCCCCAGGACCCCCTCAATCTGGCGGATTTAACCCCATGATGCCGCCCCCGCCTCGTGGGGGTGGACAGCTGCCGCCTTGGGCTTACCATGGTGGCCCCCCTGCATCTGGACCCCCTAATCCACCAGCACCAGGTGAGTTGTGTTCTTATAACTCTAGATCTCTGTTTATGTCTTAGTTTTCTCCGTTTCGGCTCTTTTGGCCGCTGATGCTAAAAGTAAATTAATAATTGGGTTTAAATTACTTTTTTTTAATCAGTTCAAAATTGTTTTTCTATTTCATTTTCCCCAAATCTACCTATCACGACTTTGTGTCTGAATTTGCTGATTGAAACATTAAATAAAGATTTAGCTTGTTTTGCCCATTCATCCATTCCAGCCCCAGCACCAGTCCCTCCACCATCTCTTCTTGTAGCCCCGCCCCCACCTCCACCCAGCAGTGAGCCGCCCCCACAACCCCCCACAAGTGCACCGTGGCAGATTTCATCTTCAAGTAAGTCACCGAAATTAATGGGATGATTAAATTTGTTACAAAATAATTTGTTTCAATCTTATATTTTAGGAGGGGTCGATCCTTTCTCTTTCATGATAATTGTAAACCATTGTGCTGGTTGAAGTCTCTGGTCAAAATTTGATTTCAGTAATATTCCTATTTTTCAATATGCTCCCAAATTATTGCCCATTTCAAGTATGGTTTTGTATCAAAATAAATTTTTCTCAAAAATGTATGCATGCAATGTTCTTTGAAACTTGTTTGGACTTAATTTTAATGAGACTCTCAGACTATTGGATTTTTTAAATTGTGAATTGCCCTTTCCAATGTTCAAATTTTGTTTCTTTCCCCAAGTACCCTTTTATTTGAAAACGTGTTCAACTGTTAAAGCTTGATTTTTTTAAAGAATTCATTGATGGCTCATGTTAGAAAACCTAGAGGAAATGAGAATTATGTGTTTAAAATAGCTGAGGAATAAGAGATTGGCTTTGTGTAGAGTTAAGGGTAGGTATAGTCCCGGGTTGGAGTTTGGAAGTTGGTTTTACCTCAGTTGCACCAACAAGACCGATACCAGGCCGACGACAGACTGAACAAAATTATACAATACCCCCTGTAGCCAATTATGGCTCGGTCTTTAAGGCCAAATAATAAAAAAATGTTTAGCATCCTGCCTTTTTAAAATCAGAAATAGATCATTTTAGCAGCATGTTTTTCATGTTTTAATTCATTGAAGAAGAAAAAAAAATAATAAAAAATAAGAGGCAGCCCCAAAAAGGAAACAAGCGGGGACGCTAAACATGTATACTTTTTTTAATGGCCAAAGTCAGCTTTGAGTTGGTTTGGCAATGTGACTAAGGTTTAAGTGTAAGAGCATGTGTCGTAAAAATCGTAAAGACGTCAAATTACCTGCTCTGAAGCACACCTTACATCTGCTGCCAAATGTGCTTGGTTTTCAGGCCGAGGGGTAGCATCGTCTCCCCCATCTCAGCCTCCATGGCAGACACAGGCTATCCTGCAACAGGCCCTAGCCCTCTCGCAGCCTCAACAGGCAGCGGCAGGTTAGCTGCACCACTGATCTCTTAAAACATGGATAGCTTATTGATCCATGCTGGTGATGCCACAGCCGCCATTTTGGCATGCAAATTAACATGCATTTCTTGCAGCGTCCAAAGCTGTTTTTTAAGGCATTGAACCAAAATTCTGTCAGAAAGACAGAACTGAGACAACTTCATACAGGAGAATACGATGGTTAAAATATACTATGCAATTCGGACACCTTGGACGATTTGGTACTGTCTTAGAAAGAGTTGTCATTGATCCAAATCAAAGTCTTAATCACAATCTTACAATATGTACTGAGTTGTGATTGATACTAGAGTTTGGATCCACTGAGATTAATAGGCCATTTTCGTAATGTAACCAAATCTAATGCATAAGTATTTGTGAAGTGCCTCAATACAGATTATTTCATTCAACTGATAAGAATAATAGTATTTCAATAGTCAGAATGCAAACTGCATATATTGAGTGTTGCTAGGTAGGTCAAGCCATAATGATTGTCCTGCCTGGCAACAATTAATATATGCAGTTCGGATACTGTCTATTGAAATACTATTATTCTGATCAGGTGAATAAAATAATTTGTATTGAGGCACTTCATAAATACTTACTGCATACTGCATACTGCATTAAATTTGGTTACCGGTACATTACAAAAATGGCCTATTACAACTCTTTGTAAAACGAGGGCCCTATTGTCCTCTGTAAGGATCTTGGTGCAGAGGAAGAAGTAAAATGTCCGTCTGTGGCATCACCCGTGCCATGGCTCAATATACTATCCATGTACTAAGATCAGTGAGCAAGTCTTGTGCATGCTGCCTCCCCTCAATGTCTTGTAGAATGATGTGAAGCAAAATATGATGTAGCTATTAAAGATGAGGTTTCGATATCTAATCTTGACATCCTCGTCTTCGGCTTGCGGTTTCTTCTGTGTCTTCTTCTGTGTCTTCTGATAATCACAAACTGCTCTTATACAACTTTTTTTTATAAATGGTAGCTGCTGATGCATTTCTGTTGTTTTTATTTTTTTTACTGTCATGACACAGTCCTTATATCTCTATCTCTTGCTCACTTATGCTGAGTTTTGCTGACTTTATTTTTGAGTTTATCTAGTTTGTTTTAGTCCAACTCCAAGCTTCATTTTGATTTTATTTATTTCTTATTTATTTATTTATCTATTTAGTTCATGTCATTCTATGTCACTGATAAAATTATCTGAAAAGAAAGTTGTGATTTTGGTTTGCTGTAATGAAGGCCTGTTGGTAATGCAAATGTATTTCTTTGACCTCCTGTTAAATCATCTCATTAGCTTTTCTCTGTTATCACGTTGTATTTCTCTGTTACCATTTTCCTTCTCTCTCTTTCTCTCTCTCTCTCTCTCTCTCTCTCTCTGACTTCTTCACCAAGAAGACTTTGATGTTAGCTGCTTTATTACAATACTAATTAATTTCTTGTATAAGAGGATTGTTCAAATGCTTACCCCGTGTTTATCTGAAGGTCTTTTTGTTCAGAGATTTTGATAAGGAGGCTTGTTTTAAAAAAAATTAATATTTACAGTAACAGTTTGAACTTTTTTTTATCCAAGGCTTGTTCATCTTTAATGCCGGAAATTATAGTCAGTTAACAACAATTTTACAAGTAAAGGTAGTATGGCTAGTGGGATGAAAATAAGTAGCTGTTTGCAACATAGGTCATATGCCTACTTAATTGTCTGTGTGTTATAAGATACAAAATGTCAAGTGTATTCTACTTTTTTTTTAATGCTTTGGTTTACCCTGTCAAATGTGACGGAACCTTTAGGAGCGCTTAATGATCTAATGATCTTTACATGTATATGACTTGTGGGTGAATTCTTAACCATTTTCCTCATCTACACCTGTAGACTGGATACTAACATTTTGTCTGTGTTATTCTCATGTTTCCAGCCACAACTTCCGAGACCACCACATCAACAACCAAGCCAGCTCCTGCTGTTCCTTGGCAACAGCTTGCTGCAGGTAAGACATACCTAGCACCAGATAAAAACCTGTTGCAACTGTGTGCGTTTCACTTAAAGCAGTCAAGCCTGCCTGTATAGCGATGGCAAAGACCACTCTGTTTTTTTTTAAATCCTTGACTAATGTACATGAAAGCCTAAACAGAAACTATAAAAACAATGAATATATGTAGAAAGAAAAGCTACAAGTATTTATAATGACTTGTCAGTTTGTTTTGTTTCCTTTCAGGAGTAATTATGTAGATATAGCTTTCTGTTTTGGTATGTAGGTACCAAGTGAGAATCTATAGTAGTTGGGTCAATTTCACTTACCATGTCAATAAAAGATTGTTATTCCAAGGAAAGAATCATTATAAATTACCACATAAAAATATAGGTCAGGGCCCTGTCTTACAAAGAGTTGATATCAATCGCAACTATTTATTTAAGAGATAGGAGACTGCAAACTTGTGATTGATTGGAGAACTTACGATTAATTTGGATCAATTGCAACTCGTTGTAAGACGGGGCGCTGATGTATTCGCTCTTTTGCCACATAAATGCAATTTGGTGTGTAGTACCTTGTTGGCTTGTGCACGTTCTACTTTCCTCCATCTGATTACGTGAAGAAAGATTTCACTGCATTAAAACAGGATACATTTTAAATTTATTTCCTCTTCTTTTCTATGTGTTCAGCCGCGGCTGCTGCCAATGCTCCTCCAGCAAGTTCAGCAAGCAGCACTTCACCAGCCCTGCCCCCTTGGCTGCAGGCCTACACTGCAGCAGCAGCAGCAGCTGGGGGAGGGGGAGCCTCTTCAAGTACAGCAGGGGGGCAGCCCACGCCCCCTCACTGGGCCCAAGCAATGCCCCCTCCACCACCCCAACCAGTGCCCCCTCCCTCCATGCCAGGAATGCCCCCCATGGGGGTGTCCCGCCCCCACATGCAGCCACCCATGCCCCCCATGCCATACCAGCAGGGTGGTATGCCGGACGTTGCGCCCCCTCCCCCTCCCCACTTAAATGCCCCGCCCCCACCTCCGCCCCCTTCAAGCTGAGCACTAAACTAAACTATCTCTCCTTTTGTTATTAAAGCATTTTATCTTATCCCGCTAGACTTTTATATGTCTGTCTTATAATACAATAGATTATTTGTTAATGAGAAAACTTAGCAAGTTTTTAGTTTCTTTTGCAGTATCCATACATCTTGATTACTTTCCCTTCCACAAAATCCTACAAAAGCATCTTTTACTTAGTCATGTTTCTGTGTTTTGTGTCTGCTTCGATGAGTAACATTTTGCTTTCAAGGATGTTCCTTGACTTTGAAGAAAAAAAGGTGCATATTCTCTGTTTGCATATCCTAATTTTAGCACTTTTGATAATTCATGATTCTAATCCATATTCTGATGACAGGTTCATATTTATATAATTATTGTATTTAGTGTGTGCCCAAGCATACCTACAAACTCTAATCTTTTCATATCAAGTTAATGTTGGATGACTGCGATCCAAATTGAATGTTTAACTATATTGTAATTCAAAGGTAGATATATTTGGGGATATTCAACCATGTAATGTGTGGAAGTGGCTGGACTGTTACAATACTTGACATTTTTAGTTACCTTTTAGATTTTATTTGTGTGCTGCTATGCCTATGATGACTATTTAATTGAAGCTAAATTATACATTATGAAACGTTTCTGAGATGCAATTTCCTCTTTCTTCTCGAAAAAATGAGGTAATTGATTAATATATTGAAGAAGAAGGGTATATGAGTACCCATCACATTCCAATGTAATTACTTCTTTGTCTTAGTGGTGTGTATGCCATAAACAATACTAATGAGGCAAGATAGCATGTCTGAGTATATGCGACTACTATGTATGAATTCAATATCTAACTTTCGTTGTGTGTTTTAACACAGTGTTTGTTCATCTCCATTTGGCTCTAGTATAGTAGAACCTCTTAAAGAACACTTTAAAAAAAAAACTCTCATTATAACAAGGTAATTTTGCGTGTCCTGCTTTATACTGTATGGTATTTTAGCCCTGATATAATGAGGTTTTGATATAAAAAAAGGTGATTTCCTCGGATTTCCTAAAGAGTGTGATAACGTGATTTCACTGTATAACATACTTTATTTACAGCTTTTATTGAGATTGAGAAAAGCAAACATATGCATGTACTTCGGAAACAATCTTTTTTACACTCTTTTTTATTGGTTTGTTTTGATCATGTGTAGTTATTGTTTTTTAGTTTCTAGCAGTGATTACCTCTTTTAATTTTTTTATTTTATGGGATGAAATTATGTGTTCTGTTATGATAATCTATCAAGTGGGAATATGTATGCAGAAAAAAAAAGAACCTGTAAATTTCACCCTCATTTCCTTGGTAGCTTAGAGGTGTATGCCCTTGATCTTGGAAGAGCAAAATATCAAGGATTTTCCAGATATATGTTCATTGGCATCATTGCGGTTAACTTTTGCATTTACAATTGTACGAGATTCTTGATTTCATTTTTTTCTTTTCTTTTTTATAACTACATGTAGTAGGTGATGTAAACATTAGAACCATTATGAATGATAACCCCAGCTATAACTCTTTCCCTAAATTATTCTGAAGGAGGCAAAAACGCATCAACACTTTTTTTTATTTAGCATATTAAACTTTATGTAGAGTCTTTTATGGACAAATTTTGTTGGCCTAGTTCTCACCATTACAGGCATTTCTAGCGTACCGGTAATCATGCTATAGCACTATTACATATTAGAAAGGGATGAATTTAATGTGCTGTTGATATTAAGCAGCGTCTATTCAGTTCATGGGATACACAAAGTGGTTACATCGACATGTAGATTCATTTCAGTGATGTGATATGATTTCATCTTTCCAAGTTTATTCGGTGTTCATTTGGCTTTTTCTCTATTTCTCTTTTCTATGATATCCTATGTTAAAGGCCAGAAGAGTGTTCTACACATAGTTAATACCTTTAAGGCTCTCAGTATTGACAGAACATGCCTCTCATTTACCCTCTCAATTTCTCTCTTTGAGGGGCTGAATAAAAAGATGTAGGTCTGCGTTGTAAAAGTTTTTAACTATAAAACGGACATTAATGTCAAACTGCTATGGTATCTGTCATGTGAGAGAAGTAAATGTCATGTGCATAGCAAATTCTGATCTGTAGCAAGTTCACCGATTTCATTGTACTACATCTGTACATGCTCATGTCAGGAAGATTTAATATCCATTAATAAATGTACATTTTTCTTTATTAATATGGTTGTTGGTGTTTTGTTTGTGTTTAACTTTCAGCTGAATAATGACAACTCATTAGTGACAACTTTATAATAAAAAAAAAAGAAGATGAACAGATATTGCAAATAGAGAGAGACATAGAGGGGAGGGAGAAAGAGAGAGAGAGAGAGAGAGGGGGGGGGGGGAGACAGGGAGGGAGATATCTGTTGGCGTTTAACTGTAACCTGAATAAGGACGACTCGTTAGTGACAACTTTTTTTTAAAAGATTAACATATATTGCAAATGGAGAGAGATGGTGGGGAGGACGTAGAGAGAGAGAGAGAGAGAGAGAGAGAGAAGGAGGGAGATAGATTTGGAATGCGTCAGATCAAGACCAATGTTATTGTTTACCTGTTTCTATCAACAAATCGGATGCACTAGCTGGATTTTACAGAACCATCATCCATTGTTTGTTTTCCCTCCCCGACTCTCTCTCTCTCTCCCTTCCTCCTCCACTCTCCCTCTCCTACCTTCCCCTCTCTCTTCATCCTTCCCAACTCATTAATTCTCCTTCTCCCTCCCCTCCGCTCTCACTCCCTCTCTTCCCTTTTCTCTCTTTAAAAATGTCCGCTTTTTTTTTCTTTGGGTGTGCAATTTTGTCTCCTCAAATTTAATCTGAAATTTAATGCTCTCCTGCTATAACATATTTAGCGTCCAAAAAGTAGATAGGGTTCTTAGGCGGGGATAGCTTTCATGGTCGTGCAATTCATTAGCAACCCATCCACCCATGGATGTTGTCACTACTGATGAAATTGATATTAGCTCATCTGGAACAGTATTTTCACATGACGTGGTTATACGCTTGGTAGTATGAGCACCTTTATAGAAATTCCACCTTTTTGAAGCTTCCATCTCGGTCCACATTATGCAGGGTAGGCAAGCTATTTAAGATTCAAGGAATGCATGCTTTCGCAAAAACTAAAGCAAAGATGAATGACTTCATAGGCATTGTGTATAGACCTCCCAAGTTCTAATTCAAATGATTTTCTAGTGTACCTTACAGATTTACTAAAGAATCCACTTTTTGTAAACAAAGACGTTTTCATAATGGGAGATTTCAATATTGAATACTTTAAAGCATAATAACAACAATATATCCCATAAATTTCTTGAAACATATTTGACATCTTATTATTCAAACTTTCTCATGATGGGGTGAGTTGGGAAGGCCTTGAAGTGGTTCAGGAGCTACTTATCCAATATACGACAATACGTATTCTTGAATGATCATAATAACGCGGGGAAGTTTGTTTGGCCCTTTATTGTTTATTATTTATATATATAAATGAATTTTGTAAATCATCCGATGTCCTTTAATTTATATTTTGGCAGACGATTCTAATTTATTTTATTCCCATAAAATTCCAAATACTTAAGTCAATATTGTAAATTCTGAACTTGAAAAAGTCACCCAATTGATAAGTCTTTAGAGCTAATTAACTTTCCCTTAACCTCCAAAAAAAACAAGTATGTTATTTAGTAGTTCTATAGAGACACTACCCATGGATATTGTATTTGACGATAACCCCTGGAAGTTGTCTCATTCATTAAATTTCTATATAGGCATGACTGTTGACAACAAATTTTCGTGGAAATAAAATTATACGTGTAAGATTATTTCACAGAAAATTGGCATAATAAATAAACATAAATTTCATTTTTCGACATCATTCCTACTCATGCTTTGTTCATCTTTAATTTTACCATATCTGCATTACGGAATACTTGCTTGGGGCAATACACAGCAAACTCTATTAAATAGACAAAATAAGTCTCTCCGTTTTATAATTATTTACAATTCTGTTATACTCTCACACGCAGACCCGTTATTTAATAGCAGACTATTAAAAACAAATGATCTATATATTTCACTTATTAGGACAATTTATGTATAACTACAGTAGAAAGACCCTTCACGGGACCCCTCCACATATATTTGATGGAGTCAGTGGCGTACGCAGGATTTTTTTCAAGGGGGGGGGGGGGTGTTTTAAAATTGGATGGCATCATTCATGTGAACCCCGCGAGGTTTTGCCCTTTGTTGTATATTGTATTACGTTTTCACTAACGATGAATTTACATTGTAATGTAATTTGTGTAGGTTTCCCACGTTTATTTAGGAGAATAGGAGATTGATATTGTTAAGTTGTTCGATAACATCACTCAGTTTGATTTGATTGGAGATATATCTCTTTAATGAAACAGTGTAAAGGCTATATTATAGTCTCAAACAAACGTAAAACATTAAACTTCAAGCTCACTCACAAATGATATATTGCGACACTTTCAAGGCTACTTATTATTTCAAGTTCATGTATATACAAACGGCAACAGCTTTCAATGTTAAATGTAAGTTCTTCTCACTTAAATAATTGGTCTGGAAACAATTATTTGCCCATTGTTGTATTGTATTACGTTTTCACTAACGATGAATTTACATTGTAATGTAATTTGTGTAGGTTTCCCACATTTATTTAGGAGAATAGGAGATTGATATTGTTAAGTTGTTCGATAACATCGCTCAGTTTGATTTGATTGGAGATATATCTCTTTAATGAAACAGAGCAGAGGCGGCGGAGCGACTTTCAAAGTAGGTGGGCACCAACAAAAAAGGGCACTTTCTGAGGGAAAAAGGGCACCTTCAAAGGGAAATCTCAAAGCGAAAATATACCATTTTTCAGACATTGGTATATACCCCTATATTGTGATTACATTATCATGGATGATTTCAATATTGCTTCTCTTTATTTTTTTCTCTTATCCTCAAGCGAGGTTTTTATTTCCATAATAGCAATACATATTTACATTAATAACTCAATGATTGAGTGAAACATAACATAGGCAGTTGCATTTGCATAGCATTTGCTTCTCTTTATACATCATATAAGATATTGCTTAAGCATCATACTTTGCAGTTGGGTGTGTTGGTCTGAAAACTCATTTGCGAGCGAGGAAAAATTTAAAGAGTTGTAAGGTCGCATTGCCAAAAATTACGTCTTAGAAAGAGAAAAAAACCAATCCTGATGGGGATATAAGCACATTCTCATGACGAAAGACCGAAAAGACCTTTGATAAGTAACATAATTATAACGTCTATAAATACGAGCGAGGGTAGCGAGCTTTGGGGGAAACTGCTCTCAATCGCTTAAAATTAGGGGCACGTTTAATGATGAGAGGAAAAGGGGACACTTATCGAAAGGGATAAGACACTATCTTATTAGAAAATAAAAGGAGCACGAGTCACAGTACAAAGGCTACAGAGGTGGAAATGGGGCACTTCTTACACCTAAAAAAGAGGCACTCACCAGGGATGAAAAAGGCACTTATGAGAATGGGAAATGGGCATTTGTCGACGGAAAGAGGCACCCATCAAATTATGATAGGGGCATTTATAAGAAGTAAAAAGGGGCATTTATGAAAAAGGGGTAGGTTTCTATTGGAAAGGGAAAGGGTACGTATCATTGTTAAAAGGGTAATAATCAGAGGTGAAAATGGGCACTAATCATATATCAAAAGAGGCACTTATTGGAATGAAAAAGGGGCACTAATAATAAAGGGAAATGAGCATTTGTTGAAAGAAAAGGGGCACCGGTCAGATTTAATTGGGACATTTATCGGAGGTGAAAGGGGCTTTTATGAGGAGGGGGACGTGGCTCTTATTAGAAAGAAAAAGAGGCACATGTTAAAATAAACGGGTCATTTACAAGAGGTGAAAAGGGGCACTTATCATAAGGAAAAGGGGCACGTATTAGAAAGGAAAGGGGCACAATCTTGTGAAAATATAAGAGTTAAAAAGAGGTAGTTATTAAAAGGGGAAGGGGCACTTCTACAAAGGAAAAGGGGCACTTGTCAAAGCAAAAGGGGCACCTCTCAGATGTGAATAGGGCAATTATCAGAGGTGAAGGGGGCGCTAATCAAAAGTTAAAAGGGACGCTTCTCGTACCTGAAAAGGGGCACTTACTACAGATTAAAAAGGGCACTTATGAGAATGAAAAAATGAAACTTATTGCAAAGGAAAATGCGAACTTGTCGAAGGAAAAGGGGTATGTGTCAAAATAAAAGGAGGACTTATCAGAGTTGGAAAGGGGAAGGGGCACTTTTACAAATTAATAGGGGCACTTGTCAAAGTAAAAGGAGCACTTTTCCTATGTAAAAAGGTGCGCTTCTTACAAAGTTAAAGGGACACTTTTCCTGTGTAAAAAGGGGCACTTTTGGGGTACTTGAAAAAGTGGGAGGCACTGTGCCCCCCCCCCCTGCGCCCGGGAGCGCCGCCTCTGAAACAGAGTAAAGGCTATATTATAGTCTCAAACAAACATTAACCATTAAACTTCAAGCTCACTCACACATGATATATTGCGACACTTTTAAGGCTACTTATTATTCTATATTAAATGTAAGTTCTTCTCACTTAAATCATTGGTCTGGAAACAATCATTTACCCATTGTTGTATATAATATCCATAACGATAAATATACATTGTAATGCAATTTTCAGGAAAACCATACTTGTTATTATTTTGTGATATAATACTAAAGCAAATCGCTTATCGATAGGATAATGTGAAGTACGTGTCAAATAATGAAATCATTACGATAACTGATAATCATATTGGCAATTTGTGTTGTGATTCTCATTGTTCCATGCATAGTTTTACATACTTTTTCAAAAATGCATAACTTTCTTATTAGTTATACGATTTTTCTCAAACTTTTTTGATTGGTTTGTCTGATTTTTCTGCTTCTATTGAAAGTAAAAAAAAATTTTTGGAGTGGACTTATCCTATGATAATGATGAAATTTATGAAGTGGTGAGACAGGTACGTACATAGGCCAGGGATGTTGAATACAACAGTGCAAACTATGATCTGTCCAGGCGCGTAAACAGGGGGGGTGTTTGGGGGGTTAAACCCCCCCCCCTTTGGTAATTTTGGGTGTGTAAACCCCCCTAAATTTCTCTAAACCCCCCCCCCTTTTGGATTTTTTTTTTAAATTTTTTTTTAATTAAAAAAAAAATATATATATATTCCCATGGTTGACCTAAAAAAGCTGACCTTACCCCCCCCCCCCCAACGGAGCAAAATGTCAAATTTTCAAATTTCGAGACCAAAAAAAAAAAAGAGTGACCTCTTCCCCCCCCCCCCCCCCGCTTATTCAGCAGCTGGCTGAGTCGTTGCGAAATTTTGGCCCGATTTATAAATGTTAAACCCCCCCCCCCCCCCCCCTTGAAAAAATCCTGCGTACGCGCCTGGATCTGTCTAAGTTTACCAAAGCCAGAACCATTGAGATTACAAGCCCGACGTTGCTCAAGCTGGTGGCAGAATTCCTGGAAAAGTCATATTATCTATGCTTTCAGGCTTCCTGGATTAAGATTAGCAACATTATTACATATTGCACATATTATATGCTAATTAGAGTATTATGCTAATTAGGCTAATTATACTACATATACATGGAATATCTTCTCAGGAATTAATGATTAGTCTTTCAAAAGTGATTTACAATGTTGTATTGCACTTTTTGCATTTTTAGGCTTTATAGATAACAGCGGCGGATCCAGGAATCTCTTACCGGGGGGGGGGGGGGGGGGGGGGGAGGGGCACAAAATCGCATGGGGTGAAATATATGAAAAACGATGGAGCGAGGCGTCAGCGGCGAGGGAGCGGAGCGACCAAGCGGGGGTGGGTCTGGGAGGGGGTCAGAACCCCCTCCCTGAGTAAATCCCTGAGTAAAATCGCGCCGACCGATTACGCTCATTGGGCGGGGGTGGGGGTGGGGGGGGGGGGGGTTGTAAGCAATATCCCCCTTTTAGCCACCCGAAATTTGAATATCGCATCGACCGATATTTCGTTCAGTTGGGGGGGAGGGGGGGGGGGTGTTCAGGAGCGTTAATTTTTTTAATACTCAGCACCCCCCGTAAAAGGCTTATGAAAAAAAAAATTGACGGGGGGGGGGGGGGGGGGGGTTAACCCCCAAAACACCCCCCCCCCCTTGCGTACGCGCCTGGATTGAGTTAATGCCATATTCCCCCTAAATCGGTCATTTCATGATTACCCAAGTATAGACGGTGTAACGAGTCTCACCTACCACTCCTTATATTAGAACTTTAATAGCAGAGAAGTCTTTTATATGTATGATGATCCTAGATTTTTTCTTTCAAGAAAATAAGAAAAATTGCTCAAATCATGTTGTCACGCACAATAATCTGATAACAGCTGGCAATCATCTTAATTTTTTTATTTGGGTCTTCATCATCTGCTCGATTATAGGCCTACCTCTTCTTTTGTCATGATTTGTCCTGCTTTCCTTCCTCCCCCCCCCCCACCTTTCCTTCTTCTATTATCTGTTTTGTTAAATGTATTTCCCCTACAATTCAATAGATATATCGCGTCCCCTGAAAAAAAGGGGGCTTTGACCACCCCCTCTTCCCCCCCCCACCCACCACAGCATTATTGTGAAAGAATTCTAGATTCTAGAGAACATTCGACATTAGTACGTTATGATCGACATTGAGAGGAGATGAGTAAAAAATATGCGCGCGAAGTGAGAGTCCAAGCATGCACAGTATGAATGCAACTCAACTAGCACACACACCAACGTCAACCTGCGCGATTGCGTCGGTATAGTTAAAGCAATTTGGATGCACCTGCTGCTGCACAAAGTTAACTTTGGGACATATCGATTGACAGCAGCACTCGGCACATCACTTATTTAAGAGAAGGCAGAGTCATTTTTTGTTGGGAAATATGGGGAAAAACCAGGATGCGAGAAAGCGGAAAGTTTCCTCGAGAAATGGAAGCAGTGGTCGTGGAAATGGAGGTGAGTGTCCCTCCTCTTTTCTGTTCCCCCTATTTTGTCGATCATCTCCAGTTTGTTACGTTCAGCTGCTGTAGCTGGTGGTGGTAGCTACACATGGAGTCATGGACTCGGAAGGGGCTGGGCTGGGGGAGCTCGTGGCTCAATTATGAACGCGCTACTGTTATTCGCTACTGTGTGTAATTGTTGCTTTCAAAGTAAACAACGCGCAACGCTCGTAGGCAAAGTGAAGAATTCTACATGCATCTCAGTTTCATTTTTTCCCTGCATGTGCATTGGTGTTAATGTAAACAAATATAAGATTTAAACAAAATATCATCGACATTTGGCATTGTCATTGGGCCATGGCATTGGCTAACTAAATTACTGGTGTGAAATTATTTTATGTTGACAAGTAAAACCCTGTCACAAATACAATTAGGATGTACAGTTTAGTGTGAATGTCAGTTCTAACCTGGCTTAATTCAACATTAAGCTAATTTATAATAAATTACCTGAATCAATGTGCCTACATGTAAGATGATGCCCAGTATTACTATCTAAAGGCTTTGCGAGCGCTGGATCTGGAATATGCGTCATCCGCTTGGAGTCCACTTTATACAACGAAGAATATTGAGAAGTTAGAGAAGGTGCAGGGCTGCAGGCCAAATGCTAGACAGAAATAACCGTCTGATATATTATGGGTCATTTCTTTAATAAAACTGACATTTGTTGACATTCCCCAATACTAGGGAGGCCAATGCCCGGGCGTAAGGCTTCTACGCCTACGATTTGTGCGCTCGTCGTCCAAGTCAGAAAATTACCAGAAGAAAATAAAAGGGGAAAAAAAAGAAAACAAATATCTATCGAATAAAATGTATAACAAATACACAATTACACACTCCACAACATACCTATAATCACGGATCTGTAATGGTCTTTCACCATTTGTTGACGATCTTGCAGATTTTGATGTATTTTGATCCAATAATTGCGCTAGCAGACGAAAATAACGGACGCACGAGAGAAACTAGACGGGTCCTAGAGGGCGATGAGGTTAGCTCACTAAAATCCTTCTCAACGACTGAAGGTAGCGCCTAAAAATATGGAATCAATTTAATATCAAAGAACTTTTGATAGAGATTAACATATCAGTTGTGCACAAATGTCACTTTTAACAACTAGAAAATATAACGAAAAAGGATTATATCTTTTTAATTGCAGATTTTTACAAACTGCACAATCAAAGGTAGATAGAGTACGATGTTTTTGTCAATCTTGCGTTGGTTTGAGCCCCATAGCTAGAGCCATCTCAAATTGGGGAGCAAAACTGTGAACAAACACGTCATTGTTCCAGCCCAAAATAGAAGTCTTGCGACATCATAATATGAATATGTATGAGGTCCGGTCTCATCGCGCGCAAAACAAATTTGACGTAGTCTCACACATAGTACCTTTTTCTCAGCACTAGACACCAGTGTCATGCAGTAATGTATGAGAAGTGTAAAAAAAGACATTTCAGTAAAAAAAAAAAGTCTACGTGAGCAGTCTATACTCCAATTGAGAAGTGTAATGAATGCCATGATTTGAACGTGTGTGTTTTAGTGTATGATATCATCATGGTTAGTGAGAGAGAGAGAGAGAGAGAGAGAGGGAGAGAAATATCTCCGTCAGTACACTCTATCAATGCGTGCAGTCCTATTGACTATTCGCTGCAACTGTTGGATTTATCGATCGTATTGTGTTCGCTGCAACTGTTGGATTTTGCAGTGTCAGATTGATCTTTACTCATGAGGAAATAATTGGAATACATATCAAAACTAAGGTAGGCCTATTTATTTATTTCAATCATTTTCTTAATTTACAATGAGTGGTTTTCGAGCTTTCTCTCATTATGGCATGGCTAGCATGGCTCGATTGCGGCTTGCATGCAATTACCGTACGTGGACGGCCTGTAGTGTGTCGGTGTGTGCGACTAATTCAAGGCTAGCCGGTGATGATGAATGTACTTTCGCGCGAAGTTTTGAACTTGTTGTCCGGGCAATGACCATGATGACACGCCCATTCCCTCGGGCCTGTCTAATTCTCGACGTAATTTTTGGGACCATGAAATTGATTGTTTCAAGGCTCTTGCGTACGGCCAAGCGTAGAAGGAAGGGAGTGCTTAAAAGCTGGATATCTCCTATTTTATGGAACTTCTGGAGTCGGCAGATGGGTGAGTTTTCTTAGTGAAAGTAAATGCTTTCTTTTAATCTTTGTTTTATTTTAAACAAATTCGTAATTAAAAAGTTAGATTTGGGCATTGGCCTCCCTACCAATACAGATGGTAACCCAGATGACTCGCACAGGGGGGAGGGGGGGGGGGATAGATTGAACCCATTCTGTAGGCCTACCTCTTTCTTCCCTGATTTTCTTTATTTAGATCTAATTTTCTGATTTATAAATCAGATAGAAAAAAAACTATGTATATATTCTTCTCCAATGTCCAGTTATGCAAGCTTTTATTACTTATTTCTAAATGCGAAACTTAGGGCTTACTTATATGAGTTATCCAATTTTTATCTCGGAACCGTGAAACGGTACGTTTATGCAGTCAAACTGGTAATCTATGACATGACCCAGCCAATATATTTCCGAGACAACCTACCAAAACGTAGCCAATGGCCAATCAGAGCACTCGTTTAATATTGGATTTATGAATATTCATATATCACTGGGTCAAGCCAGGCTGACTCGTACGTAGCTATTGGACGTTCGAAATTGATTTACGATCTAAATGAGGAAGCTATCGTAAGTCAAAATCAAAGTAGATATTTCTGTGTTATTTTTCATTTTTTAATATAATTCATTGGAATATTGCAGCCAAAGTGAATATATGAGAAATGAGGATGTAAAGAGTGAAAATCCTGTTGCATCTCATTCAGCGCTCAAAATACACGGGGGCGGTGGGCGATTCGCCCCCGTGAGCTCCATAATCGCCCCCGTCAGGTTGCTCACGGGGGCGATTGCAAAATTAAAAATCGCCCCCGTGGAATTATAAAATTAAGATTATCTTTTCTGATATAACTTTAACACAATATTGAGTATTAATTTTCAAACCTTAAACCAATGAAATGGAACTTAGATGGCGCTTTCTCTACCATCTCTACGAGTATTCCCGATACAAACAACGGAAGCTCGCGGTGCGGCCGTCAGCACAGTGGCTATACTGCGCTGGTAGTACCGGTGTGCACGCTGACCCCTAATATCTGCTGGACTCTTGGAGATCGACAATCGCGCAAGGACTGAAACAAGTTTTTCGTTGTGAAAGTTTGAATCCTCTGAAATCTGGTGATTCTTAAAGACCAGCAAATAATGTAACCCGACCAGTAAATCAATATTGAGAAGAAGAAGAAGGCATAAGATGTTGCAGGGGCGGATCTATGTGGTTTAGGGGGTTAACCCCCCCCCTCCCCCTTGTGCTGCCAAGGAAAAATGTGATGTGCACAGAAAAATGCTATCATGTGTCCAGACCTACACAGTATTAATATTAAACACAGGAAAATATCACTAACGGATGTTCAAAAAAGCACCAAAAAATCGCCTCGCCGCTTTGCGGCTCGTGGACGATGATCCGCATGTTAGTAAATGCCAGGAAAACACCACTTACAGGGGTTCAAAATAGCAACAACAAAAATCGCCTCGCCGATACGCGGCTCGTGGACGATGCTCCACATCGTATTTGGGGTACCCCCCCCCCCACCCTTAGCAAAAAGCTTGATCCGCCCCTGTGTTTTGGAAGGATATGGTAAAGACTAAAAGTAAAGAAAGAATGTAAATAAGGTTGCTCCGAATAATGCAGAGGAAATTATGAGCAAAACGGGAAGAAATGGAGAAAATGTCCTCACGGGGATAAAGTCAATAACAGCTATGTAACAAGTAAATTTCTAAGAGGAAAAATACCGACTTAGATAAATGATAATGATAAAATACCAAGGGGTTTCACGGGTACCAATTCAATGGAAATTTGTATTAAAATAAGAGCCCCCGTCAGCACTAAAAGCGCCCCCGTGAGAAGGCTCACGGGGGCTCTTTTTTTTTTTGGAAGAGCCCCCGTGCGCAAAAAATTAATTTGAGCCCTGATCTCATTCATTGCGGTACGGCCGAACCGAACCATTTGTTCTACTCAGTCCCCATAGGACGTACTTCAGTCTATGTATAGAGGCGGTCAGAGGAGCCAGATGCAATCTCAGTGGAACAACAGTCGATATCAGAGACTGAATTAAAGCTTTCGGTCTAGCCAAATGCTTACATCTTGGTTACGAGGTCATTCCTATTGAGCCATGGAAGGGGAGAAGAGCAATAACAGATCTTTACTTTGTACAAATACCTTAATAGTTATTACATACATGTGTAACTCCAGCACAAAGATTTTTCTCCCATCCAAATAAGGAACTAAGAGGGCATTCCAGACTTCCAAGAACACAACTGGCTGGCCACTTTTATTCCAACATAGTGGTCCAACCTTGGAATAATCTACATGTACCAGGGGCCAGTTCCTAGAAACCGTCATAAGTCTAACTTCTTGACTATCCCATTGAAATGTGTGTTAATTCTATAACATATGTTTCAATGGGATAGTCAAGAAGTTAGACTTATGACGGTTTCTAGGAACAGGCCCCAGACAAAGTTGTGTCTGCACCTACAGTGGCGACTTTTAAGAGTCAACTGTGAGCCCTTCTCTTAGGAATAGAGAGCTATAACCTACATGTACCAAGTAGTCACAGGTCTGTTCCTGAACATAGTAATTTAATTCATAATTTGATTAGACTGGAGCCAAATGTTTAATGCATGCACATGTTTACAACCTTAAAGTTTTAAAAAGAAAGAAGTTAATTTATGAGAGAGAGAGAGAGAGAGGGGGGGGGGGGGGGGGGGGGGGAGGAGGGAGAGAGAGAGAGAGGAGGGGGGGGGGGGAGGAAGAGAGAGAGAGGGAGGGAGTAACCTTGTATTTTGTAAGTGGTGTGTATAGATGCAATTGTTGA